ATAAGATAAAAAGTCCTTAGGTAGGTTAATAATCTTAATAAGTTTATCCTTAATATTATCCTTAAGCCTTTAGTAAAAGGTAAAAATTAATAATTCTTAAGTAATATTAAGTTAAGTAGCTAGTTATTAGAATTTAGCTATATAGTAAGAGGCTAACTTAGTTTGTTATAGGCTAGCTAGGTCTTACTTAGCTTATTATTTCTTATTAAGGTCTTAGAATAGTAACTATAGGGCTTCTATAAAGCTAGTTATACTTCTAAAGATGTTTTATATTTTAAAGAAGTAGATAGTAAGGTTACTATTATTCTTAAGAAACTCCTCTAAGTAGGGCTTATACTAGGCTAGTGCCTTTTTATAAAGAAAAGTCCTTATATAAATAACCTATTTAGTTTTATTTCTAAAGTTAGTAGTATAAAAAGTCTAATAGGTATATACTTAAATTAGAAATCCTTTTAGTTATCTACTAGTGCTATTATAAGTGCTAGGTAAATTAAGCTTAAGTTTATTACGTCCTTTTATAAGGGTAGTAATAATATTAGCTGCCCCTTATAAGGTCTAGTTATTTTCTTATAGTTTTATAACTTCTGACTTTTTTTCCTTAAGCTTAGTAAGGGTAGTAGTAACTATAGATTAAAGTTTATAAACTTTATTACTTTTACTTTTAAGCTTATTCTTAAGTTTATTTATTATAGTCTATATCTTAGCTATATTAGAATTATTTTTCTTAATTTAGCTTATAATAATACTATAGGTTTATTAGGTATAACTTAGTTTTTTATTTAATATTTTAGCGTTCTTTATTTTATTATCTAGGTTATATATAGGGGTAGCTAGGGGCTTCTTTTTACTAAAGCTAAATAAGGTAGGAGTAGTTTATAGTGTAAATATCTTATTATTTTACTATTAGGTAAGTATTAACCCCAGATAGAAGGGACATGGGTTAACTTACTTAATAAGAGTAATTAAAGTGTTATAGCTAATATCTAGATAGTAAGGTTTTTACTAATAGTAAGTAGAGGTTAATACTTAGTTAATAGTGTTTATTATTCTTTATTAGTCTATTAATTACCTAGTAATTAGTTATATAGTTAAGGTTATTAGTAGCTTATATAGCTTCTTATTAATTAAATCTTTAAGGTTAAATACTAAAAGGTATTTAAAGAATATATTATAAAGTTAATTACTAAAGAGCTATAGAAGTCTGTCCTTAAGTATATCTAAGTCTATCCTATATATAAGTCCTAGTTATTCCCTAAATAGTCCTATTAACTAATAGTTATAAGTAATTATAGATCTTATATAAGGTAAGCGCTTAGTAAATACTAGTAAGCGCTTACTTTTATAATTACTAGTAATTACCTTATTATATAATTACTTCTTTATCTTTATGTAATCTATACTATAGTTCTTCTGTTCTAGGGAGTTATCTGTCTGTCCTTTATCTTTTATTTATATAAATACTACTGCTGCCTATTATCTGCCTGTTAGGTAGGGCAATATAGCCTGTAACTTGTTAGGTTATAACACCTAGAAATAGCTATAAGTATAGATAGTGTTAGGATATATTAATAGTATATATATAGCTATAGACTAAGTACTTTTAGTTTAGAAAAAGATATTTAATCTTTATTATATTAATTTGTACTTAAAAACTTACCTCTAGTAAACTACTTATTCTAAGTATATTAAGAGCCTAGCCTCTTCTTTATTAATAAATAGTCCTAGTAGCCTCTTTATCTTACTATATAGTAGTTTAATAAGGTCTTTAACCTTATTTAATAAGTTATTAAGATTACTTAACAGCTTATACTAAATATCTTTTATAAATAGCTTATTTATTTATTTATTATTCTTTAATATCTTATATATATTTTTTTTCTTTTATTTAGTAGTGAAGCTTTATTTTATTATTAGATAATTCTTACTATTAATTCACTTTAAGATATATATATTAGTTACTTATATTTAATTAAGCTATAAATATAGTAAGTTATAATATACTAAGTGTCTTTATTAATCTATTAACTATATAGTAACTACTATATTACTAACGCTAAGAAGGTATATTAAATATAGTAAAAGTATATATAAATTTACTAGTAAATATATAGTTACCTTATAGTAAATTACTAGAGAATAGGTAGTAAAATTAGCCCTACTTTTATAATAATCTTACTAATAATATTGCTAAGATTAGTCTAGGATTTCCTAACTAAGAAATAGGGGGATTTCCCTGTTCCTATAGGATTTCACTATAGTTACATAACACACAACAGAATTAATTAACTATTACAATCCCTATAATTTAACAGTTACATACACAACAGAGAAATCAATCAACACAAGGATATTGCTACTAATTACGCACTTTAATAGAATCACTCTGTGACAGTCTCCATTAAGTGTCCGGCGGTCTTCTGTATGGCACCGAGAAAGGTTACCGAAGGACCCAAGGGACCACTTGGTGGCCACTTTGCAAGGGACGGACCCCGCCAAGCTGTCATGTCGGGAACGCCCTTCTCGGCGGACATGCTGGCCATCGTCGATTCCTCCTTTAGGGTGTGAACGGCCGCTGCTCATGAGTAGTGATTAGTGGCCAGGGGGCATTTCCGGCGTGCATAAATGCTTTCGAGGGGTATCCGGGCCCGGATGCTTGCTGCAATTAGAAAGTCAGATTTATGCAATGTATCTTTCTAAATCCATCGCATCTCACCACCAAAATAGGGAAAGCGTTACTTAAACTTGGCCTTTCTGCTGTTAATCCTGGCATTAAAAAAAGCGTAGCTAACGTAATTAGTAAGTAGCCTAGATGTATACAGGAGGGCAATACTTATAATAATAATAATAATAACTATAGATAATAACTACATTATAATAGTAGTAATTATAGCTACTAGCGCTATAATAGCAGTATTTGCCTGCCATTACTGTTATTAATAATATCTTTCCTAGTAATACTATTAGTAACAGCTATACCTTTCCTAGCGGTATTGCTTACGCGCTTACGTAAGGGAAATAGCTAGCGCTTTCCTCTGTAGGTCAGAGGAGCAATTTGTTGCCCTTTTTTTAGGTTGCTAGTAAAATGTCAGTGCACTTTTCGTTAGCGGCCAGTGTCTACCCTAATCTAGAAGGGTTACTACATAAGAGCTAGACATACTATATTCTATTACCTTAACTCTAGGTAACCTAGACCTTAACCAAGACCCTAACTACTAGCCCTATATATCTTTAAAAGCCTACATAGCTATAGGAGATACATAGGGTTAGTGCTTAGGGTCTAGGTTAGGGTCTAGGTCTAGGTTACCTAGAGTTAGGGTGATAGAATATCATTATTTTATCTGTAGTAGTGGTGGCAGTACCTTCTAAAATAGGCTTAAATCTGTCAAAGTAGCCACGGTATATAGCAGTCGCCAAAGTCATAGCATTCAGGGGGTGCCTCCGCTTTTGCATGCACTTTGTCAAAATCACTGGCAGACTACTAAAAGCACACTGGCATTTTACCGGCAACCCTTTTTTCCATAGGCAAGGCTGACTTTCATCGACTTACAAAGTGGCTTCATAATAACAAATAGGTAAAGGACACTATATATTAGTTAGTTGAGCAGAAACTGCTTGTGTTAACTTTCACAATGATACAGCATTACGAACCCTCAACTATTCGGGCAAGCGGTCAGCTGCCAGTGACTATACCCACTTCGGCGGTACTTCGAGCATAAAGTTGGGGTGGCACAAGTAACGAAAAGTCACCCCTGGCCACTAATCACTACTCATGAGCAGCGGCCGTTCACACCCTTACCATCCACGTTGGAGTCAATCTCAGAAATAAGGTTTCTGGGTGATTCACTCCTCTAGGACACGAATATTCCAATACAGTGCCCAGTCGTCATCGACACCTGTCTTTCTAGACTATAAATGACCAAGCAAGTAACCAGATATTTTGGAAACCCATCAGATAAACCTGATGGCTTCGGGACCCGATCACATCGGGAACCCAGGTGCTTCTCACTGCTCGAGTGAGGTGCCCCTTGAGAAACCGGCCGGGCAGTTCGTCCGGCTCTTTCGCAAAGTTGGCCCACTATCATAGACCATGATGCTTGTAATCGAAACTTTAGTATCTGTACAAACACATAACACACGCACGTTTCAACCGAGATGGCGGGAGCGGTGACCCTGTCCCTGTCCCAATTAAGTTGAGTTTTCTGTGTTCTTCGAGTGGGCACAATCCCTCCGCACCAAGCCCGTTCACCTTTATGTGTGAGGTATCCGTACACAGTACTGCGTAGTGTACGGATAGGTACGAAGTTGTCTTCGCACAGGTACATAGCACATGGGCTGACCATGGGACGGCTTCGGCCAAGTAATGCCCCTTGATCTCTCGTAACCTTATCCTAGCGAAGCACGGCAATCATCTCATCACCCGCAACACCTTGATTGCATCCCGTCTATTGACTGGAGCGATTACGCTCTTAAGAGAGGATGCACTTTGCGATATGCGCGAGTCTTGCTGCATGTGCAATTGTCGGTGCACTATGGAAAAAGGCGCAAAAAAAAAAAAAAAAAAGGTGCTTTGACCTTTTATTTATCAAACGTACGTGCACAATAATTACCGTCCGGTTCAAGGCTACATCTATCCAGACACACTTGCTTCAAAACGAATGCTGACAAGAGAGACACGGCGCGCGCGCCAGTCAGTCCCTCAACCGGAGTTCCGGTGGGTAGAGCGATTAGATATGGTCCCCAAACCGGGTTTTAGCCACTGTCATGTAACCTAGACCTTTTGCTGAGGTGAGGTCATCAACGTCAAACGGAGGGGGATGAGCCATTGGAAACACGACGTTGGTCTCGCCCCAGTCAACAACCCCCCTTTCCCGGCCGGAGTTCCGGCCGATGAAGCTGTCAGACAGGCAACCAGATACCATCAAACACCAACCAAGTAATCTATCGTCCGGCCACATACCGGCGCTCTTCCTGATGTCGGCACAGAACCTCGACCCACAACAATGACTGACAAGCGGCCTACCTCTGACCCCGCTCGTCCCAGTTTCCTGATGGGAGCTCGAGTCGGTCACCAACGCCAAACGAGATTGGTGACAAGAGACATTGGCGTTAACCTGTCAGTCCTAGTAAGTCCCAGACCCCCGGTTGGAGCTCCGGGGCGTTCGGTCGTCGACGCAAAACGAAACAGGGTGACAGAAAACACACGGTACCATTCCGTCCTAGTCCCCCAGGTCGGAGCTCCGGCGGGCCAGGTCACGGACAATGAGACAACCGCTCCAAATACATTGGCCCACATTGGCGCTCGGTTTCCCCGTCCCTGCGCAAACGCCGCTAAGCATAAGGGTCTGGCGTCGAGGGACAAGGGCAAACGAGGAACGAGTCAGAAGCCTTGGACTGGCGAGCGCAAGATGATTAGAGCAGAACTTGTTGATGGTGGTTGATCCCGCCCGCTTACTCCCTTGACTAGGTAGGTAACTAACTATCCGTACCGTACGGATACTGCCTACCGGTTTCTCCGGATGGGAGCAAACACTGCTCTGTTCCTTGGACATCCTCCTCCTCCGTGCACCGTGTCTCCTTGCTCCCTGCTTTCTATTTATCTCACGCCCCTCCCCCACGTAACCGAATGTGTATAAGTCGGTCCCGAAACATCCATCTCCTTGCATCAAGCTCTCGAACAACTTACAGCTCGCTCTCATTGCTATTCCATTGATACCCGAGAGAGGTCGAGAGACTTGAGTTGATTCTACCACAACTTTTCAACACACGCACACACACATAGACATAGACGTACATATACACGCATACACAGCCCCATACACCTACACACACACTCACACACACACACACACACACACACACACACACACACACACACACACACACACACACACACGCAAGACAGCAAAAATGCCTGGCGCGATCAACATCCCCTCAGCGGACTCTGACCCCACCCTCCAACTCCCACGCATCCTGTGCCTCCATGGCGGCGGTGTCAACGCGGCCGTCTTCAAGATGCAGTGCCGGGCCCTCATCGCCCGCCTAAAGAAGCACTTCCGCCTCGTCTTCGTCGACGGGCCCTTCATCTGCAACCCACACCATGACATCGTCGCCGTCTACGGCGACCACGGCCCCTTCCGCCGCTGGCTGCGCTGGCTCCCTGAGCACCAGTACGTCGACGCCGAGACGGCCTCGGCCGAGATCCACTTCCAGCTGCGCATGGCCATGGACGACGACGACGCCCTCGGCGCCACCGGCGAGTGGGTCGGCCTGCTGGGTTTCAGCCAGGGCGCCAAGGTCAGCGCGAGCCTGCTCTACACGCAGCAGATGCTCAAGGAGAAGTACGGCAAGCGCATCGCCTCGGCCGGCGGCGCGGCGGACTGGAAGTTTGGCGTCCTGCTGGCCGGCCGCGCGCCCCTCATCGTGCTCGACGACCGGATAGACGCGCCGCAGGGCGTCGGCGACGCCGCTGAGGCGAGCGTCGACTACCACGACTGGCCCAACGGCTTGTCCAACGACCACGTCCTAAAGGTGCCGACGATCCACATACACGGCCTCAAGGACCCCGGCCTGCAGCACCACCGCCGGCTGCTGAAGCAGTACTGCCAGCCGGGGACGGCGCGGCTGGTCGAGTGGGACGGCGCGCATCGCATCCCCATCAAGACGTGGGACGTCGAGGCCGTCGCATCGCAGATCCTGGATTTGGGACGTGAGATCGGCGTCCTGCCGCCAAAGGAGGAGGGCGCTCTCGAATAGAACGGGAACGGCTCCGCGAGCAGCAGCAGCATATCCATGGCATTTGTGCACGCTTTAGCGGGTTTGGGTCGGAGTTTTGGGTCGGAGTTTGGTATAGCCATGCGCTTGCTTGGAGGCATGTTTTTATGCCCTTCCTTTTTGTCCTTTTTTACTTTCCCCTTCATAGAGATGGGATCATACACAGAATCCGTAAACACTAAATGAACACAACCTTTTCCCAACATGCATACATACACTTTAGCCTTTCGCTTGCCATTTTGTGCATACACTAATGTACTAACACGCAGACACTTACCCTCACACTCACACGCAACAGCCAGCCAGCCAGCCAGCACTCATCTTGCCCTTCACCGCGTGGTATACACGCCGGTCGGCACGGCATGGTAGCCTCTCTTGCCTACCCTGTGCGTCAGCCCGCTCCTCCAGTCCTCGCCGCGCGCGAGCCTCTCGACGACCTTCTCGAACGTCCACTCGGGCGTCCAACCGAGGTCTCTGGTCGCCCTGGAAGAATCGTACACGCGGTCCACGCGCCCCAGAAACCCCCAGCCGAGGCTCTCGAACACGGCCGCGCATCCGGGGACCGACTCTCGGAACGCGGCCCCTGCGTCCCCGTCCAAGCGCCGGAGGAGCGTGCGCCTCGCCGCTGCTGCCACCGGCTCCGCGGCTGCATCTCCAAAAGCTTGTTGTCCTGATCTAAGCTCTCCAAGATTTCCGGCAGAATCTTCTCCAAAACCTTGCCCCCCTCCACCATCTCCTCCGCCAGGACCTTCTCGGAAACCTTGTCCTCCGCCCGCCGCCCCGCCGCCCTCGCCGCCGCCAGCGAACCGCGACAGGAAGGGCGGCGGGGCGGAGATGATGTACGTGCCGAACCCGACGGCGACGGCCCTCTCCATGGCGCAGGCGACGGCGGAGGCGACGTCGGCGATGTCGGCGCGGCGGCAGGCCAGCTCGCAGACCTTGAGGTTCGCGCCGTCGTCGGCGGGCGCGAGGCTGGCGCGGCGGTCGGGGTCGTCGTCGGCCTCAGGGAAGAAGCGGGCGGCGCGGAGGACGACGACGGGGAGGCCGCGGCGGCGGTGGGCGAGGGCGCAGAGGTCTTCTGCGGCGCGCTTGGTGACGCCGTATATGTTCTTGGGGACGGGGGCGACGGACTCGTCTATCCAGGCGGCGGGGCGGCCGGGGGCCGGGGCGAGGGCGGCGCCGAAGGTGGAGGTGGTGGAGACGAAGACGAAGGAGCGGATGCGCGAGGGGCCGCCTTTTCTGGGCCCGCCATCGGCGGCGGCGACGGCGGCGTCGGCGGCTTCGGCCTCCTCGAGCAGGACGAGAGTGCCGGTGATGTTCGTGTCCACGAAGGCCGACGGCGGGTGGGATTCGACGTGGGGCTTGTGCAGGGTCGCGGCGTGGACGATGTGCACTATGGAGGAGTGGCGGGCGAGGAGGGAGGCGACGAGGGCCCGATCGGTGACGGAGCCGACGACCGTCGTCGTCTCGGAGGGGCGGATGTCGAGGCCCAGGGGGGTGTGACCCTGGGATGGGAGGGTGAGCATGAGCGCGGCGCCGAGGTGGCCGGAGGAGCCGGTGACGAGGACGGTGTAGGTCGGCGAGGCCATGGCTGTGCGTAGGAGGGGGAACGGATCACCGGGCTTGGCTCTTGGTTGAGATGTGAAATCTCGAAGATGAATATTGCGATCAAGTTGGTAGTTGGTTTTGGTGATATCAAGTGATATTGATGTTACTCAGGGCGTGAGTCACTTACCGTTGCGACGCTAGGCGAGGAGGCGCTTGAGGTTAGCTCAGCGATGTCTCTCCCCTTGGTCGTTTTCTTTAATGCAACAGTCCTATGGATCAAAACCTCCCCCCTTCTTTACCATTTCTCAAGACGTATTGATCCAATACACCTGCAATGGAAGAAACGGAACTGGTTCGGTCCTCGGATGAGAAGGGACTCACGTCTGACTCTCACGGGTTTCCGCCTACACCGAGACTGAAGACGGGCTCACACAGGTTGAATCCGACCTTCTGCCATCATGGGAGTTCCCGCACTTCCAAATGCTCTGAGGTGTACGATAAAAAAAAACATCTTTCTCTTCTCAACAAAACCAGGGCCGCGTGCAGCTTGAACAATGGTTGCAAGTCTTGCCTCAGCTTTGCCGATGACTCAACACGGTTTCGCAGCGAGCGATACAGTGAATAGATTCTTGAGTAACAGATACTGGAGAGTTTCCCTGCGAGAATGGTCGGCATGTCTGTTGCCGGCATCACTTAGTGATGACTCGGTCCAGCATCGTCGCATGCGGGCCGCAGTTTTGAGTTGCGAGGAGGGCGGCTCGTGCTTGCTAGGGCCCGAACCACCGGGTAAGCGTTTTGCGGTAACCTAGGCAATTTTTTTGAGCCTCTTGTTTATCTCCTCGTCGGCGTGACATTGAGCCGCGGATGGGTCGGGTTGGGGGTCTCTGTGACCAGAGGCAGGGGGGCGGCTATCTAAGCCACCTTGTTTGTTCCCTCAGCAACAGCCGAGAGAGAGAGAGAGAGAGAGAGAGAGAGAGAGAAGACAGCCAGTCAACCGAGACTTTCCGATGGTGTGTTAACCACCAAACACATGTACAGCAGAAAGTGTCCTGAGTTGAATATCGAGTTGCGAGCTACACCAAACTCAAGTGTTGATATGATGATGCTAACTATACACTTCCAAGTTGATGCTATACACGTGTGGCGTACCACGTGTTGTATATTGGCGTGCTTTTTGACAGGAATTGTGGCGGTAATGCGGCTTTTATCTGGACACTGAACATCGGACATTGATTGATCGATCGATCGTGAGTGGGAACAAGGACTCATCTCCCGCCGAGCCATTATCTTTGGTCCAATCGACACGCAGTCAACGGTGCTAGGCCACGTTTCATAGGCCCGAACCAGGCCAATCTAGACCGCAGAATGTAATGGCCCCCCGTTGATGCTGTGGATCCTGCCCAGTTGTGTATCTTTATGATGTAATTATTCTCCAAGTCCAAGAGAAGATAGAGTCTTGGCCGAAGTCTGGTTTTTCTTTGCCTTCCCTAGAACGGGTAAAAGCCAAGCAAGCTCCTTTGGAAACGTCCACCCCCCCTTGCCCATTCGTGCATAGGTATTAACGCCACCACCATTTGTTCCTATTGTGCTTCTTCGTCCGGATAGGTTGTGTGGGTTAGTCGTGCACCCCGCCGTTGAACCTTGCTCGGCCCCTCTAGGAACTCCCCCTCCCCCTCCAAGCAAGTCAAACACACAGGACGGGGGGAAAAAACGAACAACAAACGATCAAAGAAGGTTTGACGAAAAGAGGTAGAGGGCAAAAGACGTGACGATCCTCCCGTCGCTGTCTCGACACCTTTGGTCTTGACACACCCGCGCGCGCGCGCGCACTCCTCGCTCGGCCCGGAGCGCCGCCACCCACCCTTGCCTGTGTCGCCGTGTTGCGCGCGCCGGCGCATTCTCGCATCTCGATCCAAATGTCTGAAGCCCAGCGCGAGCGTGAGGTGCAGCGCTATCTCCAGAGCTGGGAGGTTGCACAGGGCTCCTCGCTCAATGTCGCCCTCAACGTAGACAGCCTCGCCGCCCCCGACTTACACGGCAATGGCTACAAACCCAAGCCATCGCCCGACAAGGCCCTGACCGCCTTCGCCCAGCTGGCCGTCTTGCGTCTCAACGTGAGGCGCGCCATGGTCTCGCTGATCGATTCCACCACCCAGACGATCCTTGCCGAATCCACCCGCGCCCTCCAGCTCGGAGACCTTAACGAACTGCAGGATCACCAGAGCGACGGCTTGAACAGCGACGAGGACCGGTCTACCGGTCCCAGTGCCGATTTGTGGCGTACGTAGTAGCCTCTTTACCACCCAGAACATGCCATGAGCACCGTTCATGACATTGTCGACTCTGAGCACCTCTGGCTTCCGCGAGAGAATATATGAGAGAGAGAGAGAGAGAGAGAGAGAGAGAGAGAGAGAGAGAGAGCCAGAAAGAAAGAAAGAAAGAAAGAGACAGAGAGAGGACGTGTACGTTTGGAGCCGATATGCTAACAACTGTCATTCTCACTAGTGGGCGCCGCCATATTGTCGCGCCCGGATGCTGTTTGCGAACACTCCTTGGTGAACACGTGCACCGGCCTCGACCATCGAGGCAAGCCGTATACAGCCACCGGCCTCATCGTCAATGACTGCCGTTTCGACTCCCGCTTCTGCAACCGGCCCTACGTGCTGTCCGAGCCCGGCGTCCGCTTCTACGCCGGCGTGCCCATCATCTCCCGCAGCGGCCACAAGATCGGCTCCTTTGCCGTCTCCGACGAAGTCCCTCACGATGGTCTGACTGCGGATGAGATCCGCTTCATGCAGGGTCTCGCCCAGACCGTCATGGAGCACTTGGAATGGGCCCGCGACCGCGTCGACCGCTTCAAGGGTGAGCGCATCGTGCGCGGCCTGGCCACCTTCGTCGAGGGGTGTTCGGTTCTCGCCGAAGACCAGACGACCACCAAGGACGAGGTCCCCCGGAGCCCCTCGACCGTACGCCCGCCAGACATGGCCCTCATATCAAACAGGCGTCCGATGCCCCGGTCAAACTCGTACTTCCGCCACGCCGAAACGAAATCGCGCTCGAGAGAGTCCTCGGCGTCCCGCCAGCAGACCGAGCCGGTCTCTCCCCCCTCCGAGATGCCGCCGTCGACCAAGAAGGGACCCCAGCCCAGGGCCGACGGCATGTCGAGGCTCTTCAGCCGGGCGGCCGATGTCCTCCGCCACTCCACCCTCGCCGACGGTGTCGCCCTCTTCGGCGCCACGGCCACGACCGACTCGACGCCGGGGAGCCGCCCCAAGTCGGGGAAAACGCAGTCCTCGGACGAGGAGGACGTCGCTCGGCAGCACACCTCGGGCTCTGGCCTCGACAGTTCCGACTCGGACACGTCGCCGTCGTCGAGGCCCTGCAGGATACTGAGCTACTCCGTGGCCGACGAACGGGCGCGCCAACGGATCGAACAGGGCCCGGCGCTGTCGCTCGGCATTCTCGAAAAGTACTTTGCAATGTTCCCGATGGGCAAGACCTTCTCCTTCACCGAGGCAGGCGTCGGCGTCTCGTCGGGCGACGACAGCGCGAGCGACAGGGAAACCATGGGCGTCGACGGGGCACCCCCCATCGACAGGTCCGAAGGCCGACGGCGAAAGGTCAAGATGGTCCACGAAGAGCTTCTCAAAAAGATACCGGGCGCCAAGACGGTCGTTTTCGTGCCCCTGTTCGACTACGGCGAAGACAAGCTCGCCGGCGGCTGCTTCCTATGGACGTCGGTTACCGGCCGCATGATGAACCTCGACCAGGACCTGTCCTATCTCCGGGCCTTCAGCAACAGCATCATGACCCAGGTCGGGCGCATCAACAGCCAGAAGAACGAGGCCGCCAAGACCACCTTCATCGCGAGCATGAGCCACGAGCTGCGCAGCCCGCTGCACGGCATCTTGGGCTCCGTCGAGCTTCTTCAGGACACCACCACCGACGCCTACCAGTCGGGTCTCATCAGCTCCATCGCCACCTGCGGCAAGACCCTGCTAGACACCCTGAATCACGTGCTCGACTACAGCAAGATCAACAGGCTCGGCCGGGCCCAGATGAGGAGGCGTGCCAGGCAGAACCAGAACAGGCCCGTCGCCATCACATCGGATTCTCTCGAAAGCCTCAGCATGACGTCCGTCGTGGATATGGCCGTGCTTGTCGAAGAGGTCGTCGACGCCATCGCCGCCGGTCATGCCTTCAAGAAGCTGGTAGGCACGGGCCCGTTCGATGGGCCGCCCAAGCCCAGCATCAGCGTCAACGAGTCGAGAAACATCCGATCGGTGGGCAACTTCCAGCCCCAGGGTCAAAAGGGCGTGGTGTCGGTCCTGGTGGACATTGACCCAAAGACGCCCTGGCTGGTCAAGACGCAACCTGGCGCCCTGCGAAGAATCATCATGAACCTCTTCGGCAACGCTCTCAAGTACACGTCAACCGGCTTCGTCCTCGTCTCCCTCAGCGGCCAGGTAAGGGCCGGTGGCTCAAAGATTGACGCCATGATCCGCGTGGCGGACTCGGGCAAGGGCATGTCGGAGGAGTTCCAGCAGACTCGGCTCTTCCTCCCCTTCAGCCAAGAAGACTCTTTCCAACCCGGCACCGGGCTGGGTCTGAGCATCGTCAAGCAGATCGTCGACTCCCTCCGAGGAAGCCTCGAGGTCAGGTCGGAGCAGAACCGAGGCACCGAGATCGACGTGCACCTCGGCTTCACCCCCGTGTCCGACGAGGCATCCCGCGAGCCCGACGAGGCGATGCGCAGCGCTATCGAACAGACCCGGGGGTTGCAGGTCGTGCTTCTCGAAGGAGGAGACGGCTCGGGATCACAGCCGAAGAGCCCACCGGCGGCCAAGTTGAATGGGATCCTCACCGAGACCTGCGCGGAATGGTTTCACATGAAGGTCGACAAAGAAGACCCGGCAGACCCAAAAGAGGCCGATCTCTATCTGTATTCCGAACCGCCCTCCAAGGAGGTCCTCGAGAAGCGATTCAAGGAGAACTCAAGTAGCGCTCTGAAACGCAGGAAGGCCCCATTCATCATCGTCAGTCCGAACGCCGAAGAAGCGGTACGGATTCTGGAGGAGCATAGCAAGCTTCTGATGGAATTCTCAGAGATTGTGGAAGTGATACCCCAACCGTGAGTATTTAGTAGTTTTCTTTCTTTCGATTGTACTGTACCCCTTTTCCCCCATCACGGCTGACGCCACCTCCAGCTGCGGTCCAAGAAAACTGGCAAAGGTCTTCACCCACTGCCTCAAGCGAGCGGCGGACTTGGAGAAGAACGGCGGGACGTCCGGAATCCCGGTCCGGTCCCTCTCCACCGATCGACAACAGGCCGAAGAGGTCGAAAGGGTCGGAACCCCGCTCCACCAAGACGCCAAGCCGGCCGAGCTGGAACCGGCCATGTCGGCGCAGCCCCTGATCAAGCCCCTGGGGGCCCTCGCGCTGTCGCCGGCGCTGAACGGCGGCCAGCCCGTCCTCGTCAAGCAGAAGACCGTGGCGCTGCACGTGCTGCTCGTCGACGACAACCAGATCAACCTCAAGCTCCTCGTCATGTTCATGAAGAAGTGCGGCTTCTCGTACGAGCAGGCCGAGAACGGGCAGGAGGCGCTGGACAGGTTCGTCGCGGCCTCGAGCGCGTCGGCCCCGGCGTCGGCCAGCAAGCGCCGCCGGTTCGACTTCGTGCTGATGGACATCAGCATGCCCGTCATGAACGGCTTCGAGGCCACCAAGAGGATCCGCGAGTACGAGCGCGAGCACAAGCTGCAGGCCGCGACCGTCGTCGCCCTGACCGGCCTGGCGAGTTCCGACGCCCGCCGGGACGCCGAGACCTCGGGCTTTGACGTCTTCCTGCCGAAGCCCGTCCGTTTCGCGGAGCTCCAGAAGCTTCTGACGGCTTCATAAAAGGCCGGCGAGCGCAAAAATTCGGGCCTCGCAGCCCGTCCGAGGCTTTTTAAAAAACTATTTCTTTTTTTTTCCTTTGCTTCCCCATCCCAGCACAAATAACCTGGGTGGTGCCAGTTTTACTTCGAAAGCCTTGACGGTATATATATAGCTTGTAAATAAAATGTCTCATTCTATGATTCACGAATGACAAGGATAGCCCCCCCCTTCCCCCCCCTTCCGTGCCAACCAAGTCCTCGAAGAAGAACCAATCACTTCGTCTCAAAAGGACCGCTAGCCCGGCTGACTAGAAAGGCGTTTCGCACGGAGCCGAGACAACCTATTCTTGCTGCGACAGGATAGGGGCGGCGGAAGGGTCATATGCCGAACCAAAGCCCCTCGCAAGCCAGGCGCAGGCATCGTGGACCAACTTCCGGCTGATTTGATGCACACTACCCATCAAGGTCAGAAACAAACCAAATGTCTTTTCCCAACCTGCCGAATCAAACGCGAGACGGGGAGGGGAGGGCCAACTCACCCGGCCAGCACGAGAACGGAGTGCGTCGCGCCCTTGTACACCTCGGTCCGGACGTCGACGCCGGCGCCGCGCAGCTGGTCCGCGTACGCGAGGCCCTCGGGCGTCAGCAGGTCGACCTCGGCGACGGCGAGCCACGTCGGTGGGCTGCGGGCGAGGACGTCGGGGGGCGCGAAGCACGGCGAGGCGTCCCACTGCCGCCTGTCCTCCGGACGCGCGAAGTAGAGGTCCTGGTACCAGCCCATACGGCCGGGAGTCAGCCAAGGGACGTGCCGGGAGGCGGCCCAGCCCGTCTCGGCGGTGGCGGTGCTGTCGATGACTGGGCAGATGAGGAGCTGGGAGATGGGCGCGGGGGCGACGCCGGCGAGGGAGGCCTTCATGGTGACGACGGCGGCGAGGTTGCCGCCTCTGGTGGGGAACGGGGCGTGTTAGAGGTCCTGCGGGCAAGAAAGAGAGAAAGAGAGGGGGGATAAGGGGAGGTTGACAAACGCTGAGACACCACCTATTGTAACGAGGCTTGTGTTGATGTTGAGCCGGGAAGCGGTCGCCGGCTCGAGGAGCCACTTGAGGCCGGCGAGGCTGTCGTCCACGGCGGCGGGGTAGACGTGCTCGGGGGCGTGGCGGTAGTTGATGGTGACAACCACGCACCTCACGTCTAGTCGTGTCGAGCGGTCAGCGACCAAAAACAAGGGGGAAGGGGTTTCTGACTAGAAACGGCCACTTGCGAAGATCATGAAGGAACGGGGAGGGGGAGGGGGCTCTCACATCGACAGACGTGGGTCAGGAACCCGTTCTCGCTGTCCAGCCCGCCGTTGACCCAGCCGCCGCCGTGCAGCCAGACGAGGCACGGCCAACCAGCGGCATTGGGGGCCTCTCCGCCTGGCCGTAGAGCGCGCGCCTGGACGCTGCCGCCGAGGAGCTCCTCGTCCCGCCAGTGCGTGTATACCCACTACCTTCAAAGGCATATCCCATCCGCGAGGCCTTGGGAGGACCGCAGACTGGTTTCACCTTTAGGTAATTTTAACCATCCTTTGGGTTTCGTAGCGCGGACCACCCGCCTTATGGCCCAAGGTGCCAGTTTAATCGATTCGGCCCTTGCTGTGGGTTGCGCAGGTTAAGTCAGTGTGCCTATTGCCCATTGCTATTTTTCGAGATATGCACCAAACCCGCAAGACCTAAGGGGATGAGACTCGTGGATAGAATGAATTATCGGAGCGGTGTGTGCCAGCAACCTACTTCATGGCGCGATCGTAGCCTCTAGAGTTGATCCTAACCGGTTGCCCCTGGTTGTCGCACTCACGTCGCTCTGACTCGACATAACTCTCGAATCCCATACGCCACGAGCATCTTCATTTACAAACGCCCCTTGATTGTGTACCTCGAACTAGTAGAGAGTCCGACGTTCCTCTACAGCAAAAGAACATCGGGTCGATGAATTGGTTGCAGCAGAATCCGGTAATCTTACTCAGTTCGCTGAAGGATCCATTTAAGCTGGACTAAGTCACAGCCATCTCTTAGTAGCGCTACCTGCCCGCGTTTAGTCCCACGGCCTGGCCTCGGAGGGTTCCATGTACTGGATGATGGCGTCGTGCAGCGCGACGTACTCCGGGTCAAGCCTGGCGCGGACGGAAGGGTGGATCGGCTGGTGGATTGTTCGTTCTTCCGCCATTTTGGGGGGTCCTTCTTTTTAGGTATATATGTATATAAATGTTTGTTACTGAAGCCCAAGATGATTCCGGGATAGTATTGGCGAGGTGTACCAAGGGAAGGGAGCAGATAAATCGCTGGGGTTAAGGGTTGAATTGACGTGATTGGGCGGGTGGAGATGGATGGTGAGGCTTTTAGAAAAGGTTTGCGAACGAACGAGCCCCCCCCCCCCTCCCCCGGCGGGATCGGGCGCGAGACCCGCTCGGCCGGCGTCTGATCGGACGGGAGAACCCGAACCCCTCTCTTGGGAGCTTCGGATCGGTGCAACCGTGGTGGACTTGTGAGAGGAATGTCGACACATCCTCTTGACTTTCACACGTACATGTGCTAAGGCTCGTATATTGCGGGTGGAATGCGTTGTACTGTGTCAGGTTTCGTATAATTCATCCCGAAAAAAAAAAAAAACCAGCAAGTGTCTATCGCTTGAGATCGGTTACATGCTCGGTCCCGGAAAAGAATATAAGCAGCATTCGGGGTTGCGCTCAATCCCGCAGCCTGTAGCGTTGCAAGAGGGAACGAGAAGCAGATACTTGTTGCTTGAGCATTGTTCCGGGATGCCGGCGCCTCCAGAGCGGCAGGGCAAATAGCCCGGGCAGATGGCCGGCGTTCTGGGTGGAAAGAAAAGGATGCGGTTCGACGACAGAAGATGCTCTGGGAACCTTCTTGGAAAGATGGCTGTGCAGCATATCGCGCTGGTATGAATAGCTTGTTGTCACCGCCAGTCGTGTCCGGACCAGCGCTCAGGCTCATATGCACGCTGGCCGGTCGGATGCCAGCTGAGAATCTCATTGATCCACGGCCATCTACCAACACTCTTCTCAAGACTTAGTCTTGAGAATAGTGAGCTCAACCCAGTCTAGTTGAGGCCCGGAACCGCATTGTTATGTCTCATTTTCTTGACGGACAATCATTCATTCATGAGCTCGGAGAATGACGAGTGTCATTTGTTGAAAGGTCTATCTCATACCGCATGAGGTTCTCCTAGTAGAGATAAGCATATAGGCAAGAAGCTCTTGGGGCTCCCCGCGATGGAATCACCCGACCTCCTCCCCGCAGAGCCAGAAGCGAGCATCCAGAGACTAGAATAGGTCCTGTACTACGAACCAGATCCTGCTTTTCCGTCTATGTTTCATCGGTCACCAGCCGTTCGGGTTACCAAGTCGAAAGCATTGTTGCTTTCGAAAGCTCATCGAATTCCCAGGCCTGTAACCTCACCAGCTTTGTCACTTTCAGAGGCGCGTCAGACAAGCTTATAGAACCGAACGAGTTGATGTGCTGATGCTGTTTGGACTGATGAGGGGACCTGAAAGACGGTAACTCTACGAAATTTGGGAAAGCTCGGAGGGCTTCCTCTGACAGGGCGGCAGCTTGACTTCGCCACAAACATTACATCCATTGGAGAAACCGCGCTGGCCAACGTGCCCCTCTCCTCTACAGCCATCTCGCTGCCCAAGTGATGGTTCTCGATCACCCCAGGGGAGAAGGCCAGCCCCTGGAGGCTGGAACGCGAGCCTCGCCATCGGACATGAGTGGCAGACTCCCAGACCAAGCACGGCGTCGAACCGACCCAAGCTGACACCACATCGGCATTCTTCTGTGGTGTTTTGATGGCCTTGAGGGAGGGCGACCAGAAGTAGTACGGCCGAGTCAAGCACGTCACAGACATACTTCTCTAGCCACCACAGAATGGACTGCATATACATGCTTGAAGTCTTCCCCGCCCGCTGGGCCCGATAATTTGAGCCTGGAAACCGTCACCTCCTGGGACAACATGACATTGTAGTCGAATCCGGGACGAATATTAACCGCAACCGCACCAACGGCCTCCCACCAAATGGCCTTGACTTGAGCAAGACGGCCGTCCGGACCGGCCCAGAGATGGGCGCCTCCCCTCGTATATAGGGCCGCTCCGTGGGCTGGTACATTATGGCCCTCGCCAACGTCATCGAACTCTTCCCTGAGCATCATCTAAGCTGAGAGTGCCTGGCCAGGTGCCCCCGGTCCATCTTCGACGCCGCCGTTGCCGCCCAGGACAAGCAGATCAAGGGCCCGTCATGACTCCCGGCCCCGAGGGGCAGTGGGGCAACTACATTGGGAGCTCCGGTTCCGCCATGTTCGTCTATGGTCTCTTTGAAGATCATCTAGCTTGGCCAACTCAAGGACGATCTGTACCTGAAGACGGTACTGAGCGGGTACGAGTTGATAATGAACGCGGTCGCCAGCACCCGCAAGAGCCATAACGCCCTCGTGTGGGGATGGGCTGTGCAGACCGGCAGCTTGAGCTTCAACGGAGAACGAAGCCTTCGAGGTAAGTCACATACGTGACAATCGAAAAGTCTACTAAATGCGACGATGGACCTCTCGGTCGGGAGGTTTTATTCGCAATTATCATGTGTTTCTGGAAACCAAGACCTAACCGTTGCGCCGGGCGAAGTTTCTCACCATTGCAGAACAGTCCAGCTATTCAACATTCGTGCCGAGAGTGAAACGAGCATGGTCGTACTGTGATTTATTACCAATGATTGTATCCAAGGTCCACACTATGCTGTCATCTTGATGCGACGGCCCCTGAGGTCTTTCACCTTCTTGTTGCTCTTTGCAAACTCGCACGACTCGCCTCCGTCGCCGTTGCCGCAGCGGAGGGGGAAAACGCAGCAGCCGTCGTCCACAAACTGCTCAAGTCCATCGGCTCCCTGGCCAAGTGACTTGCAGTCGGGACCATCGGGGAAACCACATCTTTTAGGCTTATTGTTAGTACAACGTTACTCAGGTAGAAGCGTGATCCGTGTCGTTGGGGAACTGTTAGGAAGCGTCCATCTGCACTTACCCCTTCTTGGCGACGACGCTGGCGGTAAACGCAGCAAAGATAATAGCGGTGAACTTCATTTTGTCTTGGTGGAATGAGATGTTCTGCACAGCAGGTTGGTTGATTAAATATTGGGAAGAGGTAAAGACGACCGGCGTGTTGTAGTAGATCAGGTTGATGATGAGATAGTGTAAATCATGAACGAAAAGATGAGGCTTTGACTTGAATTTATAGAAATTTTTGTTGATCGCGACCACTGCTGTACTATCCAAATATGATACAGCCTCGAATTCTACATAAGTTGACACTTCAAGGTTGAGGTTGTTTTACAAGGTGGTATTGGGTTCCCCGAGGAATACGGGGTAGGTCGTAACAGGACCCACTGCTGCCAAGCTCAACTTTTGATATTCTGCGGGTGTCTAACCTAATCGAGGAGGATGATATGTCAGCACGCATATTTACAGCCCTCTAAGCCTATCCCGGCTAGTCTGTACAGAAATATCATGTTCTATTACTTGCACCTAACATAACCCCAACCTAAATCCTAACCCCTAACTATCCTAACTACTAACCCTACGCATCTTTTATATATATACACATTACTATAGAAGATGTATAGGAGTAGTAGCTAGGATAGTTAGGGCCTAGGTAAGGTTATGTTAGGTGTAATAGATTATGTTATCTTGTGGCAGTAGTGGCTGTAGCTGCCAGATACGGTTAGATGCCTGCATAATATTACAAGGGCACCCGCAAAACCCCCGCTGCCCAACTTTATGGCCATTGAAGCTTAACAAGCTCTGAAACCAGCTCCATAACGTGTGTCAACTTGAACTGGGACCAGGTACATGTCTGTAATATCGGTCTTGCGGCAGCTGCGACTTGGCGTTTGACTATGAAAATCACGTAGATCGCATGCTGCTCTCCCTTTGGGACTTTGGTGATCACCACGAGGTGGACGTGGTGGACCTAACCTGCTACACAGGACTAAATGATTCCATAAAGGGGTCGAATAATCCCGGCGCTGCGGTGTCGAAAGGGATGGTAGGGACAAGGGAGGCCCAGGCCACCGCCTTACAAACCGAAGATCGGTGATATTCAACGACGAGCAATATCTCGATTGCATTCCAAGTTACCATCCGATAAGCATGCTTAACTTCGCCTGTCACCCTGTCTGACATATATTGCCGTCCAAGGCACCCCGGCGTGCATGGATCTCAACATGTCAGGGCCAGCCGAGAGCCGGACGGTTGGAGGACGCCAGTCGGGGGGTGGTCGTCAATGCGAAAGAAAACCAACGAACCGGAAGAATATCCGATGAAGTCCGTTGCCATATGTCGTATATTTCGCGACACGCTAAACTCGCTGAGGACAGCCTGAACCGACCGTCGTGAAGGTAGGTATGTGGTCAAAAGATGGTGAGGTGCCACGCGACATTTTGCATAAGAAAGTCAGTATGGCTTCCCTTGCCTTTAAAGAAAGTGATAATGCCCAGGCTGGGTACAGGGGCACGCACGAACTACTGCTCCAGACCCATGCATTTATGCACTAGATTTCTAGTTGCGTTCCAGAAGGTTGGGTGAGACTTAAGATCTGAGCACGTGAGGCACAAGTTTTCTGGAAGACACTCAGTTTGACATCCTGCGAACCATTTCACTCAGCAGGGTAGGATAGCTAAACGTAAGCTCCTGGCTACGTTGCAAGTTGACCGTAGCACGTAGGAAAAGTTGCATTTTCTGTAGGAGAAGCGAATTATTGGCATCCGCGGTAAGATGTCTCTGGCGCTACAATGTTGTACGTAAAGTTTTATATGTGCTGAAGGAGAAATATGTCGGTTGGTATTATCGAGTATCGGATGCACTAGGGTGAATCAACAATGCCTAGTCATGAGCGCTTACTGGCTCATCCAGTCTTCTTGGAGAATCTGGCAAGACATAGGACTTGTCTGATGCCTGGTATTGACCGAGATCGCTCAACTTGGTCTGGTCCTCGCACTCTGCAACATCCTCACACTCTGCAGCAGATCTCTTGTGCCCCCGATGAGCATACGATCTCATTGTTTCTTTAACTTTGCTGAGTAGTGGCCGCAGTGCAGGAAGGCTGCCACAAATCATCACCAAGTTAATTTCCAAGGTAGACCAAACGAGGATTTCAACATTGTCCCCTACAAATATTAGCTTGACATAGAATTGTGGCGGGTAGAATATGCTTACATGTCGCGTCAAAAGTATGGGAAAAGGTGACCACGAACTTTAGACGAACCATGCTTGCGACACAGGCACTTTGTATGGTCAGCCACCGTGAACATCACGCCACAGCCTCTGTATCTGTCACTTACACTGAGCCCAACGTCAGTAACAAAGCCAGAGCTAATTTCTTGCGCATGGGTATATTCAGTTTCAAGAGCTGAGGCAATGGCAAGACTATGAAGATGCAGTCATAAGTGATCGTGAAAGCTGCCCCTGCATAGCTGATGGCTTGGATGTTGAGACAGAAACCGGGAACGGACCGATCCCATATCGACTGAACCGGTGTGCATTGGAACGCCACCAGGAAGAAAAACAAAATTGTCTGAACTATAAGGGACGCAATGAGGCCAATAACCGCTATCCGAGACCAGCGGTCGACGAGGATCCGTAGGTACATGGCGCAGATGGAAATTTTGGCAGCGATGCTAGAACAAATCAGTGAAATTGCTCGTCTAGTACCAAGGGATAGAGGATGCTTTACTGCTTTACGAGATAGAATATCTGCATTATGTAGAAAAGCTTCCGGGAAGCATTAATGAATTGCGTACGAAATAGGGCCTAGGGGCAACGAACTTGAAGGATAGGCTTTGAATTTCCAGGTTTCACGTGCCAGAAGTGAAGGCCAAAGCCGAGTTCGACACCTGCAAAACGGCAAGGTTAACGACAACGTTTTCGGAATTTTCCAAGGCTTCAAGGGAAGTCTTTCTTACTTGCGACAGCGCATCCCAGCGTTATTATTAAGGAAAGCTATATTTGTCAGTCACAAAACCACAATGAGTCGATGATCAGTGCAGCATTTCCGAACACAACTTACCAAAGCAATCAGTGCTGTCCAATCATCCCACCAAAGCTGGATCCTGCCTATCCTCCTTGATATGAATCTCAAAACGACAACAATAGCCGTTATTGCTGGCAAAACGACGAGGAACACTCGGCAGACATTTCGACGGTGCTCAGGGATCGGATAGCCGTGACAAAACTCTTGCGATATGCGAGAGGTTACTAGTGCAGCGAACACGAAACAAATCAGCTTATTCCCTCACAAAGCAACCAAATAAGACACCGAGCCCTTTCCGAATACTTACGGACTTGTTCTTCGAATATGCAGGACGTTTGTACGCATGTTGAAACTTGCGATTGAAGCCGCATGTCCGAACACACGCATCCTCCGAATGACTTGCTGCCACATCTTGCTGTTTGTAATAGACCATTGAAACACGGCAACTGCCGGCAGGCAAGGGGTGTCAGCAAGTGTTTTCCAAAACAGTCAGTGAGCGTCGATTGGCTTGAAAACAATGTGTCACTTACTGAGCACTTTGGAAGATCTTCGAGGAGAGCAGTTGTCGAGGCACCAGCTCGTGGTTCCGGTAACAATGTTGCTGTAGCAGTGCAAATGATTACTAAGAACAGGCTGTTGTGTAGAAGCCTCATGATTTCCGCCGTATAGGATTCAATACAGCTTCAGGGATTGCCTCCAGGAAAAAGAAAGCGGAAGAAGGAAGGGTATATCCTCATATGGGGTATGGAGTCTTAGTGAGACATCTTCCATGACTCTGCCTTGGCAGCAATGCCAAGTAATAGGTAGTGCAAAGCATTGATGAAAGCGGAAGGGAAGGGGGTAACATGATTTTGTAGACTAACGCTCAGTAGTGCTTTGTTGGTCCGCGCCACATCAGGAAAGACTCCGTTTCCTTGACGGAGTACCCGCCAACGGTAGAGTAAGATATCGACAATCCCCTGCAAATCTCGCAAGACAGCAAGTGGCAGCATCATTCTAGTATTCAACAAGCATCCTGCTCGGTGCCATCATATAAAAAAGAACCCGGATTGCTTGGTTGATCAAATGTTTTAAAATCATACAATAATAGCAAGATCTACAATGATAATAGGTATTACAAGCAACCGAGTAACCGTGCTTGGCTTAGCTGAACCCTCTTCACTAGCATGTGTGAGAAGAGCCTAGCTTGGAAGTCTATGCAGTTGAGAGAGACAACTTTGCCTGTCTTTGTATTAGCTCACTGACTAGCGCTTTGTCCGCTGTGCATGACCATAGACTTAACTTCGTAGCGGCTGATGGAATCTAGCCTGTTCTAAAGGCAAAGTCCCAAATCAGCATCGTGTTCGCTAACTGACGCTTGATTCGAATGGAGAAAAAACGACTGAGCCGAATTGGGTATGATACTAGCGTACCTGAGGCACTTTGAGCATCCCCACTACAGCCGATACACCTACCAGTCCAACGTAATGGAAGAGTTTAGGCTAGGGTCCAATGTTCAGAAGATTTTGTAGTAGAGATATGCTATTTTCCCGGGCTATAATCATTACGTTTCAATAGCGAGCATTGGTGTGGCTGTGGCAGTTGATTCCGCTGTCAAAAGAAGTCAAATACATTAGTGTACCAATTGGCAGCCTGCATCGCTCTACCTGGACTCCCTTGATCCTACCATCTAACCCCACATCTATAACTATTCGTAACATTCTTTGGATATATCAAAATAAAAGTGATGCAAAGTAATTTGTTATAGTGCAGTAGAAACACCAGTGTATACTTCAAGGTCTGTATAGTGAACTTTGCGGATAAAATACTAGATTAGCTTGGATACTATTAGGTGAAAGACGCTGGCATTCTACCCGCAACCGCTCAGGTTACAAACTTTGCTCTCTGTATCCTCAATGTATTGTCACAGAGAAGCTGCATCCATTGCCGATGGATTCCGTGACGGGAGGTGGGATGAACTGACCTGAATTACCCAGTCCACAGCATGGCTACCTAACCGGAAGAATCGGTGAGGTGCCGAAAGAGCGCCGAAGCTGCCGATGAAACGCCAGAGCTGCCAATGAAGTGCTCCAGGTGGTATGCTGGTGGGCTTTCATGAGAGACACGAACTAAGCCCAGGACGGGGTCTCAAAGGAAGAATGCAAGTTGACAAGCGCAAGTCTTCGCAAAAAAGTCAAAAAGTTCAAAAAACAGAAATTGTGTATCTACCCATCGCTTAGACGGTGGCAAGTTCGGCCCATCTATGCGACGATAAAGGCTTGGGGGGTCTTCCTTTGGAGACCCTGCTTACGGAAAGAGGCGTCGAACTCGTCCGAGCCAAGTCTTCCGCCTAGACGCGGGCTTTGGGCCGGGGTTCAGGCTGAACAGAGTGGTAATGTTTGAAAGGATCATGTCATCCCGACAACTGGGCCTAGAACTTGAATTACTCCGCGGCATGGAGAATATGAGTAATCCGTAACAAAGAACAAAAAAACAAAAGAAAAACACACATAACGCTATGAACGCCACATTCGTCTAGTGTTTTTACCACCCCCCGGTTCTAACCCAGCAACTCATGCAGGCCCTCCTCCTTCAACGTCTCCCTGACGGCCTCCAACACCCGGGCATGGACGGAGGGCGGCGCGGCGACGAAGCCGTAGTTGGCCACCATCTTGCGCCCCGCCGTCAGGTTCACCGGGTTCCCGTCGACGTCGGTGACCTTGCCGCCGACCTCCTCGAACAGCAGCATGGCGCCGGCGTGGTCCCAGATCTTGGCGAGGCGGTCCCGCCGCCGGTACGCCCAGAAGGTGCAGTTGGCCTGGCCGAGGCCGAGCACGGTCCAGCGCAGGACCCAGCCGAGCAGGTCGTTGCCCGGGTAGGCGATGCCGAGGCGTTCGGCGACCTTTTGGTGGATGCCCGGGGCGCCGGACTCGGAGCCCTCGATGCAGGTGACGGAGACCAGGGGGGGACGCGCGTCGGCGTCGGCGTCGGCGTGCCGGGGGATCTTGGTCGGCGGCAGGTCGATGGGGCCGGACATGGGCCGGATGAAGGTGCCGTGGGACCGGACGGCGAACATGATGCTGCCGGTGCCGGTCGGGTCGATGGAGTCGTTGTTGATGGGCGCGGTGGCGTCGGCCGACAGCAGCGGCAGGCCGACGACGCCGATGCTCTGCCTCCCGTCCTCCATCAGGCAGACGTTGATGGCGTACAGCTCGCCCCGCACGAAGGTCTTGGTCCCGTCGATGGGGTCGAAGACCCAGAACCGGCCGGTGGGCGAGGGGTCGCCGAGGCCGCACCAGTCGATCATGTCGCACATGTCCTCGGGCGACGCGGGCAGCTTGCACAGCGAGTCCTCGTCCCTCTCGCCCGCGACCTGCTGCAGGAGCGCCCACACGGAGGCGCAGAGCTTCGGGTTCTCCCGCAGGTCCGCCGCGGACTCCTCGCCCACGAACTTGTCGCCGGGGAAGGCGGCGTGCAGCGTGCTGGTCAGCAGGGCCTGGATGGCGAAGTCGGCGACCGTGACCGGGCTGAGGTCCTCCTTTGTCACGACGCCCTTGTCCGAGGCGGCGAGGACGCGCCGGCTGAGCTTGGCGGCGTGCTGGACGGCGGCGATGGCGGCGGCCAGCTCCCGGGCGTACGGTCCGTCCATACTGGAGTATGCGCTTCGGCGGCGGGTGGGAAGAGGTGGGCGGTACGGAGTGTTCAGGGGAGATACCGGCACCGAGCGGAGCTAGACTGCAACGGTGATATTGCAGGGGGGGTAAGGAGAGGGGAATGTTCAGCGCGGATGAGTCAGACGGGGGGGGGGGGGGGGGTTAACTAGCGGAGGGATTCGTTGGTGTGTAATGGTAGACTTTTGACAATTGGATAATGGTGGTGGGAAAAGTGAATCAGTATGGGATTTGTGAAGGCGGCGACGGGAATGGCGCCGATGATGTCAGATCATAAGAAGGCTGTTCCCAGCTCTTTATGTGGAGCGCAAATTTTACCGGGAGAACTCCGGTGACGCCTTAGCACCGGCATCGGCATCGGCCGCTCCGAGTGGAAAAGCGGGCCTCCCGTTATGTTATCCTTCGGTTCGGAGCCGAGCATTCATTAATCACGGTTATTACAGCGTGAACAGGTACCGGGCGATGTGGCCGCTAGATTCAAGGGTATCTTCTGCTTCAAGCCCGTAAAGCATGTAATCCCCCCTCAACTCCCCGAGAAACCATGTCGCCCCTGCTAGTCTAGTCCGAAAGCTTCTCTGCATCTCATTTTGGCAAGGCAGCTGTGCATGTCTGCATGATGTATTTGACTTCAGAACACACGCAGTCACGTCAGTACAGGTTCTACCGCAAGCCAAAGACGTCGGACTTACCGTGTTTCCAGTTCCGCCGCTCGTGAAACTTCACGGCCAGGTCATTCCACAACTTTACACACCACGAGGCGACGAGGGCATCCCGCATCGCCTGGTCCATGGGCACCAGGACGTTGAGGCTGTACATGTTATCATTGGAGTACTCCACGGCGACCCGGTTCTTGGCCCCGTCAAACCAGTCCAGCACGTCGTTGTTGCGCCGGACGTCGAAGAGGAGCCCGCGCGCCTCGTACTCGAGCGTGTCGCGATCCTTCCCGCTGGTGGCCCGGCGCCGCCCGACGCGCCACGCCTTGCATACGCTCTTGCCAATCCTTGTGAACTTGAGCCCGATGTTGCCCAGCCCGCTCCGCGAGACGGGCTTGATGTAGTAGGGGAACGCCTCCTGCAGGATGGCCGGCGGCCGTTCCAGGTTGAACGCGTGCCTCGGCTGCGAGGTGATCTCCGGGACCGAGGAGGCGGCGGCGGCGGCGTTCCCGCCGGCTTGCCGCTTGATGGCGTAGTCGATGCGGCTGAACTCGACCAACCTGTCCGTCTCGCGAAGAAAGTCCATCTGGTGGTTGAGCTCGTAGCGCCCCGGCGCGTCCATGTCGCGCGAGGTCGCCGAGTGGATGGAGCGGCCAGCCAAGCGTAGCGTGTCCGGGGGCAGGCGCTCGCGGACGGCGGCCCCATCCGCCGCATATTCCGGCGGGAGATCAGCATTGGCGGCGGAGCGGGCCATGGTGCGCGCTTCTCCCTTGCTTGGCAAGGCGGTATGGGATCTCTGGCGATGGGCGAAAGTGGCTACCAAGGGCCAGAACGATGCAGTTTTTTAGTTTTTTTTTTCAGTTTTTTTTTGTCGTCCCGAACGGCTCGACGTGGCTTCTTTGTCAGGAGTCGAGTCTTGGATTTAGACTTGCGGTGCGTGCAGTGCTGACGCAAATCTGACTCGGGATGCCGATGGCACGGCTTTTACGGTCCAAGCCATCACCTTAGGCAGCTACTTGGTCGGCGGCGGCGCGCGATAAAATTGAGGCCATGGCCAATGACTCTTGGGCGGAGGCGTTTATGCCCGGCGCAGAACGATTCCACGAGCGCTAAGGCCGGACGCGATCGAGTAAGCAGGCATACAGAGACTAGGGCATGGAATCTGGTTGGCTGGTGGCCCTCTCGCAGCTCTGGTTCCGCGATTTATGGTACGCATTCGGAGGGCCCTAATCCTCCAAAAAGATGTCAGCTGCCACCGTTATCGTTGCCCGAGCTTGTAAGCTTCGAAAAAGAGCGCAATTGCAGGCAGATGCGGTCATGATCTCGGATCTCCCGGGTTTCGCCGTTGCCGATCGCCTTTGCGCGATTTGGGATGAACAAGCTCGCGGAACTAATGTCAGGAGTGATCAATAATACAGGAAGCGCACGTCCATACTACGGGCCACCAGTGGCAGATGGTGACGCTGTCGCGAAAAGCGTCAACCGGCGGTTATCGGGTTGCTCCAAAACCCATTATCAGTGCTGTCGGCGACATGAAGCTGCGGCGGTGGCTATGACGCTACTGTAGGCAAGAGTGAATTTCGACGATAATAATAGTAATGATGATGATGATGGCACTCGCAAAGGACGTAAAGGGTGTGACGAAGCAGCGATGGGTAACCCTAGGGTTTAACCCAGGTAGATGGTTGCAGCATTCGAAATTGAAATTCAGGGACGTTGCCCAGGCACCAGGGATTCGCCTTGCAATCACACATTCGGCATGCTGGGCGTGAGTGGCAGCATGAACTTTTAGCGATTGGACTTATGTGGCGCGCCCCATCTGGCGTATCGATCCGACAACCGATGCTGACAACGGCCTCACTTCGGACATCAATTGAACAAAGTACTGTTAGATGGACACACACAGGCGGAACCTTGGTGTCATGATACATACGGAGTAGATGGGTCATAAAAGCGTTGGCTGTTTCCCTTCTTCCGCCACTGTCACCGTTTGGGCCGTTGGTAGCCGCCATATCGAGAATTGTGGAAAAAGGGATTCTTTCCCAACGGGAGAACCACAACAGAAAGGATTTTTTTTTTTTAAAAAAAAGGCCCCAGCTGAAGACCTCTCAAAATCTGCAAAGCCTTGTTTCAAGACGTTGGCATTAGATAAATCATAATGGACAATGCGACTGAGTGGTCTCGCTGAATCGCACAATGTCAGCCGAGGCCATGTCCTTGCCTTGTGCCTTGCGCCTTGCAGTGAACAGGCATGGATGCCATTGCCCGCGCAATTATTCGCCGGCTACCGCGCGCAGCCTACGTCATTCTCGCTTTTTTTTTTTTTTTTTTTTTTTACGGTGGGTGAGCCCGAGGCTCCTCTCGGCCGCATGCGCGCCGTTCGGACAACTACGGATCCACAGTACATTCGGAGATGCGTACGAACGGGCACCAATTCCAGGCGTTTCCCTTCGTAAGGTCGCTCAGGCTACAATTTTAAACAAAGAAATACCGTCCTAGGTACAGCATAGTTTTCAAAGAGGTTTGGGAATTTACGAGATAAAAACCATCCAGTACGATGTTTGCTTAATTCATTGACAATATGGAAGAGGCACTGTAAAAAAAAGAACTTTGTATTCTGACTCTTGCCTTGCCGGGGTACGTACCGTGAAAGGCGCCAAGTGATAAAAAGCAAGGCAATACGGATACTAATACTGTACATACATAGTAGTAGGTAGGTAGGCAGGACACGGATACGTATACTAAGACTAAAAGCGGACCCTACATGCCCCGCTACAGGTGGGGCCTTACGGTGTGGAGGTCCCCCCGCTTCAGCGTTCGTTCCAATCACGTGGTCGGAAGTATCAACGCCGTCAGCGACTTGGCCAAAGGCATCGTATCATGTCTCCACTGCGGTACGTATCCACTATGATGCCTCGTGAGGCCGCACATGTACTCTATACTCCGTACTCCGTATACATAGACAAACAGGGTCGCAGGGGTAGATTATAGGCACATTTGTACGTAGTGTACGATGTACTCTCAAGACAAGTCATTCCCTCGGGGCCAATGCAAATCTCAATAACATGCCCAGTAAACGCCCAGCGGCGCGCGCTTTGCTTGTGTCCCCGACAACGACAGCAAAGTGGCTGGCTCGGGCCCGTCCGAGAATCTTAGCGATGCTTGCTTTCTGATCTGATCGTCTCTCGAATCGTCAATGGCTTGGTAGAGACGACCTTCTTTCAACGACACGCCCATCCCATCCCTTATCGCGCGCCACGAGACGGCCAGCCACCCACCTCCAGCCTCGCTTCGCCAGGGTTAGGGTAGGCAACAGTACCTACTTCGTATCCACATGTCTTGGCTGGGCATTGACTGGCGGCTGCATATTAAGTGGATAAGTGTCACGACTCTCTCTCTCTCTTTTTCATTTAATTTTTGGGCCTAACTTCCTCAAGATACGACGGTCGTGATTGGCTGACGGTGTTTTTAGATGACTGAGGTACATACCTGAGGCAGTATCACTCTTAGTACACTATTCTTAGATGACATAAACTTAGAGTTTTTTTTCCCTTCTTCCTTTTCTCATTCGCAGTCTCTTATTCGTCCATGTACTTGTACTCCATGTTTGCACAGCGTCTGGGTTCCACGGCATACCCTTCGGACTTGCCCTCAAGACCCCCCGTTCGGTCCCTCCAACACTGGGACACCGCACCTCCAAAGACACTACACGCGATGTACATAGTACCCTTGAGAGTTGAGGCCCCTCCTTCGCACGGCCGCTGACCGTAGTCTGACAGTACGGAGTAGAGATTGGCAGATTGTGATGGCCGGCGATATGGGGGATACGTATCGGAATGAAACCTTCCCCCCACGCCCGCAGAATCTCGCCATTTCCACCGTGCCGTCCGTCCCTGAAGATAAAGCTGGGGAATTTCCCACCTTATCTGCATTCTTCCCAGGGTTAGCGATATGGATAACACGGCATCCTTTAGTCAAAAGACTTTCGCAACGGATAAAGAAAACCCCAAGACTACAGTGCTCCAGGGCGGCGATAACGCGCCTGCTGCCGACCACCTGATCGGACTCAAACCCCGGTCCAATGAGTGCCCGCAACCAGGCCGGGAATGATACTAAGATAGACATATGACGACATTGCGGACAATACCCTCCCTGGCTTGCCTTAGCCCCAGCGCGCCGCGCCAGAGTATTGGGGCTGGAGTTCGCGACGACGGGGAGGGGGAGAAGGTGGTACGGAAACCAGGGACGGCCCCGGTCCCCAACTCCACACAACCCTACAACGTTTCGTGGGTTCCGTATGGGTACACCCCGTTGTCCCTGGATTTCTGATGCAAAGTAACGCCGTGAAAGGACGGGCTGTGATTCGACCGAAACCTACAGTGGTTGACGGCTGAAGAACACCAGCCAACTCCTACTACTATGTACTATGTAGTTGTAATACCTACGCCGCTGCGCTGTACTGTGTGGCATGCGCCGCAGATTATTGGGATGCTGGGCGACCGTCGTAAAGAGTTTTCCCCCAGTATGGATACAACCAACCGTCCAACCCCCCCTCTCTCTCTCCTTGGACTAGACGAACCGTTGATCTTTCCTCTTCCTTCTTCTGTTCCCTCCTCCCCTTCTTGCGACCATCAAAACCTAACCTTCTCCCCGTCAAGATTCTGCCGTCCACTTCCAAGTTCCTGCGTGCTCGGTCGATCTCCTCCCCTCTCACCCTCCCTCACACACATCCTCTGTCTTTCACTCTTAACCCACGGTTTCCACCCTCACGCGACCTCAACTCCTCCTCCCTTGCAACATTCCTCCACATGAGCCTTGCCGTGGTATCCTCCGCCTCCCGTCTTCCCGTCTCACCCGCAGGACGAGTCTAAATCTCGAATTTCACCCCCCGCGCCACGAAGAGGCTTCAGCACGGAAACCTCATACACACACACGCGCGCGCACACACCCAACAGCCATGTCGGCTTCCGAGCTCAAGGGCCCGGCCGAGACCGTCCCTGGCGAGAGGGCCTCCCTTGATAGCTATGGCTCCTCGGTGCGGCACAACTCGGACGGCCTCCTGCGCCGCCTGGACAACCGTCAGATCCAGCTGATCGCCATCGGCGGCACCATCGGGACCGGCCTCTTCGTCACCATCGGCGAGGGCCTCGTCAAGGGCGGGCCCGGCAGCCTGCTCATCGCCTACACCCTCTACGCCTGCGTCGTCGCCCTCGTCAACAACTCCATCGCCGAGATGAGCACCTACATGCCCGTCTCCGGCGGCTTCATCCGCCTCGCCGGCGTCTGGGTCGACGACGCCCTCGGCTTCATGGTCGGCTGGAACTACTTCCTCTACGAGGCCCTGCTCATCCCCTTCGAAATCACCGCCCTGAACCTCGTCTGCTCCTTCTGGAACGAAAAGATCACCGAGCCCGGCCCGACCGCCGGCTTCTGTGTCGCCATCATTATCTCATACGCGTAAGTCCACTGCCTGTCCGTCGAGATGGTTGACCTCTTCTTTTCTTGTTTTCCCTCCAGGTCCAAGCGACTTCGAAACCCCCCCCCCCCCCCCCCCGGATAACTCTTACAGCTCGTCGTCGCGCCCCGTTGTGATTCCTTCATCCCCATCTTCCCCCACCTTTACTCTTTCTCTCTCTTTTCTCCTCTCTCCCTCCCTCTGCCCCAACTCGCTCTCCATGTGCTTGCTTGTTGTGTATGCATGCTAAACGTCGATTGTGTGAATCTAGTCTCTTGAATGTTGTTGCTGTTGGCGTATTCGGTGAAGCAGAGTTCTGGCTCTCGGGCGGCAAGGTCCTGCTCATCTTCATCCTCTTCTTCTTCACCTTCATCACCATGGTCGGCGGCAACCCCCAGCACGACGCCTACGGTTTCCGCTACTGGAAGAACCCCGGCGCCTTCTCCGAGTACATCACGCAGGGCAACACGGGCCGCATGGAGGGCTTCATGGGCGCCCTGGCCACCGCCACCTTCACCATCGTCGGCCCGGAATACATCTCCATTATCGCCGCCGAGGCCAAGCACCCGAGCCTGTACATCAAGTCGGCCTTCAAGACCGTCTACGTGCGCTTCGGCATCTTCTTCGTCGGCGCCGCCCTGACCTGCGGTATCGTGCTCCCCCACAACGACCCCATCCTCGAGAAGATCTACCTCGGCGGCGGCGCGGGCGGCGGCACCGCCGCCGCGTCCCCCTGGGTCATGGCCATGGAGAACATGAAGATCCAGGGCCTCCCTCACCTGGTCAACGCCCTGCTCTTCACCACCATCTACTCCGCCGGCAACACCTACGTCTACTGCACCACCCGCTCCCTGTACAGCCTGGCCCTCGACGGCCGCGCCCCGGCCGTGCTCCGCAAGACCACCAAGAACGGCGTGCCCATCTACTGCTTCGCCGTCACCATGATCTTCCCCTTGCTATCCTTCCTGCAGTGCGGCAGCGGTTCCGCCAAGGTCTTGAGCTGGCTCCTCGCCCTCATCACCGGAGGTGGCGTGATCAACTACCTCGTCATGTCCATCACCTTCCTGAACTACTACTACGCGTGCAAGGCCCAGGGCGTCGACCGCCGCACCAGGCCCTACTACGGATACTTCCAGCCGTACGGCGCCTTCATCGCCCTCTTCCTCCAGTCCATCGTCATCCTGACCTACGGGTGGTCCGCCTTCCGCCCCGAGTTCAGCGTTGCCTCCTTCTTCTCCAACTACACCATGCAGATCGTCGCGCCCCTCCTCTTCATCTTCTGGAAGGTGTTCAAGCGCACCCGCTACATCAGGCCGAAGGATGTGGACTTGACATGGGACCGCCCCATCATTGAGGCCTACGAGCAGCACGCCACGTTGCACGAGCCCCCCGCCACGTTCTGGAGGGAGATAATCCAGATGGTGGGGATTGGCCGGAACAAAGTGATCAAGGGGGAGAAGGCTTAAAGAGTTTTTTTCCCCCCTCCACTTCTTTACCTTGCAAAGAAGAATAACGCGAGATACCCCAGTGTGCTATATATATGCTCAGAAATTCGTGAAAAGAAAGAAAAAAATAACATCAAGACTTTGATATCATTCGTGTGTCGCATTGTATTAGATGAACCTATAAACAAGTGAAGTCATTGCTCATCGCCGATGTTTCCCCAGACCAGCACGGATACAGCGGGTTTCGCCGTCTAAACAGGTTGGCCAAGCCAAGTCCTGGTCGTCATGGGATGCATTTCCGATTACACATCAGACCGGTCCCATGTTATGGCTGGCTCTGAAGCACGTTCCGTCGAGCAGCATCGAGATTTGTATCTTGAAACCACCCCCCCCCCCCCTCCCCCAATCGCCTCGAAGCAAATACTTGTTTCGCGGCGGAAATTAGTAATACATGACGCCGCCTGCGTGATGCACCCTCCGCATGGGGACGGATTCGTCCATAACCAGGTGCAGGTTCTGCTGGTCGTCCGCCCGCACTCGCACGACCCTCTCCCACACCCTGCCCGACCCCGCGTCTCCGCTGCCGGGGCCCGTCAGATTCTCGTCGGCGGGCGGCTGCGACCGCAGCGCGAGGACGGACAGGTCCTGCAGGGTGCCCCAGGGCCGGACGCTCCAGACGCGCACCGGCTGCCCCTTCCACTCGACGTCGTAGTGCTCCAGCACGTGGGCGCAGGCGATGACCAGCGCGTAGACGGTGAGTGTGGCCAGGTAGATGGACATGACGGCCACGGCGAAGCGCAGGGTCGTGCGCGGGTCCCCCGAGCCGTAGCCGTACTGCTGGACGTCGAAGTCGAACTCGAGGAACCCCTGGTACCGGCTGGACAGGCGCGCGATGGTCTCGTTCAGGTACGTCGTGGTGTTCTGCCTCTGCCACCGGACGTGGGTAGCGTTGAACGTGTCGATTCTGTTGACGCCGCCGAAGTAGCCGTGCTGCGAGAGCAGGTCGATGCCCGATATGTGCGTCTCGTTCTGCTTCAGGACGAGATACGGCCCCATGTGAGACCCCGTGCGAGACAGGCTGTCGGTGAGATACGTCGCGAACAGCTTCTCCAAGAGGATCTCAGCCGCCGTGATGTTGTTGGCCTCGACCGGAGCCAGCACGGCCGGGACGCTGCCGTTGGCAGTTTCCGTAGTGGTGAACAGGTTCAACAGCCGAAGGATAGCAGTCGTCGGCCCCATGACCCCATCCGGCCCCGTCTCATTGAGATGGGGATCCATGTACGGGAACCAGCTGTCGTTGAATCTTATAACGTAACCGTCATTCAGCGTGCCTCCGTTCACAATCCTTTGCATCCCGGCAGGACTGCTAACGGTGGACTCGATCGTACGGCTGAGCCAGGGATCAAAGGTGTAGCTCGCCGCGACCCAGGTTGCGAGCAGACTGCAGCCATAGATCCAGTCGTTTTCCATATCGGTCGAGCCGGGGACTTGGCCTGAGATGACGACGACCGAGCTTCCCTGGGTGCGGAAAGCCGGCGGAGTTTTTGCCCGCTGTGACTCAGTCAGCCGTGTCACAGGAAAGCTCTGGGGCAGGTCCTTGTGCTGTTGGCAGAGGGAATCGTTGAAACAGTTCAAGTAATTGGTCGGATAGTATGGCAGCTGTCCCGGAGGGAGCTTATCCGCATCGTAGACTTTGCACTTGGACTGTACCAACGGTTGGTAGATGGACTTGTGCGACTGATTCCCTGACGTGTGCGACAGCCTGGGCACCAGTTTGTAGTAAACTCCGTTCGATATTTCACCGACCGGGCTTTCCCGTATGTAGTTGTTGAACAAGCCAACGGTTGACACAAAGGACCTGGACGGAGTGGTAGCGATCGTTGTCGAGCGGTTGGAGTAGGTGAGAATCAGGTTTCGCTGCATGGCTGGGGATTGGAAAGTGACGTTCGCCTGCAGGTTGCTGGAGCCAAAGCTCTGGGCCCAGGTCCAAATTTCGGAGAAGCCACCGGCCGGGCAGTACCTCTGGTACAGACCTTGAGAGCCTTTGCACTTTTCCCAGTCGGTAATGTAGGGATCGGATTGATTCGTCCACGGAGCCTGATCCGGGCTTAAGAAGCGAGGCCAGACGCCGGCGGCCGTCGACGGATAGACCAACGGCATGGTGATGTTGTCGAACGCCAGGTCGTGATTCATGGCATACCAGCCGGGCGTCGGGATGAGGAGGATGGCAGACGCCGGCCCGACGAGGGCCGAAAGCATCGTCGCGAACACGAAGTACGCGGCGAGAAGGAGATCCCAGGAGCCGAACCCCCCGAACCCCTGCCGCCAGAACGCCGGGCTGACGAGATACTCGAGGTCACCGACCCGGTACCCCCCGGTGAGGAACCCCAGACGGACGCCGTCCCCGATCAGCCGCCGTCGGAAGATGTTCAGGCCGATTGCGGACAGCGACGCCACGATGAGGAACTCGTGCACCTTGGCAGGCAGCTGCAGGACGTTGTTGAGGTCGTCGGCCGTCAAGTTGAGTCGTTTATTCTGAATGCCCGAGGGCGGGTACCAGAACAGCCTCTGCTGGCTCAGAACGGTGACGCCAACCGTCAGGACCAGGGCCGGGACGTGGATGATCCATCCGCTGAAGAAGCGCCATCGTGACTGGCGCACCACAGGCTTGGGATTTAGGCTTCTCCTGCGGGCCGTGATTGGGGGCGAGAACTCCCCAAAGCTGGCCCTTTTCAGGTAATGATTCAGGGATAGGTGCGTTGGGGGTAGTTTCTTCTCGTCGGCGCCTTTCCTGCCCTCCATTCCGCGAGTCTCGTTGGGGGCGCTCCCCGTTTCGCTGCTAGTATCACGCCGCTGGGAGCTTCCTGTACCATCCTGGAACCAAGTCCCATGATTCTCCGAGCCCCGAAAGACCGCTGGCGTCTCTGCTGGTGGTGGTAGCCGAGCGTCGGATGTGAATAATGCGGAAGCTTGGAAGAGGGATGGATCGCTGCCTTCTTGGGCCCTCTGTCGGCCTGCGCTCATAGTGCCCGAATGAAGAATATATGTAGATAATGGCCAAACAGGTTGAGTGCTCGGAAAGGCAACAACAACCTTCAAGATTCGGGCCCTTGGTGCGTCAAAATCCACATGTTTCCAGTACGGCAGGGCGAAACCGACGAAGCGTTCTCGCCTGTCGACACGACTTTCACTTCGAGTTGAAAAGATAATGTAGGGATTAGAAAATGAAGGAACGCGAGAATTCTGCTGATGGCGAGGGGTATGGGGGCCCAGGTCTCACGTTAGCCTTCCCAAATGCGGTGCCTGTCTTTCTCGACACCGAATCCGTTCTTAGTGCGCACCCGTATAATGACTCCGAGTGTCTCAACTCTCTGGCATCGATCGTGAAGTAGATAAGAAGGCCAAAAAGGCGTTTCCCGGTAGCTAGCCCGCGATTGGGGATACTTGAGATAACGCAAAGTCCTTTTTCGTGTGAGTGGGCCAACGGATGCCATAGATCGAATGGTAATGACATCGAGTTTTTGTGCCTCACGGCAAAGATCATGTCTTGATACGGAGGAAAGGGGAGCAAAACAAAGAAAGTCGACTTAGAGCGCGTGGTGGCGCAGGTTGATGCAGAAATTCTAGCCAATAGTGTCCGCGCGCAGCGCTCAAGACGACTGGAGAGCAAAAAACGACAAGCATTTGGCCAGGCCCAACAAGCGTGACCGGCACTGGAACCGGAAGATATCAGAATGTTGGCCAGGAGGCTGGTATTTGGCGGCGGGTCAAGACAAGATGGTCGCTGGCCAAGCAACAACTGCTACAGCCCCAGGAACGAGAATTTACGTTAAGAGAGACAGGGTTTCTCAGACCTTCTCGAAAATTTCGCTAGACCATCGATGCCGTTACAGAACGGGTCGGACTTGTGGCAACGGCGAAATCTAGTGCCTGGTGGAAGTTTCCACCTCTCCTTTGTAAAAGGAACTTTTTGTCTGTTCGCATTCGCCGATCATGCGCTGTTGAGCATACCATGGGCACTGCGTGACAACGGGCTCGTAATTATCGATGTATAGCCTTTCAAGATACATATATCCATTAATCGACCGGGCTGTCGGCGCCTCCTATGCTATGACTTCCGCCCCATCTTGTTATAATGTGCCGCGGCTCGGACAAGTTTTCAGGAAAGCTCCGAACCATACGATATCTACTTGCCGCCCACTCACACTACCAAAAACACCCAAAATGGGATCTTCGGAGAATAGGAGGAATATTCCGACTCGATAGAAGGCGCTAGGTCGATCAGCTGGGTGTACGACCAAACCCCATGCCGTTTTGGGGGAGGTCGCATTTTGACAGAAAGAGCAGTCGTCCATCTTCTGATAGTCTTCGTCTGTGAGCACATTAGGCGGGGTTGGGAACAGATATGTCTACTCTGGCGTGTTCCGAAGGCTTACAAGCCATTGGAGTTTTGGCCAGTTATTGGTCTGGAAGCAGCAGCTGGAAGCGAGTAACAGCTGCATCTTGCCAGGCGGTTGGACCTGGGTCGATTCCACCGTCCAGTCAAACACGCAAATCCCGCTGCCATCTACAAAGTATCCGAATGGGGGATGCTCGCTGGTGCGAGGCTCTATAATGACATCTGAGGAGAATGCCGCCAGCTTAGCAAGTAAACATATGTGAGAGCCGCTGTTGAGACGGCCGAACTGGCTACGCCATTGCAAATCCATCGCATGCCGGACTAGGACGAACTCGGGGCAAACGTGACATGGTAACGTTTCGGAAACTGACATGACCTTCTGGGCTCCATCATTTTCTTCGGACGAGCCCTCGAGGAAATACCGACGGTTCGGGAGGAGCTCGAACTGCCTGGTTTGCGATGCCCAGCTCCACGACGGGGCCACATAGGGGGAAGACTGCCGCTTCTGTCGAAGGGAGGCGTCGAGGTCTCCAATCTCTGGGTTTGTGACCTCCCAAACCAGCCCGTACTGCCAGTCTCTACTCCAGAGACCCGCTAGGTACGTGTCGTTTGTGATTCTGGCGCACTCCTCGTCCAATCCTGCTATACCTGGCAGCAGATCTTCCCCGAAGCTCCATTCCCTGGTCTGGATCGTCAGGGTCTCGTCCCACCGGGCGTATGCGTCTCGTACCCTGAGAGACGCCTCGCCCGGGTCTTCTGGCTCCGGCTCTTGCGCCATAGCGATGAGAGGCCTCAAGGATCCATGGACAACGGAACCGTTCATGAAGTAGGAATCTTCGGATACCGCTTCTTTTTCACAAGCGAAATGCCATAATCCAGACCCAAAGAAAAGCAAGCGAGTTGAGAGCATGTTTTCTTGGTATGTCCAGCCTCTCGTCTCCCATACTGCTTGCGTTAGATCTAACATCAGGGGCGAATTCCTCCAGGACGACACTCGGCCATCAGAGGACGGATAGAGTGTATAGGCCCCTCGGACACTATTCTGTTTTGTGGACTGAAAAGCAACGTCATAGCCTGGTGATCGGGGACCCAGGTACCCCTGTAGACATGGGTTCGAGGCCAGGGGACAGATTGTGAGTGCCGAGCAGTAGTAAACGCGGCCCATAGATAAACTCTCCTTGTTCCAGTCATCGGAATCGCCCTGGATGATACACAGCGCATCGACCCATAGATATCGTATGCCAAGAGCCCTGCATGTAATGACCGTATCTCTAACCACTGGTGCCATTGATTCCATCGAAACTTTCTCGAGGTGCGCAGGTAAGTTGGCTCGCGTAGTTTTGAGTTGCTGATCGGCGTCTTCCTTTGGGCCCCAGCAATAGCTCAGTGTGGCATACTGGACTTCGGGAGAGTTTATAGTGGCTCGATGTGCGAGTGTGTCGGACAATACAAGCCGAGGATCGTCCTGACCAGTCTGACCAACGTCAATCAGCCTCGTTGGAAGGAAGGAATCAGTTTGTTTAATATGACCGCACTCGGTCTGACATCGTCACCACTCAGACTTTATCCAAGCTACATTCTCGGAACTTAGAGGCCAAGGTGAACGCTTAGCATCGATTCTTAGCCAGTCCATTAGTTCTTCTATTGCACCACCAGCCAGTGGCCGAAAAGCATACATCATTCAAGTCTGCATAACGCTGCTCGTTTCGATGTTGAAAGTCAAAGCCCCGAGGGACTTTCGTGGAGAGGGATTGTAAACCTCACATCTCCAGAAGACCAACCCCTCGTTGTTGACCGTGGTGCCAAAGATGTCTCTATCAGCACCCCAGATATAACCGGCGTTGATATGAACGTCTCTACTCTGTCCTCTGCCGCGTTTGATGACGTGTTCTCGGACGAATCCACACAAGCCGCAACCAGCCTGTGCAGAACTAGCCAGACCGGGTAACTCTGGTAGTGTATCTTTCCAATGACAAGCAGGCCGGAGACATACGATATTACTCTTGTCCTCATTCTTGTTTCTAAGAGTTACATGAGTGTCGTGGAGTGCCTTGCCTTCGATAAAGTCCTCGTTGCTGTCGTCGAGGATCACATTGGCACATCCATTACAGAGAGTGACACCGCTAAGTGCGCTCAGGTTGGTTTGTGCCGTAGAATCCATCAAGCCCAGGAATTTAAATGAGACTTGGCTGCCGTACGCTCAATAGTGCAATGTTATCAAATGAAAAATAGCCTGGAACAAGATAGACAACCAGTATCAGTGATTTTAGTCGTGCAGCAATGAGGCCCTGGCGGGGTTATGAGAACATGAGCGACCATCAGCAGCCAATGAGGGATTTTGTGCAAAGTGGAGAAGACTCCTTGCAGACGTGAGAAGGACTGATGATGCAGCCTGCATGATATTTGTATTACTGTATATAAAGGATTAGCGTGGGATGCTGATTTAATATGCAATAAAAGATCATAAAGATGTGATGAGCCTCAGTACCCGCTACAAAAAAGTGTAAAGTAACTTTTCTATCTAGAAATTACGCATAAGATCGATGCCAAGTACAAAGGTCTATATAACGTGGTCTATACGTGGAGTAAGCCGTCTCTAAAGCGCCCAAAAGTGATACTGGCCAAACAAAGCTGTTCTCAGCTTCGCAACAGAGGAGCTTCGTAATATAGCTTAGGTACTCTTCATTTCAGCTGCTTGTCATATGACAGAAGAATCGGCAACCCCCTCGTCTCGGACCTCTCAATGTTTGTGTATCTATTCTTATACATTCCGTTAGGCTAGCTACTGTAAGATCTACAGGCTACATCGAGAAGTCAAACCGAACGCGGACTTATGTGTGTCTGGATGATAGTCAAAATATCCAAGCAAGCCCATTTCTGATAGTAAGTAACGTAAAAGAAATCAAGGCGTGATTTCCACCTTCTTAATCAGTTGAATATTTCTTTCCGTCAACCTACCGTCCTACCTGCTGCTCTCCTCCGCATTTATGCGACACAAGACGGGTCCCTGAAAGCGGGAGTTCCCCCGTGCGACTGCACCGTAGCTGGCTATCTAAGTAGAGATTAGTTTGGACTGGAGGGAGAGAGCCCTTCATCATGGCTATGTAAGATATAGGTAGTTGATATTCTGTCCTGTTCCAAGCAAAACATCACAGCTGTCCTCTTCCAATCCAAAGGTAATAAGTACATGCGTACATGCGTTTGTACATACACTCGAGGACTCGCCTGGCTGTCCAAGGAGCACACGTTGTCTCTGTCTCCCCTTTGGATAAAAAGAAAGCTAGGCTTCCTCTGCCCTCAACTCCCTTCCGAATATACGCGCACAACTCTCTCGTATTGCACGGTTATTGAGAACTGCGAAATAAACAAGCAAAATCGTTCACCACTGCTACCAAGTCGCAAGAACTCCAGGAGGCTTCATAACCCTCTAGTGGCAGACTTTAACGGCATCATTTTTGCAAACGGAACGATCTGGGACAACCCCCCTCCGGACTTTCATCTCGGGCGTGATGAGTTTCTGCAGAACGGAACGGTATTCAACAACAGTACTGCATTGCCAAGAACAGTGCAGAGCATGCATATCAAAGAGTCGGGATTCTGAGCTGTTGGTAGGCTTGTTGGTGCTGGAAGACTAGAGTTTCTAAGCGAACCGAGGGATCTTGACATTCTGGAGCGAGCCTCGAGGTGGTGGGCCACATTTCAGGGAGGATAGTCATTCACTTGTGTATATCGTTTCCATCCACATATCAAAATGCTCGCTCAGATATCCCCGATTCTGCAACTGTAACCATAAGGCTTTGATTTGCAGACGCAGTTTCCTGCCTTTTGGAATGCGCTTGCAATAATCCCGCGGAAAGATACGCTATCTGGCCCAGTAACTTTGCTACTTCTGTATCTCAGAACAGCTTTCTTGTATGTGACTTACCTTGGCCGCCTAGGCGCAATTTTGGACGTACTAGACGCGTAATGGGTCAAATCTTCGAGATACCGACTAATCTTGGGTAACATGCAGGTTCCAACAGCGGTGCCTTGACGGTTCCATGTGGAGTTCCACGCCAGGGGGCTGTCGGAATCGAATGGTTGGAAGCTGGCTAGTTGGCTACCCTAGATGAGAGTCTGTTGGTTGTCATGGTCGTATATGCAAACCCCTCGTCGCAATCCGCAACATGCCCACCCCCATGGTCCCCTCGCCTATCCAGTCTCTCTCGCTTTTGCTGTGCCGCCTTGGCGCGCGGCTTTGGGAAAGCCGGTGTACGGGAATCCGACACGGCCACATTGACACCGAAACTGCCCACACTTACCAGCTCAATGTGGGTACCGGAATGGACACCCGGCGAGGTGATCCCGGCTGGCAAATACGACCAGCATGAGGATTTAGGCGACCGGTGGTTTAGTGATGAGTGAATACGTTTCTTTATGATCGGGGTACCTATCCTCTCTACTTTCTTTATTTCGCTCTGTGTGTATGGAAGCTGTGTGAGGAGGTGTTTAAGGAAGAGGCGGGAGAGAAAAGCAGCCTCGGCCTCGGCCGCCGACACAGGCGCAAACTTGGGCGAAGCCCCGAAGCAATTCACGACGTAATATATAGTACCAAGAAGTCGTCTGTTTTTACTCTCAAAGCCTACCTCGCAAGCCTAACTATAACGACGTTCAATACCCGTTCTAGCTCTAATCCTCTTTCTGCTGAATAGTTCCATTAGTGTATTAGTGTTGCATCTCGCATCATCTGACATCCCCGACACCCGCATGCAAGCATAAACGCCCTACTGCCGTCGACGGCGTTGAGCAGAGTCGACGCGCATCCTCTCAGGCCGGGTGAATTAGATGCCGCCTCGAGTGAACTGACGTCCGCTCTATCGGGCCCAAATGTGTTTCCCGAACATCAGGACCTTGCGGAATAGATTCTTGGGGCCACCCAAGAAATTTGAATGCGTATGCCTTGACTGACGAGGGTGGTCCTACCTCAGAAGGTGCAGATCAATGTTTAGACTTTGAGGAGTCCGTCTGAGTCCATCGGAGACCAATGAGATACTCATCCGCTGGAACGACATGAACGTGTCTACGATTGAGGAGCTTTTTGGCGCTTAGAAGATCTTGGCAAAATTCCCAGGGCTGTTCTGAGGATATCCAAGCTGTATGATCACCTGCTTGGTAATATTTGGAACATCCGCCTTGTTGGCGCAATTGTTCCTTACCCTGCGTGACATCGGCTTGTGCATGGACAAAATTTGGGCAACGAGGGTCAAATACTTAGAAGACTAGCAAGATCAGTTCTAGGGGCCCGACTGCGTATATACAAGCAGATAATGGATGTTGTTAGCAGTAACTACGGCTTTAAGCTACTTACTTGGCGAAGCATAAATTCGTAATCACGAATGGTCAGTTTACCTAGTTACTGGGATATCTAACTACCAAGGCTCAGCACGGAGTCATTGAGACATCATCGGATAATCGGCAACCTAGTCGTTAGTGCAAATCAGAGCATCGAGCCACGAGCCGGAGCAGCCCGAGTCGATCTAGGTGTTCCATCAACGGAAGTTAGCCACACTAAGTTGTGTGGCTACCTGGTTCTAGAGTTGGCCTCGAGGGAGAATAGAGACCATGTAGAGTGTTATAGTGAATGAAAAGCAAGCCGATGGTGTGCGGTAAAGTTTCCTGCGGATCCTGGGACAGCCCGAAAGAATAGTAGTTTTTCTTTTGGTTTGACTAAGACAGGACACTGTATAACTGTCGAGAGAGTTTGAAGTGGATTGAACCAAGATTTCCAAGAGTATGTTTCGAGTCTACGAAGGGTTGCTTGGTGTTGTCCTGGGACGGTAGATACCTTAAGAATAAGAACCATTCTGCGCTTTTGTCTTGGCAGTATCGAAGATAAACCTTCAAAAAGGTTTCTGCTGCCAATGAACAAGCACGTACTGGAATCGCATGGTCCACGGATCACCACGATCGCACGAGTCAGCGTCCCATGGTACTCCCTCTCCAGCGTGCGTGTCACTATATCAATGTTTCGGAGATGGCTCAGCGCCAGCACATAAACGTGTAAGGGCGTAGCAGCAGTGCCCAACTTCCTTAGAATCGTCATAAAAGACCAGCAGAAAAGGCCAGAGGATTCCATTCTCTCATTTTACCCAAGAATCATCAATCTATCTTTCTACTCAAACTTTGATTTGCACTTACGCCAACGCCCACACAAGCAAACCATCATGGAGACCGTTTCGAGCACACCCCGTTCTGCGCAGGCGATCCAAAAGCCCAGCCTGTCCACAATGCCAGTCGAGATCCTGATACAGATTGCCAAATGGATCGCGCAAGACGAACTGACCTTGCCTGAGACTCGTGGGACGCTGTCAGACCTCCGGTACTCCACGAACAACGGGGAGCTCCGGCGGTACCGGCCCTGGTCTTTCTTTTTTCACGATTTATTTAATACGGATCTTCTGGGTTCCAGTGCACAGCCTCCCAAACGCAGAAACAGGAGCATCCTCAGCCTCTCACTCACGTGCGTCCGCATCTGCCGGGCGTGCGTGGCGGCCCTCTATCATGACGTCGTCGTCCACTGCTCTAACCACCAGAAGCTGAACATATTCCTGGACACCATCACCAAGAACGAAAGCGCGTACCTGCAGAAGTATGTCACCCGCCTGGCCGTCACCTACAATTGGTACATTCGACCAGACACGTGGAAGTTTGACTCGACACAATCCATCCAGGATACGATTGCGTCGGGGGCAGTCAGGCTGCCGGTATTGCGCAGCCTGTATATCACCAAAAGCGACTTCGGCCACTGGCGCAAGCTGCTGCCCACACTCCCCGCGCTGGAGTGCCTGACGCTGAAAGACGTTGAACTCCCCGACCGCGACTTCCCCGTTCTTCCACGGCTCAAGACAGCGCACTTCTGCCACTGTAGTGTCAATTTCACCTTGGGGGAGTTCCTGATAAGACACCCATCGCTCCGCGAGCTTGTCAACATTTGCACATTTGACCGGACCTCGCGCAACATGTTCGAGCCCGTTCGGGACACGCTGGAATCTCTGGTGTGGGTGGCCTCGGCGGCCCACGATTGGAACTTCTATGATGAGCGCCCCGATATCACCTACCTGCGCCAGCTGCGGCACCTCGCGACCAGGACCTGGATATTCACTCACAACTTCGATTGGGGAGCCACGTTATGGGAGGAGGAGGAAGACCTCGTCTGCATGGAGTCGCTCGAGACAGTGGAGGTGATCACGAGTGGATTTCACCGAGGCCTCCTCCGGGAAAGTCCGCCGCTTATTTTTCGCAAGATAGTGGAAACGCTTAAGAATGCAAAGAAGAAGAGAGGCTTCAAGAGCTTGAGGGTCGTGGATCTGCGGTCCTTTGAGAAGTGGCAATTCTGCTCCCTCCATTGGAAGATCATGAAGGACGGGTTCCTGGATGCCGCGATGAGGGAGTATAAGCAGCTTGGGATCGTACTATTGCTCCCTGAAATCGGCAGAGGTACGTATCATCCGCAATGTAACTCAACGTGGCTGTGAAGGATAGAAGAAGTATTAGACTGGGCCTTATGGTTAGAAATATAGTTGATACACCAAGAAGTAACGGGAGACCCAGAGTGTCACCATGAGGCTGCGCGGACTCAACAACAGCCAGTCGTTGTTACATATATAATCCTTTATGCACGATAAACCGCCTTGGAGACCTTTCGCCGCCGCTTGCCCACCTCCAATCAACAGCTTTCCCCAGCTCCGAAGCATGCTTATCTCGGACACCCCCCCCGGCGCAAGCGTCTCAGGTCTCTCGGATCCTCACTCTCACGACGATGCCGTACCCGCGCATGCTCTCCCATATCCCCATCTCGCTTTGCCTGCGAAAGGTGACTTCTTCTGTGCGCACCGTCATGGCGACGTCTCCGTCTTGTTTTGGAGCGGCTGCCGCCGCCTTGTTGGACTGTCGAGGCAGAGGCGAGGCAGACGAGGACGGCGAGGGCGACTGGGTGGCGGACCTGAACATACCCCACCTAGCCGCCTTCTTCTCCTCTGTCGCCTGTTCCACTACGGCGCTGACGACGACGCGGTCGAGCTTGGGCTCGGGCTGTAACCGCTTTGCGAGACGGCGCGCCAAAGCCTCGTCGTCCCACCACCACCGCCCCTCCCTGGACGTCGAGGCCGCGCCTGTATCATCATCCCAGCGGCCCCACTCGTCGAACTTGTAGTCGCGCGACGACGAGCTCGCGGCCTCTGCGCTGGTGGACCAAGCGGCGCGTTTACTATCGCTTCCGCTACCTTTCGAGTCCGGGTCCGTTTCCGGCCTCACACGGGCGACGTGGGTGATTTCCCCCGCCCTCCTGTCGGTGTCCGATGCGATGCTCCACTCCGGCCCGACTGCGGCGGCGGGTACGAGGTAGAGTTCCGTCAGTGCCGGCGGGTGCGGTGTCGTTCCCAGGCGGGTCAAGAGGGATGTGACGTGTGGTGTCAAGAGTGGGAGGAGGTTTGTTGCTGTGATGGTATCCCGGACCGCCTGCTGAGATTGCGTTACCCGCAGGAGAGATGACAGGCTGTCAAGGGTCGCAGAGACAGATGAAACGGGATAGAATGAGGAGGTGGGCACGTACGAAGTCGTTGCTTCGTTGTAGGATGGAGGCGGCAGGTCGCCGTCCATGTCCGGTTGTTTGGACATTTTGGTTGTCCGGAAGAGCTACGATTACTTGGTATAGGTCGAGTTGGTTGGATATGGCCTATCTGGTGATACCAAGTGGGCTGGATGAACAAGGTCGTTTTTGTGATGATGACTAAAAGTTTGGGGTGAAGCACATTGAAGAGTCGCCTGCGCGGGGAAAAAACGCCCTGCGCGACAAGATCCTCTAGAATGAGGGACTAGCTTTGCCTCCGAGATGGTCAGGTAGGTGATTGGACGAATAATGGACGAGACGTGTCTGCTGTCGGTCGACGCCGATAAGAAATGTCTTCACAAGGCTGAATATGAGACTCAGCATGCACGCATCCGTGTATTCAAGGCAAACTTCAGTACGGGGGTGGCGGAGCCCGATCGGATCAAATCAGTCACGAGGATCACTCATGGTGACATCTCGGTCGAGTTTGGCTCCAAGAATGGGCCGAGGCTGTGACTCCGTTGGGTGGTGGCGTGGTCGATAGCGCTTGGACGTGGCGGCCGCAGAGGAGATGATATAATTCCAAGAACAATCGAGGCCGGTTATTCTAGCACCAAAGGAGGGGGCGATGCGCCCGACTAAAGTGCTGTGCCGCGCTGTAGCTGAATCCTCATTGGGCCATGGTGCGTTGGCTGGCGCGAGGAACTGGAATGGCCCCCTCTCCCAGCACTTCCGCAACAAGTGACCGAATGAGGCCCGCTTTCGGGATGCATGTTGGAATTCGGGACCGGGACCTCGGTCGACATTTTGAGACGAAGCGCGAAGCATGACGGCGGGGAATCGACGAGGCTTTTCCGATTGGTTTTACCCCGGAAGAAGAATGTCTGTCTTGGAGATAGCCCCGGATGAAGTCGGGAAGCTAGGCTTCGGTGAAGATACCGAGGAACAGTGACAGTAGAAGATGCATTGGCCTGATACCGTAGTACGTAGGATGCCCGGTGCTCAGCGCCCGAAAGTGGATCGCATTTCGGCGATAGTGGAGGAGAGACGGTGCCGAGCCTAGTGTGGTGATGAACAGGTCATATCTATTCGTACTGAATGAGGCTGTCAAGACCACGGCCTCCAATGCTGGTGTGACATTGACCCGTACCTGATGGGAGTCCGATAGAGGCCATAGATGTGTCTGGGCGGTGACCCTTGTGGCGGGCCTCAGACGAACGACCAGCCAGGGATGATGATCTTGGATGATCAAGACCCTTTCGATTGTGATGGGGTTCCCCACATCCGCCACGTGACTAAGATAGGTTAAGCGCCCTCCGGGTACGTACATCAGGCAGCCGTTTAAGGAAGCCTTCGAGAAGGACTAGTAGTGTATAACGCACGGTCAATCTCAGCTGACCTCTACACCTCCCTAGGTCCGCCATGATTGGGCCGTGTATCGGACCCACTCGAATACCAAAGTACCTAATACGTAGTACATTGTATGTCTGTCTGCCTTACCTAAACGAGGGTGATGGTGTCGTTTCCTTCCAGGTACGAATACCTAGTCAATGCAGGCAGGCAGGTACGAGCGTCAGGGAGAGGCGGAAGCAGGCAGGTACTGTATGTACATACATCGACTAGAACGTTGCTGATGGACTGATACGTGCACACACACCTACAGATATACACATTGACGCCCATTCCTACAGTCATTGGCAGCCGCCGAGGCTGCATTTGATAGGTTAGCTACTGATTCTCGTGCCGCGAAAAATATGCCTTGTCGCAAACTATCAGCATTTGCCGTTTTGTTGCCGTTGCCAGGCTTGGCTGGGCGTTCCTTCCCCCGCCTGCCTCCCACTATCATGAGACGCGCTCGAGTGGTCAAAACAGCCACCACAACATTCCTCGCATATATAACACCGTGCTTCTTCGCGATAGCTTGTCCTTCTCTTATCCAAGGAACAAGATACCCAAAAAGCACCTTTACCAAAGGTATCACGCATCCAACATATATATTATCCACATCGCCCAGCCCCTCTGAGCCGCACCTCTGCAAGTAGCAAGGTCGCCCAAGCCATCACAAAACCTTCACCCCCATCAGCTCTCGAGCCATCCGAATTACCGTCTTGGTCTCATCAGCATTGCATATAAGAACAACCAAGTCCCTTCGACTTCACGTCTCGAGACCATCCCGATTGTTAGCATTTATTAATTCATCTCCATTTAATACCCCCCACCACTTCAAACCAGTTACATCCTCACACAACCGCCAAGATGTCGTACAGAGTCGCCGCCCCCGATGAATACCTCGCCATCACGGGTATGTCCGTGAAGGCTGTCAAGATCACAAAGGCAGCTTGGGTATGGCCCTTCCAGCGCTGCATGCGCTTCAGCGTCCAGCCCCACGACTATGCCATGAACCTTCAGGCCATGACCAAGGAGAAGCTTCAGTTCCTACTGCCCGTCGTCTTCACCGTCGGCCCGGACGTCAACCAGCGCGGCGCCAACGCCACCCATCAATCCGCTCACTCCGGCCCCTCTAGCCACGATGACGACGACAGCCACGTTTCTTCCAACCGCCGCGAGGACCGCGGCGACTCCCTCATGAAGTACGCCATGCTGCTCGCCGACTCGGGCGAGAAGAAGAGCGGCACCATGCTCCACCTCGAGAATATCGTCAAGGGCATCATTGAGGGCGAGGTCCGCGTCCTCGTCTCCAGCATGACCATGGAGGAGATCTTTACCGAGCGCGAGGTCTTCAAGCGCCGCATCTTCAAGAACATCCAGTCCGAGCTCGACCAGTTCGGCCTCAAGATCTACAACGCAAATGTCAAGGAGCTCAAGGACGCCCCCAACTCAAACTACTTCGAGTCCCTCTCCCGCAAGGCCCACGAGGGCGCCAGCAATCAGGCCAGGATCGACGTCGCCGAGGCCCAGCTGCGCGGTAACGTTGGCGAGTCCAAGCGCAAAGGCGAGCAGGAGCGCGAGATCGCAAAGATCTACGCCGAGACTGCCGTTCAGAAGACGGAACGCGACATTGAGCGCGCCACCGCCGAGGCTAACCTCGACACCCGCCAAGCCTCCCTCAGCAAGGACGTTGAGATCGCCCGCGTCGAGGCCCGCCGCGCCCTCGAGTCCAAAGACGAGGACCTCAAGCGAGAGGTTGAGGTCAAGCGTGCCGCCGCCGAGATCGAGCGCCTGCGCGCCACCGACGTCGTCAAGGCCACCATCCAGCGCGAGGCTCGCCAGCAGCATGCCGACGCCGAGGCCTACGCCATCGAAGCTGACGCCAAGGCAAACTTTGAAAAGAGCCAGCGCGAGACCGAGGCCAAGGCCTACAAGATCCAGAAGGACGCCGACGCCCAAACCTCGGCCGAGTTCAACCGCACCACAAAGACGGCCGACGCCAACGCCTACAAGTCCCGTCAGGAAGCCGAGGCCCACCAGTACTCGGCCCAGCTCACCGCCGACGCCGAGCTCGCCATCGCCCTGAAGAGGGCCGAGGGCCTCGCTGCCATGGCAGACGCGTACGGCAAGATGTCCGGCGCCTTCGGCGGGCCCTCCGGTCTGCTGCAGTACCTCATGATCGAGAAGGGCACCTACGTACAGTTGGCCAAGGCCAATGCCGACGCCATCCGTGGCCTGCAGCCCAAGATCAGCGTCTGGAACACCGGCAGCCAAGCCGGCGCCGAGGGCGCCGCCGGGAACTCGGGGGTTGACACTATGCGCAACGTATACCAGATGCTGCCGCCCCTGATGACGACCATCAACGAACAGACCGGCATCACCCTCCCCGAGTGGCAGTTTGGCAAGCTCAACGCCGGCATGGAGGCGATGCAGGACAGCAAGCCAAAGGTCAACGGTAGCCGCCAAGGGTGAGGCGCCACCATCTTGACAGACAGGACACACTCTTTTGTTGAAACAGTTCTGGGGTAACATTCGGAGTTGGTGGCCCTTTTCTTGATTCATGATTTCTTGTTGATACCACAGAAGGATGGCCATAGTCGAACCCTATATCTCCTTTGTCTGTACTAGTAGATACCAATTTGACCCTTTGTCGCCTAGAGTAATCAAGTACACTCCAAATAACCCCCAGGGGATGTCTAAAACACCCCCAAACAAAAGGCCTCTAGCAAGTCGACAGCAGGTGAGAGGCAGATGCATATGGTGAAGCACACAAAACACTAGGTTAAGTCCCACCTGATTCGGTGAACCTACTGACGGCTGGATTAAAGTACCTCGTAGATGTGCTATCATGAACTAGGTCTATATCTCGATTCCGTTGGGATAATGCACACTGAATGGGATCCGTCCCGCATGATGTAGATTCCTTTGCTGGGGTTATAAGCTGAGAATACACTACAGTGCTGCAACCAATATAGTAAACACTAAGGCGCCGCTATCATGTCTATGTCTCAAATGGTACGACAAGGATGAGGCGGTTTATAACCGACTGATTAATTGATCGATTGACTGATTATATCCTACTTGGTTTCCGCCGCTTTAGTTAGCAGCTGTACCAAGATAGTAGAGTTTAGCTTACAGCTAACACGCTCTAGGTGTCAATCGGTTTGGCCCTACTTTGCTAATGTAAGACATTAGCTAGCTGTTTCTAAATTTCTTACTTTACTCTTAAACCTCTATCCACACTTACCCAGCACCTTTATATAGTTTGTAGTTCTTCACTAATATGGATGATGTACATGCATAGTAAGTAGGCCACCCCAAGGACATCTACTGTTAAGGAAAGGGCTTATACGATCGCTGAACTTGATTATTTAGTCTCTTGAACAAAAATACCGTGTTAAGGGGGCTGGCTGGGTTAGTATTAACCAGTTCAACTGACTTGGAGTGTGAAAACGGTTGATGGTTGCGATTGACCAGTTTTAAGGATGGCAAGCAAGGGTGAATGCACCTAGTGGCTAGTAGGTCGGTAAGTTGGCGGTGCGCCTACCCGCTTGAGAGGCGGTGTGGGTTCGACGTCCGCCCCCTCCTGGGTTGAATAAATACATTGGCATATCAAGCTTTATTTGTCTGTCTTTCTCACCGATTTTACAACCTAGTGCTCCTTTATTCTTAATTATAAAAGCAAGACTGTATTACGGTCTTAATGTTTAGCTCATATTCTCTTAGTATGGCACCCTTTGACTTCATCGCAGAGCAGAACGTTCGCGATGCTCGATTGGCGTTTGCTCAACGTCTTGTTAGCGCCAAAGAAGATATTGTGGCTTTCGTCAACAAGCGACTTGGCTGGAATGGGACGGGGTACTATGACGGCTTCTTGAAAGGCTCATTCAATGTAAGCCTGGTTGTACGACGTGCCGACAGCGATGGCAGCGCAATATCGCTGGCGATGACGAAAACCTCGCTTGGAACCAGTTCGTTGTACGACATTGTTTCGCACGGATCATCTCTATACATGGTACTGTCAACGAAGCTGGGCCATTTCCGATTTTCTGTGACGATTTAAGGTCTACGAACATGCTTGTTGATCCAGAAACGCTTCGAATAACTGCAGTACTCGACTTTGAGTTTATCAACGCTATACCAGCACAGTTTGCCGATGACGTTCCTTGGTAAGTGTTGCTCCAACAACCAGCTGTATGGATCAGCGAGGGCAAATTTCAGGAGGTCTTGACTCTTTTCCAGCCGCGGAAAGAGCAGTCCATTCGCGCCATGGAGCGGGCCGAAGCCAAAGCAGCGCTGGCCACGATGGAGACAAGTCTCTCGGCTCGGATGCGGGACTCCTGGGACAGCGGACGCTTTTGGTTTAACTTAGCACCGCGGAGTATCTTGATGTTGACGAAATTTACTGGGAGGCGTTGCAAAAAGATGGTCTGGGCGAGGCTCTTTCGGACCGTGCGACCCTGGAGAAGAAAGAGGCATTCTTGCAACGGAAGAAAGCCCAGTTTGACGCCTATAGAAGCGAGAAGGAAAGGGACCAGTGCTTTGCAGATTAGTGGCGGTTGGCCATTGGGGAGTCAACACAATTCAGAAGACGGAGGGAGATACGCGCCGTCCAGGCGAAGGCCGTTTCAGGAAGGCACCGTAGAACCATGAGTTGAAGTCATGCTAGCACTAGTAGCAGGTAGTCTAGCTGCTGATCGTGGACTTAATAGTCGTTTTGAGAAAATATTTGCCTAGACTCTCTTGGAGACATGGATTTCGACTAAACGTGAAAGTGTACTATTCTCTTGAACCTGATTCTCGTCAGGGGCATGTGCTTCTTCTTTGGCGGCATCGTCAACATGCGCAACAGGGTTACCGGCCAGGGCAGGGAGCAGACACTCGCCTCTGCCACAGCGCAAACCACCTGCTTGCTAATGACGCTTTCTTCTGCCTTACTTGTTACCCCTGCTACGGTAAGCAGACCCCAGTGCGCTCTCGTTCATCCACTGATGGCGCATGGTAGCTGTACTCCGTGCTTGACGCCGATAGTGTTGACAAGGACCACAACATTCTGGTCTGTCTGTCTCGGCAATTTCGGCTGAGTGCAAATCTCTCAAAGATATCTCAAAGGACCTGCCAATCATAAGAAAATAGACGAGGTGATTCAATCATATGGTTATTGTATTGCAGTATATCAAGCAGTGTTTATTCTAGTTCGGGCTGTCATAAATCGAACTAATATATGAAACCAGTTAATATGTATAATTCGTGTTTCTGCCTGAGTCCTCTTGCTAAGGTGGCAAGCAGCCACAATCGCTCTTTATGACAAAATGGTAACATCCAAGGCCCAAAGTATATGCATGTATGTGCTGAAACCGGAAATCCTCCATATCGATTGCCCTCCTACCTCACTTCATCTTCTTCAGCGCCTCATCCATCTCCGTTCTCCACTTCTGCGCGTTCCTACTGATGAGCCAAATACTCAGGAACCCTAACAGTGAGCAAATCGCCCATAGAGTTGTCGTCATGTAGCCTACGCCCACACCCTCGATCCATGGTGCGGCAACTATAGTCCCTACACAGCTCAAGATGTTTCGGACGAAGTTGTTGACGGCGATGCCAGCAGAACTACGTTTGCGGACAAACTCCGTGAGCATGGTTGTGCCGAGCGTCTAGGTGAGAGACGTTAGTCTGAGAATTTCCAAAGACGGTAATACTGTATTCAGAGCGGTATAGAAACAGGAAGTGTCTGGACTCACAAAGTGGAGCATCGAGGAGAACCCAAAGACGAAAAGCGCGCTGATGGGTACCATATATTGCACTCCATAGTACATGGACCATCCGAACCAAAGCAACGATAAAGGATACACGGTATTGGCGAACCAGGCGTTCTCCTTCATCCGATCCTCTGGTAGGTATATAAGCTTCCCCAGCTCATCGTATCTCTCGGCCTTGCGAGCCTCTCTTGCCATTATCTTGTCCATCCAGCGACCCCCGACCATTGAGGAAGCGATATAGCCTGCTCCGGTTGACATGTATGTCACTCCTACGGCAGTTTGGTTGAAGTTGTACGGAGGGCGAGCAAAACCGTATTGGATGGCTATGTTGAGGACGTAGACGGAACTGAAGGCGATCGCGGCAACTAATACCGTGAAAAAGACAGGCGGGAAGCGTAGGAGAGCGAGGACGCTCAAAGGCTCGATGAGGTAGTGGTTGAGAGACGTCGCGAGCTTCCTGCTCTTGACCACGACGGACTCTCGAGTCGTCGTGTGTGTGAGCTCCCGCGTCGTGGCAGGCATGTTCTTACGGGCCAGCGTCTCCGGAAGCAGGAAGAATATGCCCACGATAATGATCAAGCCATAAATGGCAAGAAACCACATGGTTGATCTCCAACCCAAGTGCTGCGTCAAAACGCCACCAAGGAGCGGACCGAGCAAGGGCCCGAGCATAGGCCCCAGATAGAAGAGGCTCATGGCACGACCTCGGTCCTGCGATTCCCAAATATCGGCAATGGTACCCGCACCAATCACCTGCACACTGGCCGAGGCGCCGCCGGTCAAGAGACGGAAAACGATAAGCATGGCCGAATTGGTGCTTACGGCACAGAGGACGGAGAAGACGATGAAGAGGGCGAAGGAGATGACGTAGATGCTGCGGCGACCAAACTGCTCGGAAAAGGCGGACCACCAAATGGGGAAGATGGCCATGGAGAGCATGTACAAAGCGACGGACATGTTGATGACGGTCTCGGACGTCTTAAGCTCGGCAGCCAGAGCACCGAGGGCAGCTGCGAAGACGTGTCAGTAAGCCCAGTCTACTGTCCACTGAAGTTGAAGGACAGCTGCCATCAAGGCGCCAGGGGTTAAAGTCTGCATACGGTAGAAGATGGATGAACCCATGGGTGCTACGGCTGTTGCCAGAGAGATGACGGTCGTAATCCCCCATTTCGTAGAGCTACTATAGTCGTACGGGCGATCGACTTCGGGTATAATGGCGAAACGGCCAAAGAGACCACGTCTCTGGGAGCGCGGTACGATAGATAGTGGGCGGGAACGAGTAGATGAAACCGTAGATTGAGCGCGGTATGGGGTGTTGTGATTAGGAGCCGGTTCATCGCATGTCTTGTCTGAATTTTCGCCAGCCGTGCTTGCACCAATGGCTTCGATATCGTCCTGATGTCGCGTAGAGTCTGCAGAGGGACGTTGGCCATGAACCTTTCCAGGATCCAAGCCACTGGCAGCCATTGTAAAGCCTTGGTATTAGAGAGAACACGACCCAGCCTCCGTTCACATGCTATTCCGACTGAGAATAAGGCCGCAAAGGAAGTTCCGAGTCACGGTCAGCTCCTGTCCTGGTACGGGGAGTGGCGCCTTGACGGCGTTTTCAGGAGTCTGGCGTGGAAACGGTCAAGTCAAGGTAAACAAACGACACCTTTTTCCTTGGAGCAGGCTTGTGCAGAATAGTGAAGGACGAAAGGTGTAAACGCCCGACCAGTCACAAGACAGGCGATTGAGGATTATTATGCAATATTGTCGCCTTATCACCTACCCCTAGCTCATGCGCTCGTAGTAGCTAGGTATGCCGTCGCCCCGGGGAACGACCGGCTAGGGCCCTGCTGGGCTCGGCGTCATTGACCAGAGGACGCGCCGGAAATACGACTGCGGAATAGCCCCGGATTTCTCTCGGCGCGTGTCTGCTTTACTAGTAGGATGCATTGTTGCTGTGGACAACAAGCTTTATGCAGGGGTACGTGCATGCCGCGCAAGCATATGGATCAAATTGTGCGCCGTGGCCCAGAGCGACGGTGAGAAGCAGTGGAGCCGACGTGTGGTTATCGCAGGTGACGGTTCCTCAGCAAGTAATTTGATCCGGTTCGTTTCTGATACTCGATAGGATAGTCACGTTGTAAAAATCTTGAGCTTGAGGGATCAGGCTGGAGAAGGGAAGTGGTCTCGGGAGCGGAAGAGCATGAAGGTCACGGGAAGACGACGTCTACTCCACACAGCGTCCGAGGCTACGGACCAGGTTCAGACCGTGATATATCCAAGACTCGAGACAACCCTTGATATTGCTTGGCAATGCGACATAAGATAAGCAAGGCATGATAGCTGGTGGGAAAGATTACGATTCTGGTAGATAGTGGGCGGTAGATGCAGATGGTGGAGTATGTTGTTACATTAAGGTTCCGAAGCTATATGCTCTAGAAGAAAAGTTCCCACGCCGCTTTTGCCGCCATGCCAACAAGCGTAAACGAGCTCGCCGCGAAGACGAGGAAGCGGGGATAGGGTTGGTTGACGGATACGTGGATCAGACTGTGCACAACCCTGAAGGCGACATAAGCCCATGCCAAGCGAACGGTAATCTTGTCCTTGACATCCAACAAGGTCAACGCAAGCGCCACCGCGTAGAACTGGGTGGGTTGCTCTTGCAAGTTGTTGTAGTTGTCGGCCGCCCAAATGACGAAAGGAGGCAGTTTGTCGGCCTTTTGTTGCTTAACCGTGGCCGGGTCGAAGGTGACGCCGTACTTCTTGAGCGCTGGAACTCTGCGCTTGTACATCAGGCCTTCCATGGCGAAAGCCCAACCATTGAGGGCGATGAGGGGGCCAAGTAGCGGCTTGTCGATGAGTTGCGACATGGTGAAGATGGTGAGAGAATTCTGTGGTTATAGGTAGGTAGGTAGGTAGGTAAGATATGTGCAAGGTGGACAAGCGACAGCCGATGCGTAAGGAGAGAAGATAACCGCGACTTGGCGCTAGTGTCACCACCTATTTATATGGTTTATCTGAATACACATAGATCGGCGTCAAATTCTGATTTAGTCCAACGTCACACCCCACCTTCTTTTGTAAGCAGTCGAATCATGCCGAGCTTCGGGGAACCATCGGGTGGTGGCTTAGGTGGGGAGTGGACATATCGTTAAATCCGTTATCCACTTCGATCTGGCGCGAAGCGACAGCTGATGATAGAAGCACTTGATTGGTTAACCTAGATAATGTGGACCATGGACTTAACGAGTGTATACTCCGTAAGCTACGCGAGTCTGGCACTGACTCGGTTATACATAGTCCAGGTCATTGATCGCCGTTGCTTTTCACCGATGCTCTCTGACTGCCGTCACTTTGAAACTAGGTTAAACACTTCATTGCAAACAAATCGCTCCCGAGGTTCATAATCGAGCCAAATATCGGGAGAGAAATGGCATAAGAGACAGGTTGACCATCTACGTGTGAGATCGCTCGGCCTAGACGAAAAGATACCCGTGTGGCTATCTGGGGCCGGCCGGAATAGGTTGGAACAAGGTTCATTCCGGTTAGGTAGTCAGCCTCGCTGGGCATCACTCCACCATCTTTCGTCATCACCGACAAGAGCAAGACTTGCGGTGCCTCCACACAAGGCTCCATGACGGCATGGAGTCATCGCGACAGGTGACTCATGTATGTGTGGCGGATACCGTCAGCCACACCACGTGCCATGTCACATGAACGAGCTCGAGGGTCCCCTTTATATGGGCCCTCCACCCGGGAGATTCACCTTCACACAATACAAGCCTTTTTCACTCATTCGTATCTCCCTATCTGCTGTGTGCTCTAGCTCGTGAGACTTTTCTTCACTCATTCGTATATCCCTATCTGCTGTGTGCTCTAGCTCGTGGGAATATGCTTAGCGAAGCAAAGCTCGACAGCCACCTGCCAACGACGCTATTCTGAGGTCTTTGTGACGCTCCCTTGGGCACAGGTTTTAGTCACCCTAGCTAGTCAGGTGTCGTGAACCGTTGCCGTTTCCAGTTGATGATCATGCCGACTTCATGCTGAAAACGGCTAGAAACCCGCGACGTACAGGACTTAGCCCCACCACGCCACTCAACAAGTCATCAACCTTCTTGTCAAACGTCATCATGTCTGCGCAACCGCACCGTCCCATAGAGAGCGAAGTCGAGAGAAAGAAATAATGTTCGAGACATTGGCGTCAGGCGTGTCATTATCAGTGCGCAAATCCATGCCCAAGTCCAGTAGAGAGGAACAAGTCCCAAGCATAACCCTGACAAAGATCTTTGCTGGTCGAGTATCAGCAGAATATGTAATATTATGTACCTATTCCCCATCCAATAAAGACCATCAACTCTCACGAGAGGAAATGGCAACAAGACTGGGGGCTTGTCGCCTGAAAGATCCCCCCAGGTCGAACAGCTGGTACGTCAATTAGCAAGTCCCTGTAACTTGTCACCACGTCTTTGCATGGTCCGTAATCTCATCATGGCTTGTTGAGCAAATCCCAAATCTCCAGACCCATCTGCCATTTATCATCCGTCCAGACATCTGTCTCGCCATCGCTCCTCCACCGCCTCATCTCCTTGTGTTGCTTTGGACCCCATATCACTCCGTCGCCCTTTACAAAGGCCGCGAAGCCTAGGTTCCACCCTCCGAGCCAGCTCTTTTCCTGGTCCGTCAGCCCACCCGAGAAATTCGCACCCCAGAACCAGATGGGCACATCGCTTGAGTGTGTCACCCCCAATTCAGGAGGATAAGTCCCATCGATGCACCGCAGCCGCTTGTCGAATCGGTACCGCAGAACGTCGACACCCGGGACGAGGCCGCCTCGAAACAGTGCGTTGTGAAGTCCGCGCTGAAGAGCGTGGACTTGGAGGTTGGCGTAAGTCTGGCCGAAAAAGTCCTTCCAATCATCGTAGTCGGACGGGAGCTCCTTGTCCGCGCCGCAATAGTGACCCATCAGCTTTTGCACAGCACTTTCAGGGAACTCGGCGCAGAAGCGGGAGAAAACAGCGTCGTACGAGTTTTCGGGAGTTCGCCAGGTGCGGTAGATGGTGTGCTCGTCTTTGCATTCTCCGCTGAGGAGCGTGATCCCGGCTTGTTTCATCTTCTTCCCGAAATCCCCATCGTCCACCTTCGACATGAGGTTTTTGGGTAGAAACGCGCCATCATCAACAAGCCGGAACTCGTGAATCTCCATGTCTCTTTGCACCTCGACCAACTTCAGGTACGGTAGACTCCGGAGAGCGTTCAGCTTCTCGGCTGATGGGAGCTCGAGTGAGATGCCCAGCCTTGTAATGTACTCGTTGAACTGCTTTTGTTGTTCCGCCAGAGTCTTCGGCGCAACGCCGGGCCCGTTCGAGAGCATCGCGATTCTTTTGATGATGCGGGCCTCTTCGGGAACACAATACAGCTCGTGCGCCAATTGCTGGAAAGCCGAAAAGCCACCGGCAGAGTATCCGGCGGCGGTAATGTTCGATGGGTCCCCCCCAAAGACCGAGATGTTTGTGTAAGTCCACTCCAGAGCAGTCCTCTGGTCCCATAAGCCCATGTTACTATGGGTCTCACCGTTTTTCTTCGCCTCGGAAGCGAGTTCTTCACCTGCGAGAAATCCGAAGGCATTCAACCTGTAAGCAGGAAACACCATGATGGCCCTGAAGGCCGATTCCTTGAGAAGCGGCCCCAACGAGGCTGGGCCCCAATTAGCACTGCCGACTTGCAGGAACCCCCCATGGAAATACACGCATACAGGCCAACCCTTCTTCGGCGCAGGCTCTGCAGGGATCCACATATTCAGTTGCAGACAGTCCTCGTCGAAGAGGGCCTTGTTTTGCGGAGTGCGCGCCGGAGGCTGTGGACAGATTGCTGTTCCGCCAGTGAATCGACCCGGATTCGAAACTGTGCCGTATTTGAATTCCTTGGGCAGCTTTCGAGGAGCGCGAAAACGGTATTCGCCGGTCGGCGGTAGGGCATAGGGAAGACCGCCGAAGTACCGGACGGCTGGCTCGTTACGCAGACTCAAGCTCAGGCCTTCGATCAGCCCCAGTCGGCCGGCATCAAAGGTATAGCTTTGCTGTTGGTACGCCATTGCAGTGCAACTCACGTGGTCGAGATTATGCTGAAGTCACCACGTGGCGACAGCCTAGGCTAGGCTCGGACCTGGACGCGGTTTCATATATCATCTCATATCTCCAATGGCCCCGATGGTGAGTTCCGATGGCGCTTTGTACCAATTACGTCCCTATCTAACGTGAGGCCGGGCTGGTACATCAAGCGCAGTATCGCATGCCACCTCCGCGGCTTCGCCCCGACTGCTCCCTGATATGGTGCGGAAACGTGGCGCAGACCCCAGGAAAGGTACACCAGATTCGAGATAAGATGAGCGGATATGGGCGGTCGTGGCAGCATCCGACCGAGCCGATAGAAACCGACAGCTCCCCGGCCATCTCCACTCGGAGCTGGTAACGATCGTGTGACTAGTAGAGTTTCCTGAATTGGCAATAGTAGGTTGGCATGACTCGGATATCAAGCGCCCATAGGCCGATCCGAGTATACAGAAGACGGGTTCATTCTGCGAACACTTCCAATGCAGTAGATTATCGAATCTACTTCCAAAATGATGGCCAGTCTTTGCCGGACACCGCTTTTCAAGGTTCTCAGCGAGGCAGACGCCTCCTCTGTTGCCATTGTCAACCAGAGCACCGGTACCGTATTTTCATACAGGTCTCTCATCCGGGATGTTGCACGCGCGCGGCATGCGCTCTTGGAGTCTGTCGGCGACAAATCATTAACGGGTCAACGGATCGGGTTCATTGTTGAGAATGGTTACGGCTTCGTGGGTATGAATGCACCTCGCAATCGCAGCGCGTCTTATGACATGGGCTTCTTTGCTGATCGGAAACAACAGTCACGTTCTTGAGTATCCTGGCATCCAGCGCCGTCGCAGTGCCTTTGGCACCTTCTCACCCCTTGAGTGAGTTGCGATACATTCTCAATGATAGCGCGGCAACGGTTGTCATCTCATCTGCTGCACATGCCAAGCAAGCCCAACAAGTTGTCGCGGAAGGTCTCGATAACGTTCCTGTCCTACATCAAATCAGCGAATTCGATGCCCAGAACGAGGACGATATCGACGTGGAGTGGACGGACGCACCTGGCGGTGCTACGTCTGGCATGATGCTGTACACATCCGGCACAACGGCACGCCCAAAGGGCGTGCTGCTCCGAGAAGCTTGCCTGCTCGCCCAGGCGCAAAGCCTCCACAAAGCTTGGGATTACCGGCCATCGGATCGTCTTCTGCATATTCTCCCTCTTCACCACATCCACGGCACCATGAATGCGCTCCTAGCACCCCTGCTAGCGGGGTCGAGTGTAGAGTTCATGATTGGGTTTAATGCCGAACGAGTCTGGTCTCGCCTGGCTGCGCCATTCCTGCCAGTCAACGGGAACGGCATAATCAATGGCACGAGCAATGGCACCGGCGACAAGGCGGTGTTTCAACCCATTACCTTTCTCACAGCCGTGCCGACAGTATGGGCTCGTATGCTGTCCGCTTACCCTTCTTTGTCTACCGAGATTCAGAGGGCTGGCAGGGAGGCAATCTCCGTGAGGCATCTTCGCCTCAATATCTCTGGCTCGGCAGCACTCCCTGCCCCAACCCGCGATGCTTGGACCAAGCTCTCAGGGGGCAACACTCTGCTCGAGCGTTACGGTATGACCGAGATCGGTATGGCCATCTCGTGTGGCCTGGACTACAGCGACCGCGTTGAGAGCTCCGTTGGCTGGCCCCTCCCTTCAGTCGAGGTCCGCCTTGCCGAGAAGAATGACGACACGGGCGAGGAGACCATCATTGGGCTTGGGGAGGAAAAGGACCCCGCGACAGGAAAAGAAAGACAAGGAGAAATCCAGATCCGGGGATCGACCATCTTTTCCGAGTACTGGCGCAACCCTGCCGCCACCGAGAAGGAGTTCACCGGTGACGGCTGGTTCAGGACAGGTGATATTGCCGTTCGACGTGCCGTCCCAGGGGCCGGCGAGGGCAAGTCTGGCTCTTGGGCCCGTGGTCCAGCATACTTCATCCAGGGGCGCCGGAGCGCCGACATCATCAAGAGCGGCGGAGAGAAAATTTCGGCGCTGGAGATTGAGCGTGAGCTACTCGGACTTCCCAACGTCGCCGAATGCGCGGTGGTCGGCTTGCCATCAGAAGCCTGGGGCCAGAAGGTCGCAGCAGTAGTCGTCTTATCCGACGCAGGGAAGAACAGCGCCGAACCGTGGGGCTTAAAGGAGATGCGGCGTGACCTCAAGGTTCACATCCCGCCGTTCAAGGTTCCCCAGGACCTGGAGATCGTCGATTCTATCAAGCGTAATGCGATGGGAAAGGTGAACAAGAAGGACTTGGTTGCGGCTGTCTTTGGTGACACCGAGAGAATCAGGAGGAGGAGCATTAGTGGTCGTCAATAATGTCTTTGAGTACCTAGAACGAGGGTCGTAAAAGTACCAATTCCCTTCGATGTGGAATAACCAACGTTCCCCTTCGCCGACGTATCATTAGCATTGAAAATCAAGACGGAATCATGACAAAGAGTCACATGCACCTCGGTACATAGATTCATGGAGCTGAATAGAGTGAAGAAAGGGTGAACTGCGCTTAAGTTCTTAGACGTCAACAATGTAAGCTTCCACCTATAACTTTGCACTCAAGCTTCCACCTGCAACAAGTTTTGAACCTGCTGAGCAACCCCCAAGACCTTTTCCTCGTCCATTCGCCGGCCCACGATCTGCAGACCAACGCTATATCCGTCCATTTTCTCGATATTGTATAAGCTCCAGTTCCAAGCATCGGCAGCGTTGCGAGGCTCATACTTGACAGGGGAAGGAGGATCCAGGGCTTTCGAAGCCTTGCCGGCTGGGAAAGACAACGCAGTGTAGTCGAGGAAGTTGAAGATCTTCGTGTAGCCGGGATGGCGTAGTGTCCGATGCGGGATTGCGGTGTGTGGCATGGTGGGCACGAGTAGAACGTCAACGGGTCGGCCTGACGACGCCCTCGCGGCATTCCACATCTTATTGTAGGCGGCCTGGGTGGCTTTCTTTCTCTTATTCAACTGCCAGTATTCATAAACAGAAATCGCCGAGCCGCGTTCCACCAAGCTCTGGGTATGGGGCATGAATGGCTCGCCACCTGCCGCAACATCGCGTCGAATGTCTTCGCCTCCATCGACAACGTAATGCTCATCCTGTTAGAATTAGTACGTGATGTCAATATAGCCTCGGGGTGGAGCTGGTCTTACCATGAGCTTGATGCAGTCGACGTTCAGAGAGGTATCCCAAGGAACGAGTTCGTGTCCAGCTGCCTCCAGCTTTTGGCAAAACTCTGTAAACACCCTTTCAATAGGTGGGTGTACCTTTACGATTCCGTTATCTACCATGACACCAATAACCAACGGCTTTTGCGAATATTGTCGGAAGACATCGTCTCTCCATGGCAGAGGTGGAATCTGAGGATCCAGTCGCCAAGCCTCAGCCTCAATCACAGCCTTGGATGCCAACGTAAGAGTGTTGAGGGTCCTGGCCATAGGGCCCACGGCAGAAGGTATCTGAATTTGTCCATCTTGAGAGTTGGCTACGCCTTCATACGAAAATCTTCCGCTCTAGTGCCGGGTCAGCAAGTCAGTCAAGAGTACTTGACAGTTAAGAAGCAGGGTCGCTCACGCTTGGTTTGAGGCCCCATAAGCCATTCATGTGGGACGGAACCCGGATGGAACCGCCGATATCTGTTCCCCATCCAAGCGCCGAGCCGTTGAGGGCGAGGAGCGTACCCTCGCCTCCTGAAGAGCCACCTGGAGTGAATTCAGGGTTCATCGGGTGTGTGGTCAGGCCCCAAAGTGGGTTTTCCGTTTCACCCCACTGCCAAAGATCAGCTTACGGCTTCGATACCAACGCAGACGGTTCATTTCCTTACCAGAATACTCTGGGGCAGGTTTGTTTTGGCCAGGATGATGGCGCCAAGCTGCTTGAGCACTGTCACCAAGATACAATCCGAGTCGGCGGGATGGAAGGCGCGCCCAACATAGCCCAGTGTTGAATCTAGCCCTTCAAGATTGAATTGATCCTTAAGCGAAACCGGCACGCCGTGTAGGGGTCCCTTCAGCCGCCCATGTTCCTGTTGAAAGGCGTCGAGCTCTCTCGCCTGCTCCAGGGCCTCATCGAAGCAGATCTCTGTCAAACAATTTGTCTATCATGAATCGATTAGCTGAGCCTCCCAGAGAGACGGTTAATAACAGCAAGCATACTCTCCTGTGGGCATCTTTAGCTCTAAAGGCAGAGTTTGGTCAGAGATACAGGCATGTTTGTCCGAGGATCGATCCCTTACTTGGCAATGTGAGCTATGACAACAGCCTCGGATGTGATTTCCCGGGCTTCTAAAAGCTTGACCAAGTCTTGGGCATCTTTCGCAGCGAAGATACGAGGATCAGACGGTGCGTCTTCACCGTAGGACTTGGAGAGCTTCTCATCGCGTATAGCCCGCTTCTCGGCGACGACCTCTGTCCAGGGCCGAGACATCTTCCGCACAGGTTATCTACTTGGCATAAGCAGAAAAAGATATCAGAGCATAGAGAAGAACATGCGTCGATTGCGAATTGTGCGACTGGAGGTTTGAAAATTTGGCGCCTCGAGAGTCAAGAGCCAACTTGTATTTAGAAAGTGGCAACTTGGTGCTCCATGCGGACCCCGAGTAGACGACTCAATTCTCAAGCCTTATTATGCCCTCCAATCGCTAGACTGAGTAGAGTCACGGTTGCTTGCCATTTTCGGCTTCACCCTGGAATAGAGGAGCGTATCTCGGTGCTTGATTTGGGGCCGATCCCCGATCGGATCTGTTCCCGGCCTGCTTCCGATGTAGCCGGAAACTCGGCAGGGGTCGCAATTTATCTGCCGGCGTTATCAATCGAAGGAGCTGCAAGGTGACCGGCAGCGAAGCGGACAAACAGCTATCCAAATCATCTCAACCTGCATCTCATCCGCATCATACATCCTAGCATCAAAAGAGCGATACAGAACAACAACATGGCAGACATCAACGATCCCGTACTCGCCAAGCCCGCTGATTTGTGCTGCCTCAGGGGCGACTTTCACAACGGCGAGCCCACGGGAAACATCATTCAGATCGAAGGCGTCGATAGCTACGTGGCCAAGCCCGATCCCAAGGTCGCCAATGGAAACGTGCTTCTCTTCTTCCCCGATGCCTTTGGGCTGCACATCAACAGCAAGTTGATGATGGACGCCTACGCCGCCTGTGGATACCTCACACTCGGCGTCGACTACTTTCTCGGAGTAAGTGCACTGCCAGGAGGCCTGTCTTATGCGGAGATCACTCTGTTGATAAGTCTGGGACCATAGGACGCTGTGACAAAGTATACCGTCTCGCCGTTGACTGATCCCAACTTCGACCTGGCAGCTTGGTCCGCCAAGCACCTGGGTCCTTCAGAGGAGGTTGGGAGGGAGTGGGTAAAGAACGTCAAGGCCAAGTATGGCGGTGATGGTCAGGTCAAGTTTGGCTGTGTTGGCTACTGGTGAGTTTTCCCAATTCGCTTCCAAATCCCTAGACCGCGTAAGCTGATTAAAGGTAGCTGGGGTGCGCGATTTGTGTTGGAACAACTATCTGAAGAAGGCATCTGCGCGGCTGGAGCCATTGCCCACCCGTCTTTCGTGAACGAGAGTCATGTGCAGAAGTCCAAGGGTAAGGGGATCCCAATGTACGGCTGATTGTTCAAGAATCTCACGACATCTAACGCACGGCAAATAGCACCCGTCGCTTTCTCGGTCCCGGCCACCGACAAGCTATTCTCAAACGAATCGCGGGCAAGGGTGGTCGAGATCTGTACCGAAAAGCAGCAACGGTTCAACATGCAGATATTCTCCCATGTCGGCCACGGCTTCGCGGTAAGCTCGGCACCAACCGTGACTGTCCATGTCTTGGCGGGATGGCTAACACACTTTGTCAGTCACGAACGCGGCTTACGGACCCTTATGAGCTCTGGGCAAAGGAACAACACTTTAAAGGATTCATCGAATGGTTCGACTTCTGGCTCGCCCAGGCATGATTACGCAACGGGGCGGACTTTCCTAGCTGGTGAAAGCTGTAAATAGACATATGAAATCACGGATGTGGAACAGACTAGAAATGACACCAGCTGTCACTGCAGGCTTTTCATTGGGTGCTTCAAAAACAGGCTATATTGTAGATAGGTAGATCCGAAGGGGGGGGATAACCAGAGTCAGTCATGGCCCTACAGCGATGATACCTATTAAACCAATTGTTATGGGGCAGATGCGGGCCGTGTCATCGACAGACTCAAACAAACCACCCTAGATTTTCTGTAAGTCGCCGTCCGATCTATTGTTATTGGCGTCGGCATTGGTGACCAACAATTCCCCAATCGCCCAATCATTCTGCCCCTTGATAGGGAAATAGAAGTACCAGGAACACTCTACGGATGCGGACTTTCGTTCTAATGTTCGAGTCCTCCCACCCGTCGCTCGCCACGAGACGACAGCGACGAGAAAGCCAATCCCAAGTTGTCTAGTCGGCCCATTCCATTCCGTCATCATGGGTTTCGCTTCCCCATGAATGTCTTCGCTGCAGAGCTAGTGAGATGCGCGGGACAGAAAGGTTGACGAATGTCAAGAGCACCTTACGTAATAATAGTTTAATTCTCGGCCCTCGCTCAGTGGGCGGCGTAATTTTGTACAGCCGTTTGATGCAGAAAATCCCTATCGTCGTGGGCAATAACCCGTGTTCGGGGCTGTTAGGGACGGTGATCGGGGAACAACCGGCACGCTCGGGAAGCAATCTCGGGCCTATCAGTTGCTTCGCCATTCGGTGGATCGGAAAGCGGGTGACATCCACCGCAACGACGATAGGCAATTATCAGAAACGAATCGATATCGGTATTTAACACGGCTGTGCGGTGGTCTCGAAAAGAGAACCGCTTCTTGAGATAGCACCCACTAGGCCCGCTTGACTCCGATATTCAATCACAAATCTTCCCGGCGTAACATCAATATGGTCAAAACCATCCCTTTCATCGATGGCCTGGAGGTTCCAGTGCCAGGCTTCGGTGCCATGGGCATCAGCTTCGCACTGGGCGAGAACCTCAGTTACGAGGAGGCTGAGCCTGTTCTCTTGAAGGCCCTGGAGTTGGGATGCACTTTCTGGGATACTGCCGTATCCTACCGAGCTGGCGTAAATGAGAAGCTCCTCGGCGATTTCATTCGCAAGCACAACTGCCGGGATAGGCTTTTCAGTCCGTGTTCCACACACCCATCTAACTTGCGCACCGCCTAATACATGTGGTTATAGTTGCCTCGAAATGTGGTGTTGCTGTTTTCGAGGACGGGGCTGTCACTAACAAGGCCGAACATATCAAGAAATACATCGAGGGCACTATTGAACGACTGGGTTTCACACCTGATCTCTACTACCTTCATCGCATGGACCGTAGTTAGTCTCCCGCATCTCTACTCCCTTCGCCGAAGCTGACTCTTCGACCGCAGACACCCCTCTAGAAGAGTCCATCACGGCTTTGGACTCGCTCCGCAGAGAAGGCAAGACGAAATACATTGGGCTTTCCGAATGCTCTGCGGCGACCCTGAGAAAGGCAAATTCCAGTAAGTATCGGCCGGTCTGTGAAGATTCTCCGCCGTTCACTGACACGTTGACGCAGTTGCCAAGATCCATGCCGTCCAGGCCGAGTACTCTGCCTTTGAGACACTCCACGAGGTTGATGGACTCGTCGATACGGCGCGCGAGCTCAACGTCGCTTACGTCGCCTATGGACCCCTCGGTCATGGCTGGCTGGTCGAGGACTTCCCCTACAACTCGCCTGAGGAATTCAAGGAAGGGGACTACCGCCGGGAAAGTAAGTCTTGCGTTTCCTTGCACGCGTTGTCTCGTCGTCTGGTGCTGACACCTGACCCCCTCTCCAGTCCCCAAGTTCCAAGGTGAGAACTTCTACATCAACAAGAATATCAGCGAGGGATTCAAGGAGCTTGCAAGGCGCAAAGGCTGCACTGTCGCGCAGGTTGCGCTCGCGTGGGTGGCCGCCCAGGGTATGATCGCCCTCCCGGGCACCACGAAACCTGCGCGGTTGGAGGAGAACTGGGCTTCGAGAGAGGTCGATCTCACAGAGGAGGAGTTGAAGTACATGCGAGATAGGCTTAACGAGCTGAAGCCAAAAGGTGACAGATATAACGTGGAGGCGGCGAAAGATATTGGCAACTGAGGAATTGTAACTCTGTGAACAGAACGTAGACCATCTGTCTGAATCAAGTCATGAGCGAGTAGTACCAAGCCCGTGTACCAATAGGCGAAACAGTGAATTGTAACGATTATTCCAGTCTGCTCTCCCCCATTCTCGAGCCTGGGTCTCTTGCCCGGCCCAGCACCAGCCTCAAATATAACCCCTGAAAAAGATATGAGATGTACATAGCGACTCAACACGCCTAAGATCCGATAGCCGGGGTGAATGAGACCACCGCCATAATCATGCAAAGACAAAAGGGCATGACATAGTACTACATAGCGAAATGCTCTAACGAAACGCTGAAATCAAAGCCGGAGCATCATCACTGTTGGCTAGCCTTGGCCAACCCCTCGCTGCCCGGATCAAACTCGTTGAGCCAACCCCACCTGGTCTTGTCCTTCCAGCCTTTTGCGAGCCAGTCGTTTGCTGGTTTTGGATAAACGTCGATGGCGCCATACAGGCTGTTGTCGTGAGCGATGACGGGGAAGATGTTGTTGTACGCATCGAATTCGGTCAGCTTGTCGATGCTTCGTTTCGCCTCGTGGGCGCAATGATGCCATGCGCCTTCGGCGGTGGTCGGGTCGAAGAAGGGCTCTGTACGGCTCTTGTTGCGGTGAATGTCGACGAAGATATCTCCAGGGCACGCCATGGCAGGGCGTGCCAGCAGGCTGCTGAACGGGTTGGGGGAGATGTCGATGGGCAGAGGCATATATGGCGTCGGCCGGAACTCTCCTCCCTGGTGTGCGATATCTCCGCCCATGAAGATGAAGGTGGGGGGGTCGGCCGTTGTGCGAGCAAGGGCGGAAAGATGGCCGATGGTGTGGCCTGGGGTGTTGAGGAGGTAAAAGCTTCCATCCCCATAGAAATCGAGAGCATCAAACCGGCCAATCTTGAGGCCCTTTCCTTCTTTAGCGAAGTCGATCTCGCGGAGTGTGCGGCCTTCCCACGCCTTCTCGTCAATGTGAGAGTCAGGGACTGTGGGCCACGCAGGGACATGGGCCTTCTTGAATCCGGGTCCGACGATGATCTCTGTCGTGTGTGGGAACGTCTGGGTGTCACCGACATGATCAAAGTGCCAATGTGACCACACGATACCTCCCACCTCGGACAAATCTTTACCATTCTCCTTCAGAATGGTGGCAACATCCTTGTCCACCTGTATCCTACAACCGCCCTCCTTGATGCCTCGGAGGAAGGGCGTCGGCAGGTTCTCCCAGTCTTTTCGCACGCCAAGATCGAAGAGCAAGGTGTCGTACTTGTTCCCGCTCTCGGCATGTTCAACAATAAAGGAAAAGTCGCAGCCTTTCATTTCCTCGTGCCCGGGCATGAGCGGATCGAGGAAAGGCCACATGGGGAAGTTGCTCATGTGACTGGTGGTATCGATGATTGATACCTTCACAGTGGCCCGGGACTCTGGGATATGCAAGTCCGGAGGTGTCTCGGGGCGGATGACGGAGCTCCGGTCCACGACGGGTAGGTCCGAAACGCCGAGTTCTTGGTGTTGTGGTGAGACAAGCATTGTGGCGGTGAATTGGAAAGAGGAACGATATCGACACAACAAGCAAACACCTATTCGATTGAAAGGTGCAAGAGAGCAAGATGGAACAAATAAACAACGTAGAGGCGGGGCTCTCTTTCTGCACTCCACACCAATGGAGAAATCTTATTAACCAACATAGCCTGGGGCCTCCGGGTGCACGCACGCTCCACCAGTCCTAGCTTGCCCTTCAATATCCTGCCGGGATGTCACCAGAATCCCGCAACGGATCTCAAGATAAGGGTCCGGGGACACGGCGGAACATGCTGTGAGGCTGGTAGCCTGGTCACCTAATAAGTGATTACCCAAGGTTGGCATGGCTTGGCGGCCGTGCCTAGAGGCCAATAGGGCGCCAGCCATTCAACTCAGATGGGTAATTTCGATAAGCAACTACCATAAAGGATCGAGCTAGAATCCGTTATCTATCAAGTGCTACACCTTTGCGCTTCGCTAGAACCTATTGGCCTAACAACTCGCTATATCTGCATCCATATTACACCTCCTGGAGCCCCTGGACCGAGATAACGATTATCTTCGGGAAGTCGGGCTACGTTGGGAATACTATCAAGCCCGAGTTCGGGCCAGCGCAGTGGGGGCGTCGGGCCTCAATGAGGTAGCATCGTTCCTTATCACCATTCGGAGCGAGCTTGCCCGTTGGTGGTTCCGGTCGAGGAGGACGACCACGCTTGCATTCAGAGATGCGGGCTTATTGAGCGTGGGCTGCTACGCTACGCTGCGCCTAGTCTGCATCTTGCTGCGACACGCAGCTGATAACGGGGAACCTTCGCGGAACGTCGGAGTCACATCTGCCACCACCCGAGCGTACCTGTGCATCTGACATTCTTCGACATGATTGAAGATACCTTGTTGAACCATTTCCGACAAGCAGACGGAACATTTAGTTGCATTGTTTGGCAGACTATCATGGATGCTAAGCTATGTTTATGATGTTAATAGTAAAAACAAATTGAGTCGGTTGTATATTTGCTCTAATTTGTGTCATTTAAAAATCTATGTAAATTATCAATATTCACAGACACTGAGCTGCTTTTTACGAAGCTCAGGTCAATCTCGTGTCCTTGGCATTCTGAAGTGCCATTGCTACAAAACTCTATGTGATATTATTAGGTCGCCTTTGACTTGACCTTGGCTTGACTACAAGCGAAATCGAGGAGATGAAAGCAGCTTATGATATTCTTCAGCTGAACAGCATAAGCCCTCTGGTCGCTTAGGTCATTATATCACAGAATGGTGCTAAGATTGTGATTTTGAGCGGTTGCGACAAGAATGATGAGTTGATGTTGAGCTAGAGATGGCCAAAGCCACCAGTGTCAATGAACTCAAATTGCCTAGCCACATTTCGTAAATTATAATCACCTCCATACGGTCAGTGGCTCCGCCCCCCAACAGGAGAGATCATGTTGCACAACATGCTAAGGAGAATTAATCATCGCAACAAGTCCCAACGTCCCATGAGTCCCAGTTCATAGCTCGACCCTGAATCATTTTCGCCTCCTCCGCACCGTATCCATCCCGGGACGCTCGATCGATTCTGTTAGCTAATTAGAGCCAGAGTTGTCGGCGCAATCGAAGACTTTCGCAATCGCGCCGGTGTCAAAAGCGGTTTTGATGGCAACTCCAACCGCGTAGCTAGGAAGGCACCATTAGCTTATGGCGATACGATCCAATATTCAAAGATGTAAAGAGACTCACGCTGTTCCAACGACCATGAATGAGCCAATGAGGGCTATAAAGGCATGCGCAGTGTACTGAGCCTTCTGCGCAAGACTGCCAGATCTGTAGCCCTTGAAGTCGTACATCCAGAGAAGACATGGGAAGATCAGACTGAAAGGTGCGGCGCAGAGAGCCCCAGCCAAACCGAGCAAGTAGTTCAGAATAGGAACGGTTTCGGCGACAATGAAGGCAGCGGTGCCAAGGGCGAAGTTGATACCGAGCCACGTGCCCCAGTGCACGAAAGTGTTTCTCTGAAGATGCTCAGAGTCTCTGAGTATACGGACAAAAGCATACTTGGCGGCGACGTGCTGGTAGATGCCGAGGCCGACGATCAGACCCGGCAGCGAGATTCCGTATGAGATCTTCTTGAAGAGAGGCCCTGCGCTTCCAAAGGCGGGAACAGAGAGCCAACTTCCACAGTAGCGATAGATGACGAGGCTTATAACAAGATATAGAGCTCCGACAATGAGACCAGCCCAAAGGCAAGCCTTGCGGTAGTCCTGAGGCCGGCGCATCTCGGAGATGACCGGAAGGAACATGGACGAGCCAGAGGTACAAATGAACAAATTTGCAGAGCTGACCATGCCCACGACAAAGCCGGGGTACGCAACAACGTTCCAACCAAGGTCAAAATCACCAGTTGGGGGAGCTGCTGCGGGCCGGTCTTGCTGGGTGACGGCGATGGTGAAGACAAGGACTCCGATGGTAAATGTGATCATTCCGAGCCAAGTTATCCAGCCGAGCTTGGAGAAGGTCCGGATAGAGGAGCACGCCGTGACCAAAACTGCGCCGACCAGGCCAAATACAACTGTGCATTGCGAATGATTTGAAAGGGCGTTGAGGCCTACAGCTGTCGTAGCGACGCCACCTGCCGTGATAAGGACCTGAAGGACGATGATTTGAACACCGACGATTTCACGACCAATCCTGCCCCAAAGGAAGCCCATCATATCAGCCAACACTATAAGGTGGACATTAACCAACGATATCCAGAGGCATTTCGGATCGTGTGGATCGGCTTACTGTGGCATTCGGGGTGTCTGTTGCGGAAATCGCCGAGGAGCAGACCAGTGTCTGAGGGCTGTTAGTAAGAATAGATGACAAGACCACGACTCTCACTTACAGACGTTCAGACATGTGAAACCGCTGAGAATTAAAGCTCCGCCAACAGCACCGACAGTCGAAATTGCCTCGGGGATGGCAAGAATGCTCATGGCAAAATTGATCTTACAGAAAACAATAGTGGCGCGCTGCCAGCTGACTGTCCTGAACTCAAGAACATCCGCGCCGGTCTGGAAGACTTCACGGGACTCCAAGTCACCTTCGTGAGATGTGATGCCCTCTTTGACGGACCCGGCGGTAGGCCCCACGTCCATCTTGTCAGAAGACGGGTGCTTCTCGTCACGAGGTGTGGTAGCAATGGCCATGATTGGGGTGAGGAGTGCAAGAGAAGGGGAGAAACGGCGATGGGGAAATCAAGCGGACAGCTTGATGAGGCGAAGCCAAAAGGCGGACACCAAGTCAAACAGTGCATTTATATACGGATGCCGACCAGACAACAGTTCACATCTACCCGTCTGATAACTGCCAACGCCAAGAATGCATTCGGGGGTGGCCTTCGCCTAATTTCGAGGCTAACTGCAACTCAGTCAAGGCTACTGAGTAACGACCCTGACCTTGACGATAAGACGTCCAGTGTGCCATTCGTCTGGGCTTCTTCCAACTACTTTCCATGGCTGCTTTGACCAATAGCACGAATGAGCCACGGCATATCCATCATATGATAGGCAGAGTCTGGACCTGTGGATGCATCTGACATTCACGGCGCTCATCTACTTCCATATCGAATACGACGGCCGCAATGATTTAGCGATGCTCCAAGACCAGGATAGTACACCGTCAGTGACGACTAGCGCAGGCATTCCTCCAAAGCAGTAATGGTGGGCCGAGATAACGGGGTAAGCCCGGAAAGGCGACTTCACAAGTGTCAACCATGCATGCAAGCACCAGATGTCTGCTTCCCCCATTTCAATGCCGCCAAATCCATCGGTGGCTTTGAGAAATGACAAGGCTCAAACTATGATAACGAATGATTTGCAGGGTGTTGCCAAGGCAGCAGTACAGACGGGCACTCCGTGCCTGAGGCCTCGTCCTTGTGCGATGCGTGCAGAGGCGGATGATCGGATGTCTACATGATGTATTCATCACGAAGCAGGATCGCGTAGGGGCCAATTCGTATGGTTAAAAGTGGCTTGTTTTTCTAGATAGCGCCGCCACACGAGGCGCTTCCAAATAGCCCTGCTTGACTTAACCGCCAGTCCAAAGGAGGGTTAGAGAACGGGATATATCAGGGTTGGGGTTAGAGTTAGAGACTTGGTCTGTGTAACAGATCATGTTATCTCTAGGTTGTGGGTTGGCTGTAACCGCCTTATATGTAGTCTTCTTCTAAATACTGCTTTGTTTCTCAACCTAGAGCGAAATCGTGCGGGAAGGCGGTGTCGTTCGATAGAATCACCCGTTGACGTGTGGCGGATTCCGCCACAAAGTGGGTGTTACAGTACCGTTTCTGGTTTGTAAAGTATCATTAAATAGAAATCAAAGATGGAAAGAGTCACCATGGCGTTTGACAGTGCATCATAGATATGGTTATGTCATTTCATGGTACGGTCGCTTTGTAAAGAATAAATATTATATCATATGATCCAAAATCTCTCAGATATGCTTAATTCGGAAGTGCCTTGCGCGTCTGAGCTACTGCCTCGTCGACATCGGCCTTCAAGTCCGGGAACCACAACCAGTCCAACCAGCCGTTCTGCAACTTGCCTAGTATCTTGTTCATGTCATTTCCGCACTCGGGGTGCTGAAAGTAGATCATCTGGCCGACCTCGAAGGCCCGGTCGAGCTGCTTTTGAGCACGCGGTCTCCTGACCGCGTCGTACGCCTTGAGCCCTGCATTGATCTCACGAAGCTGCTCAGAGCCCCTGGTAGGGCTCTTCATGAGCTCCTCAAGGACGAATGCAAGAACGAGCGCATCTTCGACACCTTGAGCTGCTCCTGCGGCCTGGAAGGGCATGGAGGCGTGCGCACTGTCGCCAAGGATGCAGACTCTGTCTTTGTAGTACGTCGAGGTCTTGGCGTGGTGGAATAAACCCCACTTAACCGGCTTCGCCTTGGCCACCAGCCTGCGGAAACGATCATCAATGTTATCGCCATCGAAGTCTGCAACCATCTCCTCCACTGTTACGGGCTTGGTGATCCTGCCGGGGTGAGGCCATGGCTTGTTCGGCGTAGCCTTGACCAGAAGGAAATTGAACTCCTACAAACGGATGCAAGCGTCAGTATTGTGCTTCTCCTGGCGCTGGTGGTAGTCCTCATGACTTACATCGCCTCCGGTAATTCGGTACGAGACAGCACCCCTGTCGGGACCGAAATATACCTTTGCTACATCGGTCTTTTCCCCTATAATCTCGTTCGCCTCGTTCATCGGGATGACAGCTCGGTAGCAGTAGGCACCCGAGAACACCGGCTTTGCTTCATCGGGATAGGTTGGCGCCAAGAGGTACTCCCGTACTGTACTCGCGATACCATCAGAACCTGCCAGGATGCTGTGTGTAGCAACCTCGCCATCCTCAAACTCCAGAATAACTCTGTCGGGCTGCTCCTTGATAGAGACGAGCTTCTTGTTAAATTTGACGGTCTCGATGGGAATGAAGCTTGTCATGATATCCAGCAATTCCTTTCGATGAGCCTTTGAGGCAGTGAGCTAACCATCGTCGCAGGTTTTCTGGTGCGTGCGGGGTTACGTACAGACTTGCGGAGGTAGTCTTTGTGCCCCCAAGCGGACTTGAGGTTGCCATTCCAAGGTTGGTCGCCGCCGAAGCCGGGCTCGAGCAGATAGCCCTCGAAGAAGACCCATTGCGCATCAGCGGGCTTGTTTCCGACGCAAGTGGCCTCGTAAAGTGGACGAAACCCGGGCTGGATCATGTCCAAGGCCTGCATGCCATTTGGGCCGAATCCGATACCAGCACTGTCGTTGGACTTTTAGCGAGGCTCCGGTGATGTGGCCGGGGTTCCAACCCTGGGCAACTCACCCGACAACAGAGTACTCTTTTGCTTCTTCATAGATGGTGAATGGCACCCCCTTCCGGTGGAGTGCCATGGCCAGCGCAAGGCCTGCGACACCGGCGCCTATGATTTCCATGTCAGAGGGCCGGTGAAGTTGGAGGGGAGGGGGTTTTCTTCTCTTACCGACGATGGCGACATTGAATTGGGTTGACTGGACTGCCATGTTGCTGAGGTTCTGTAGGTGATTGAAGCAAAACTGTTGATCAAGAGCCCCAACGCCCAAGAACGGTCCTTATATCAACACTGGAGGAATCACCAGTGAAGCACAGGATCATCTTGGCATCCCGTGAGCATGATCTGTCCAACTGCAGAACGGGGATATCTCGGTTGGCAAAGTGTCCTATGGAGTTCTGAATGGACTGTTCCAGATGGGCTTATCAGCTCTGGCATCGTAGATATCAACCGGGCGAAGATCAGTGACCCCTGTTGCCGAGCAGATCCGGTGGCGCCCCGGTATCGACAGAGTACCGTAGGTATATACTCCGTAGATAAGCTGATAATGTACGGATACCCCTTGTTAACCAGAGGGGACCGTGCATGAGTGGTCTGTGCAGAGCCCAGATAGATTCCAGGAATATGGCTTTAGATAATAGATAAGTAGGAACATGTTTAGGGCCGGAGAAGAAGGGAAACGTTTCCTAACGAATTGATAAGCCAAGTAGGAATATACATGAGTATATTTTCTTTAGGCAAGATTCTATAGACATATTTCCAGACTAATTAGGGCTTGTCTGATGACTCGCATTCAGCTGAGGTTGTAATTCTGTCCGTAATCGGAGACCCGGACGATAAGGCTCAACTGTCACGGATCTGTGCCTTTGCCCCACACTCTGCCGCTGTCGTTCTTGCTATTAGCTCATTAGCTTAGTTAGATGTGGGATTCCCCGAGCGGCACGGTGCCGCCCGTTGCCATTCTTCATTTCCCATCTTCTCCCCGTAACCCGGACCACATCAGTCACACCACCCATGGCATCATCAATCGACAACGGATCAGACCAGACGACGACCCCCCCTGCTACCAAACGACGGCGAATCGCCTTAGCATGTACTGCTTGTCGTCTGCGCAAAACCAGGTACGCGACAATCCTCATTGGTCACCGGCCCCCCCCGTCGAGGGTTTCCCTCTCTGTGTTTGCATGTGCTAACTCTGGCCGCTGGGCTACGACGCTACCGCAGATGCGATGGTGTACGCCCATCGTGTGCATCATGTGTTTCTCTTCGATTCCAGTGCCAGTATGAGCCTGGGGATTCCGTTGCCAACGTCATCGTTCGCAAGGAATACATGTCGGATTTGGATTCGCGTGTTTCCGATGTTGACTCGCGTGTTTCCAATGTTGAGCAAATGGTCCAACGACTAAACTATGTTCTCGAAGGCCATCTCTCTGCCTGCGCCGGGGATGCTCGGTATCGTCCTTCCGAAGGGTTGTCGACTTTGCAGTCGTTGTCGGCTTCGGAACAGACCAAGGAAGGCCTTCCGCATGCGGCTGGTCTTGAGGAGCCGCAAGACGAGGATGCTACAACTAACGGCATGGCCATGACCTTCATAGAGGAGCACACCTCGGCTTTCTTTGGCGGCTCTTCCAACATCAACTTCACACGTCTCCTCCTTGATGCGGTGAATCATATTCGCAGTTCTGCACGGCGAGCAGAGGTCACTGGACACCCAGGTCATGCCCTCAACGAAAAGAACCTGGCCAAGGCCTCCCGGCCTTACGCAAACCCAGTTGCGGTATCACCACCCGCAGCACCCAAAGCAATGACTACTCTCCCATCGGCCGAAGAGATGGACCGCATGCTCGACGTGTATTTCAACACCGGCGGCAAAGTATTCCCCTTCATTCATGAAGAATCAATGAGGGAAACCTATGAGGATTGCAAGGCGAACGGTTGGACGAGGGTCCGCAGGACGTTTTTGGGCAGCCTCAATGTCATATTCGCCATGACATCGGCTTGGGACCGGGATGCCATTTCTTCGGCCCGAGAACGCCAGGAGAAGTCCAACGTCTTCCTCAAGAGAGCAAAAGATCTCTGCGGCGAGCTGTCGATGCAGGTCATAAGCCTCGAGAACGTCCAGTATCTCGTTCTTCTCGTCATTCACTGTCAGGGCGTCCAACGTTCAACGCAGGCCTGGAATTATCACGGGGTCGTTGTCCGATCAGCCATGGCTCTGGGCCTTCACAGCGCCCAGGCTCGGAGGGGATTTGACGAGTTACAGGCCGAGTATGGTCGACGAACATGGATTGTGATATACTGCATGGATAAGGTTCTGAGTGTTGCCTTTGGACGGCCAGCCATCATCCCCGACGAGTACATGGTGGACCAGCCGTCGCTATCCGAGCTTGTCTTGCCATCTCCTGACGGATCACTCGACGGCGTTGATGTTCCCGGCGATTTTCTCGGCGTCTCCTTCCGGCTATATCAAATCATGAGCGGCTCTCTCAGACAGCAATACGGCGGCAATATCGACAACTTCGAACCCGAGCCGGATGACATGGCGCCTCTGCAGGCTTCGGGTCAGTTCAAAAAGCAACTCCGGTTGTGGTCCACCAGCCTACCGCCGTACCTGCGGCTATGCGAATCCAAATCGAAGACGCTCCTGGATAACAGCGAGGTGAATCGCCTTAGGGTCATTCTTACGCTGAGATACCACAACATCAACATCCTGATTCACCGACCGCTCCTCAGCAACACCATTCGACACCATTTCGGCGGCGGTCAAACGTCCGTCGGCAGCCCATCTTATCTCATCCAGCTTGCGATGGGAGAGGCACACGAGTGCATTCGCTCGGCGCAAAGCACCATTGAGATTGTGTATGCCATTCTCACTGCCGACCAAACGGGGAATAACAACCTTGGCGTGGGCTACTACACACTTTATTATGGTCAGTTACCTCTGTCTGACTTGTGATTGTTTCACCAAGCTAGTGGCTAATGGACGCGATGAACAGTCTTCACAGCTTCTTTGGTCATCCTTGGCCGGATTCTCTGGACGCAGCATGGGCCCGGCGGAGTAGACGAGACATCCTTGGCGACTTGCAAGACTCTCTTGGGACAAGTGCAGATCATTCTTCAAAAGCTGGACCATGACAACAGTCTGGTCTGCAGCTGTTCAAGATACATCAGCAACATGTTGGAAGTATGCACAGCTCAAGGTACGTGCAAGTTTGTGTCCCACAACGGTCGAGATCCTGTGTTCTTACAGCCCACCCAGATGCCACTGCCACGATTCAGAACGAGGGGCCGGATGATCCTTCAACGATAATCGGCCCACGATTCGAGCATCAACCAACGTCTGCTTCTGCTCCGAATCCTTTGGAAACGATGATGCATCTCGGCATAGGAGACATGGAGATGTTCCACCTCTATTCATCAGAGGTCTACGACCCACGCCTCTTTGAGGGCTTGGATAGGCTATATCCAGTCGGCCACGGCCACGGCGAGGAATACTGAATGGGAGAACTCGTCTAGAGCGATGTAAATGCCTGTCCCGACGAAGGTGCTACGTAGTATTTGAGCCTTCGTCTATTTTACATTTTCATAATGCTGCATGATTAACGACGCGGCTGCCAATTACTGTTCCCGCACTTTTCGCGTAAGTTATTCACTTTCATCTTGCCTAATATCGCTGTTGCGATGTTGACCATCGCCTGGATATCGGCGGTGTGGATTAACGCCGAAATGGTCGGAATAACTACGGCCGATTCACCGTGGATCCACCGGGCCCACGGGGCTATTACGCGGTGAATTCACCGCGTAATCCCACGATAGTTTCCCTTCCTTTACGCATAATTCAGAACCGGTATTTACCCCTATTATTTGTCAATTGCCTATTGATACGTACGGTTAACCGTATCACCACCCTGGTGATAACCCACAATCTCAACATTGGTTTTGTAATTAGACGGACTTGTCGATGAAATTCTTCGTTGTAATAAAAACAAAATCAGGCCTTCAACGCATCTGCGACGACCTCCGTGGCCATTAGTGTCTGTTCGTCCTGGAACCGCCAGCCGACCAGTTGAAACCCCGTTGGTGCCCCATCGACGACGCTCGCATCATCTAGGCACATTGTTAACACGGTACGCATGAAATCCATGTAGGGGCTCGCTTACAGCCGTCAGTAGAGTCAACGGCCTTGTCGACGTGGCCGAAAGGAATGACGCTGCTGGGAAACTGGGGGACTAGTCAGCGACTGATCGTGTATTGTCCACGGAGACACGGCAAACTCGTTCAAAGACATAAGAAAACAGAAAAAGAAAACAGAAAAAGAAAACGTACGTCAAGCAGGTTCCACAGAATCGTGTACATCAGCGGGCCAAACTCTCCGTGGGGAACGGCCGGGCCGCGGCTGGCTGGGCACAGCAAGACATCAAGATCAGCGTCCCGCCAGATCTTGGCCCACTCCTCCCGATAGTCATGTATGTCGGCGCTGATGCGGATGTTTTCGTGCAGATCCGGGACATAGCCGGGGTCCAGGAAATTCCCCGGGTTCATGGATTCGAGATCCGCTATCGGGCTCTCGCCACCGGCTTCGAGGAATTTGAAGGGCAGGTTTACTTGGTCGAGCGCGAACCAGCGCATGGCGATCTTCATCGCCTTCATGGTTGGTGGAGCCGCGATGACCTTAATTGTATGACCTGCAGCCCTGAGCTTGTCCACGGCGGAAGCCATGGCCCTCTTGATGGGCGGGTAAACGGGGAAGTCGGGGTCTTGCGACCAGACTCCAATGGTCAGCTTCTCCTTCCTGGGAGCATCATGCCATGGCACAGCGAACGCCGTAGCGTCGTAACGCCAAGGTTGGGCTTGGATGATGGTCTTCATGAACAGCGTGAGGTCCTGCGCCGTGCGAGCCATGGGGCCAAGGGTCGGCTGGACGCCCTGCCATCCCTTGGGGGCCAGATCTGCCTGTTTTGCAAACGGCAGACGGTTGACTGTTGGCCGGAACCCGTAGACACCGGTGAACAATGCGGGAACTCGTACCGAACCAGCGATATCCGAACCAACACCCATGATGGATCCGCGGAGACCCAGTTGGGCCGCCTCGCCCGAGCTGCTGCCGCCGGGCGTGAGGCACAGCTTATAGGGGTTCAGTGTCCGCCCAAACACGTTGTTATAACTCTCGCAGACCTGCCGGGAATCAGTCAGAATGTTCTGGTGAAGACTTCTCCGCGCTTCAAGTCCATCAGCTTACAAAGAGCGTCTGAGGGACGTTGGTCTTGCAGTAAAAAACTGCTCCGGCGGCTTCGAGCATCTGGGCAATCACGGCGTGCTCATCCGCGGCAGGATGCTTAAGATGACCGACGAACCCCATGGTAGAATACTCTCCCTTGACATGAATCATGTCCTGGTCTCAGGTCAGCTATGCGCATCGTTTATTGCAGGCTACAAATATCTGCACAACGCAGCGCTGCTGACAGTGGGTGCGGCGTGGTGCCCGGGTACTCACCTTGAGAGTGACGGGCAACCCATGCAGGGGCCCGACTGTTTTGCCTTCCTTTGCATAGTACTCGTCAAGCCATCGCGCACGTTCGAGCGCCTTATCAAAGAATATCTCCGTGAGGGAGTTGGTCTGGACAAACGGCACATGTCAGCTCGCGATCGCCACCAGACCAGAGCTTTCGTCCATCACCAGAAAGAGAACACTACCATACCAACTGATGCACGAGCGCTGCCCGCTTGCAGAACGCCGCGGCGACATCATATGACGAAAGCTCTCCCGAGGCGATCTTCGCAGTCAGACTCGTGGCGGTGTAGTTTTCTGTGATGTCGATTTCCCGGTCACTCAGCAGCGCAGCCTCGTTGAGCAGTTCAAAGGCATTGTGTGAGCTCTCCTGAGAGACTTTGTTGGTGATATCGGTCGGCAACCGCCACTCTCCAGGAATCAGAGCGTCTCTCACAGCCCTCTTCTTCTGAATCAGCTCTTGCCACTCCGAAGCCATGACTGCTGTATGAGGGAAAGGATCTCCTGTTCTGTTTGAGAAAAAAAAAACCCCGACTTGCTTTCCTTGTAGTCGGGGGGCTCTTGTTATTATTTCACCTGAGGCAATCGGGCTCGGCTTAGTCTATGGTCATATTCGTTCCCGACGATACTGGACTGTAATTTGGAACCGCCATATAAACGACCAAGCATCATGCCTCCGCTTCTCCGTCCGCGCTCCACACTCCCCAGATGCCAGAGATCTGTTATCTCTGCGGCAGTCTTATCTCAGCGGCAGTCTTATCTCTGTAGTGGTCTTCGGGGCAAGGCCGGAATGGTGACCTTCCCACAAAGGCACCAGGCCAACCCCGGTCCTAAAGAAACTGTCTTGCGATAATGGGTAGTCCGGGGTTGATAGTCCGGGGTTGATCCTATCTAAGCCGCCGTAACAGCGCGATATCTTCCCCAGGTGACTTTGACTAATCTCTTATCTCTAGTGCCTGCAACATATCGCATGGGCCCAGTGCCACCCTGCGCGCGACGAGGCGTCCTGCACTGTTGCCGTTGTCGGCCTCCAGATCTACTGTCCGACTGATCAACGGGTTGGCCCATGTCCAAGGGTGGTCATGGTATATCGGGAAGCTTAACGTGGGGGCCTTCATGGACGGTCCAAGGTCACGAGGGGTGTTGGTAAGAGGCTGCGAGATGTTGCAGTTACTGATGCACATTATCACAGGAAAAGCTAACTTGAATTTGGACGTCCGTTGCACTATTGAACTGCTTTGTGTGTCCCCCGTGCCCGGCCTGAGCGGCCACTAATACACATTATACGCATCCAAAAAGCAATGTACCCATGTTATCCTATCGTTCAGCCTAGGCCCCAGAACGACCTGACCTCGCCCCCCTAAACTCCTCGCCCGTAGGCTTAGCCGGTGAGAGAAGCCCGCTGTGTCCAGGCCTTGTCGTTGGCAAGTCCCACGTAGTCTTCGTGGAACAAGCACGTGGCGAGGAACATATCCCCGTCGCGGTTCTTCGGCATGATGTAGGTCAAATCAGGAACGGGCGACATGCGCGCACGCCTGACGAAATCCGGCGCGCCGAGGCCCTTGCCAAAGTCGCAGGTGTTGAGCCAGTGAAGCTGGGCCCACGAAGAGCACAAGTAATCCCTCCCGGGCTTGACACGGGCGCCGTAGAAGATTGTTGTCTTGTCCTCGGTGCTGTTGATGAGTGTGGCGAGGCTGCGAACGAAGTGATCGTCGACCTGCTTGAGCGATTCTCTGCTCTCGACGGCAACGTCGGCCAACGTCGCGTCGGCGAGCTCTTGTGCGGTTTTCCAGGTCGTCTCGGCCAGCGCCACAAGGTGGCCGAGGTAGCCGTCTTCGACGGGGGGCTTGAGAACTGAGCGCGAGTCCACGGCACGTTGAAGCTGGACAATCTCGTCTTTGGCCACTCGTCCTTCGCGGACGCGGACTGCATTGAGGCGCAGGACAAGGAAGGCGGTGATGGCGTCGTTTGTGGAAACCCAGGTGCGTCCGCTCGATGCTTCCTTCTTCAAGTCTTGAAGCTGTTTCGCCGAGAAGCGCCAGTAGTGCCAATCGATTGGTCTTGGCGGGCTCGGCGGTCGAGGGGCGGCCTGGAGCGTGGAGGGACGACGCATGAAATCGAGATCGGCAGCCGGCTCCCCGGGTTCCAGGAGAGGGACGATGGTATCAGCGTCCCGGTTGCCTGCTGCTACCAGCTTGGGGTCGTACTCGTCGCCCCTGCCGGCGGCAGCAAACATCTTCAAGACAGTGCCTTGGCCGTTCATGTCTAGGGCGTTGTGCATGGAGGCGATACAAAGGAGGATGCCGCCGTCGACGAAGTTGGCCTGTGCGACAAACACAGGCAGTTCGGTGCCGGCATCGTACTGATAACCCATGCCCTTCACCGGGCAGAGGACCTCTCCGTCCAGCATGGCGAAGGGGGCGTCGGCCTTGACGATATGTTCGTACGCAGGGCAGAGGAGCGTGCAGTCCTTGCGGAGAACGGGAGATTTGCCCTGATGCGGCGGATAAGGCACGATCTCGTATCTGCCAGAGTTGGTGGCAGTCTGGCCCGTCTTGATCACTTGACCTGCAAGCGACGGGTACGCCTCGAGCAGCTTGAGTGCGCTCCTGTCCAGGGTCGCCAGGACATCGTCGCGAGTGGTGCCGGGCTGGTCTGGGAATCCGAGGATGATGACCGTGTATGTATCCCAGCAAAGCTGGCCAAAAATACCAGGCTGTCGCAGCTTCTGCTCCATTTGGCTGGCTATGGAGGTCAAAAGCAGACAAGTAGGGTTCTCTGTGTGTGTCGAGAAGCAGGGATTGGTAAGGTTGTGCGCAATGGTCAGAGAGAGAGCTCCGTTGGAGTGGGTTGAGGAGCTGCTCGAGGCGTCACTTATACCGGAGCTGGAAAAATGCGGCTCCAGTATGTCGATGGTGTTGAAGATGACGGGGACCTGGCGGCTTGTGACGGAACTTCAACAATCGGGGTTCGGGGCTGCCGCGGGCCGCTCGACGTGCTTACGCGTCAAAGCCGTGACTCACTCACTGTAAGGCCCGCAGTGTCGCGAATAAAGTCGATTCTCCCTCACCCTTGCTTGTGTCACGTATCCCAGCAGCCCTTGGGCACTTGTGCAAGTCCCCCAAGCTCGCCGTATACTTGACCGCACCACCAAGCCTATGCACATGGCAGCATGAAGAATCTCGGCCTTTGGAACAAGAATGTGACGAAGAGTTCACAAGCTCAGGTCCGCCTGCCACGAGTCCGAATTCGCGGTAAGTCCGGGTCGGCTCGGGGATAGCAACGCCGCCATGTATCGTCAAATGCAACCTAGCCCCACCACCTTATCTAGGAGGGAACATAACCCAAGAGGGCGAATTGAAGGGCAGCGCATCCTGGACCGCCAATCATTGGGCCGTCCTCTTCATCCGTCGTCTTCGTTCACGCTCTCTACGGCTGGAAAGACCCAGCCTTGACACGGCTTTCATCGTTGGAATCTTACCTTGTAGCACCTTGCTGTAGCTGCATGATAATCCTAACATCGGATTGAATGGCTGGGTCTAGAAGCCTGTCAGCTTCACACACAGTTAGCGACTGCGCTGTATCGCGCGGTGTTCTACTTGTTACATGGGTATACAACTTGCCTATATAGCTTCTCTTTCTATATCTCCATCTTTATAGAATTACACCTTTCTTATTTCCATGCTTATATGCCCTACTGTGTGCAATAACGTGTCATATAATTTCACGTGATATATATCGTAAGTCGTCATCCGTTACTACCCTATAACTAACGGCGTCGTTGTTACGTCATAAATACAACCCTTGTCTAACGCTGTTATAGGTAGAGTAACTAACTTTCTAAGCTTAAACACTGTATATAACAAGCACAGGAGCGGACCGTCCACACCGCCTATGATGGTGTCTTCTATAGCGAAAGGGTGTTAGACCAATGCTGGGAGAGGGGAAACTGTTTCTGAACGTCTATCTGACCTAATTCTTGATCAAGAGCCTCGTAGGCCCCCCGCCACAAAGTTCATCGTCCAGTGCGCATGAGGGGGGTTAGGCCTGAGAGCAAGATCGCCTGCTGTTCGGCTTGGCTCGACAGTCGCAGTCCGCAGCTCAATTGTCGGTGGATCAAACATCATCGTGCACTTTGTGTGGGTGTGCTGTGGCACGCATTGAGCTGATACCTTTTTATTTCTTCTTTCCTTTAAAAAAAGATCACCATGACAAATGAAGCACATGTCTGCCCTGAAGGGCCTGTGCAGAGATATTTCATCGCGCTGCATAGCTTGGCACCACCTATCGGAGCAAGCGTCTGCAGTACATGCCGGCGACTCAACGGTATAGACCAAGCTTACTTTTTGACGAGTGCAGCGATTTGAAACCCAAAGGAAATTCTCATATTCTTCATCGTCACTAATATATCATTGCTTCGTCGAAGGGGAGTCCGTGGTCCTGTTCCGGCTAGTATCGACCCAACTCTGAAGGCTCAGCGTATTAACTATCTCGCTGACGTCGAGTATTGACAAGAGCTCGGACAACTCGGCTAGGTACTCCCGCACCCGTAGTGATCGTTCTTCGTGGACCTCGTAAGAAAACGGGAGAAGCGCAACCGCAATGTCACGGAGTTTGTAGACCTGGTACACGTTGATCAGGGCCAACTCTCGACACGCACACCCGGGATTTCCTCGTAGCCAACACTCGAGCGGGCGGCAAGTATCGGCCTGCCTGGGGAGTGACAACCTACCAGTCCGTTTCCGTTCGGCTCTAGCGCCGAACGTGAGAATGAGTGCACTGTGTGCAGCAGCTCTCGGCAGATATTCTCACGCTCATCGCACACGGCGTCTTGTCCCTGCCTTTGGGAGAACGGGGGAGGCAGGAAGCCAAAGGCAACGTGAGGGGCCGGATCCTTGGGGGGTGAGGCGGAAACGCTCTGCTCGCTTATGATGTTATCGATCTGGCCAAGGAGCACGATTTGGAGCCACAGGTGGGTGGTTTGGATATTGGCACGAATGATGTCGCGCTGGATGATCCTTACGGAATCGTCATCTGATGCTGGAGTTAGAGCACTTTTACTCTTCTTCCAGGGTTTGTATGCAGGCTGCACTGTATCAAGCATGTACTTGAGATGGCACAGTTGCTCTTTGAGCCTGGCGAGTCGGATTGTCGGGTCTCTGGCTTGGGGGCAGCTACAGAGCGGGCTTTGTAGCCGTGCAGCTGAAAAGATCCGGGAATGAATGTTGAAGCCCGCAGTCATGGATTTTGCGGAAATGTCTTCCGGGCACGGAAGGATACCGGCACAGGAGATGAACTCGTCATCCACGGGAACGGGCATAAGTTCCTCGAGGTTGATCTCCTGCAGGATCACGGGGTCAAGAAATGTCACCCTCTCGTGGCGGTAGCTGTGCGTGTGATGGATATAAGCGTAAAACATCAGCCAAAACGCCTTCTTGCGAAGTTGTGTCTCAATAGCGTCGAGGCCAATGTAGCTAGAGCTGTTTTGAACTTCCAACAGTCGCAACAGCTGCATGGATTCCACTTCGAGCATGCGCCATAGGTTGGTGTTACCAGTCTGGTGAAAGGTGAGGGCTAGTAAATAGGAGCTCGCCCACTTTTGATGACTGACGGTATCCCAGTAATCAATATCCCGAAGACTTTGGTTGAGTTTGTAGCAGTGGTTTGCCACTTCTGTACGAGTCTCGAACAGAAGAGGGCTTTTATGCTCTCTATATACCCTAAATCTCGATGGCAATAGTCCTATTGTGAGAGCGCACAGCGAAACTATTAACAAGAGAAACTCTTGGTTCTCATCGTCATGCGCTTGACTGAAGTGGGTTTCGAAGGTTGGTATGTGGATCACGGGGACCACTGGATATACGTATGTGACATAGTCCAGAAGAATAAATCGAACAAGATCTCTTGGAAAGAGGGTATCCGTTGCATAAGAGCGACCTTGCGTCAAAGGCGATGCGGACTCGATGGAAAGATCGGCAAAAAAATCTGTCCTTCCTGTGATCAAAGATGCGTCTAAAGAGGATTGCCGCGAGAGGGGGCTTTGGCTTCGCCCATCAACCACATGGCCTTCCCAATCCAGGTTGTGGGCAGATGAAATTGATCCCAGTGTCATGTGTCGATGATCTGCCCCTCTCTTGGGCCCCCGCGTTTTCACCGGAAGCAGGAATGTGCACTGGGAGTTTGCCTTCTCACAGTTTTGGCACCTCGTGGCAACGTCGGAAGCCTGTCCGGCGTTGGCCCAGTGTATCGCATCATCCCCTTTGAAAGTACACCTGCGCTTGCGGGAGCGACAGCCATCGCACGCTTGGCGAGCGACAATTCTGGATGGCGCGTTGGCAACAGACACAGAGCCGTCGTCGCTCGGGCTGGGCGCCATGGTAGGTGCTTAAAAGCAACACCCCATCACCCTAACGCGTGTGCCTAAGAACCTGGAAAATGGTTTATCTTGCGGATCATTCATTAGCTCTTTGACCGGGGGAGGGTCCGCAGCGATGCCTCTTAGACACGCATGCAGGGCCGAGCTGATTGGTAGACGTAGGTAGACGTACACAGGAATTGTTGGTCCCACCAGAATATTGGTGAGACGTAACGTATCGTAGGACTGACGAATGATCAGTGTAAGACTGTTCAATTATGTCCAAGGACGAAGAGTAGTTGATATCGGCGGCTGCATGGTTGAAAGGTAGTGAAATCCATCGTAAATCCACGGTGGTGGTTGTTGGAGAACGCCCCGCTTCGTCCCATCGTTCGGCTCAGCACGGGGAAGGCCCGGAAACGCAGGTTTCGCTTGTCATTCCAGACAAGCCGTTCACAGAGACTAAGATCTATTCGAAAGGCTCGGGAGGGAATAGCATAATGTGAAGCTGATTCCTTTCCCCAAGATGCTCTGCTCTGGGAGAAACGGTTGGCCATCTGCAGTCTCATTGTTCTTTCCAATGCTGGATGCTGTGAGCGAATCCGATTATGTATGTACATGCTTGAAAGCCCCCCTAGTCTATGCACCTGTAGCTCGCCTCCTGACCATTTCGCAACTTCATGGCGCAATACCTTTCCAGTACTTCGTCTTGCTCATCCTGAAAGAGGCCTCCAGTGGCGTATCTGCACTGCTGAAGCCCACCATGACCTTGTAATCGCCAGCTTCGCTGCACCACTTATCGCGGCCTTCGTCCCAGTAGCTCGTGGAAAGCACTGCATCAAATTCGATCGAGACCTCCCTACCTTCCTGCGCCTCCAGGTAGATCTTGCGGAATGCCTTGAGCTCTTTGACGGGGCGTTGAATCGACGTCGTCGCCGATGGTGCGACATAGACCTGCACAACTTGGGCACCAGCACTTAAGCCCCTGTTCGAGACTCGCAGCGAGACCTCGGCCTTGCCATTATTCGCGACCTGCAGATTTTCCAGCTCAAAGGTTGAGTACGAAAGGCCATGTCCGAACGGGAACAGGGGTTTGGAGTCGATCTTTTCGTAATATCGATAGCCAACGTAGACATCCTCGCCGTAAAGCACGCGTCCTGCTTCGGAACGGAAGTTGAAGTATGTGGGGTTATCCTGTAGCCGGCGAGGGATTGTGAGAGGTAGCTTGCCGCACTATGGGCTCAAAATTAGTGACGGGCTTTTCTTGGAAGTACTTTTTGGTAATTCTCACCGGGTTCACGTCGCCGAACAGCACATCTGCGATCCCATTGCCTGTCTCGTTTCCACCATACCAAGCATGGCAAACCGCCTTGGCATTGTCAATCCACGGCATGGTGACGGGAGTACCGGACTGTACAATGACGGCGGTGTTGGGATTCGCAGCAAGAACTTCCGAGACGAGAGTATTGGTCTTGGCGCTCATGTCCATCGTGGTGCGGTCTGTACCCTCCGACTCCCACTCGCCGCTTAGGCCAACCACGAGGACAACTTGGTCAACTGTCTTGGCCAACTCGGCAGCCTCTTTGATGGCTTGATCTGGGTCCATTCGCCTGTAGGCCCCGAAAATAAGTCCACCGTGTCTTCCACCAACGGGGCCGGAAGGAGGTAGTTTGCTCGTTTTCGCACAGCCCCATTCGACTCGAATACGATAGTCTCGGCCAGCAACGAGCTCCGCGCTGCCCCTTTCCTCAATCGTGCCGGAACCAAACAGGGTCGGTCCGGGCGTCTGATTCTCGAAGTTACTGATCAGCAGCGCATCGTCGACATACAGCTTGGCTGTGCCTTCAACCCCCAGGCCAAAGTCATATAGACCGCTCTCGTCGGGGCGGAAGATACCCTCGGCCTGGCAGTACCATACCGGAGCCAGACGCTCGTTCTCGTAATCCATGAAGAACATGTTTGAATCTATAAGAACTCGCTCGTCGACTGGCTTCCGACTGGCGACCGTGACAGGCTCGTTGTATGCTCTCCACAGAAAACCTCGTTGCCCTTTTTCGGTTCTGAGTCTATCGCCCAGTTGGGGAAGCATTTGATGGTCTGCGGAGCCTTGCGCAAAGCTCGTCTTCTCGCACTGCTTGGCGACGCCCTCGTACGGGGAAACACTGTAGTATGGCAGGAGTGATGCGCTTCCACCTCCGCAGAAACGGGCAATTTTGGCATTGGGTCCAATGACGGCCGTCGTCTTCGATTTTGAGAACGGCAAGACACAATCCTCATTCTTGAGGAGGACAATTGACTCGGAAGCCGCCCGTCGCAGCAGAGCTTGGTCTTGAGGGCGGTTGAGCTCCGTCTCAGGTGCGTTTTCCGGAACGCCGGAGGCTTCGGAGTAGTTTATGAAGTTGAGGACATTCCTAACACGATCGTCAAGTTGGTCTATAGTGACCTTGTTTGCCATGACGGCATGGGACAACGTCACGCCTCTCCAACGAGTAGGGCCGGGCATCTCCAGGTCGAGGCCGGCTTGGACGGAACTTGTCGTGCTATAGGTACCGAACCTGTAGGGAGAAGCCGTCAGCAAACAGTCCCCAAAGCCCGGAAAAGACTGGTGCCTTACCAATCGCTCATGACGAGCCCATCAAACTTCCATTCACCCCTCAAAACTTTTTGCAACAGTTCTCTGCTCTCGGCCACGTGTGTGCCATTGACCTTGTTGTACGCCGTCATAATAGCCCTAGGGTTTCCGATGGAAATCGCAAGCATAAATGGGAGCAAGTAGATCTCACGCAGGGCACGGGGTGTAACAATGGCATTATATGCCATACGCTCGTGTTCCATGTCATTGCAAACAAAGTGTTTCAACGTAGCAGCGACATTCTCTTGTTGCAGCCCGTGGGCGTAAGAGCCGGCCAAGAGGCCGGACAGTACCGGATCTTCTGAGAAGGATTCAAAGCCACGGCCACCCAGCGGGCCTCGTTGAATGTTGAGCGTCGGACCAAGCACGGCGACTGCTCCCTTTGCCTTGGCCTCTTGACCTTGGAGATGGCCCAACTCGGCCATGAGATCGGTATCGAATGTAGCGCCGAGAGCAGTTCCGCATGGAAGACATGAGGAAGGGACGCTGCCGAAGATTCTCGTCCCGCGAACGCCATTGGGCCCATCGGTGACACGGATGGAGGGAATGCCGTGGCGAGGGAGAGGTGTCGTGTGCCAGAAGTCCTTGCCTATCCAGGCGTCAATTCATGGTCTTGTGATGATGCATGCAGAATCAGCAGCCACTTGCCTGCAAGGAGTGCCACTTTCTCATCCACAGATAACCGTGAGAGGAGATCGTCGACATCCAGCTTTCCTGCAGAAGCTTCGCGCATAAAGGGTGACATGATGGCGGTGTTTGTTCAAGACCGGGATAACGGCCGGTACGCTACGTTATGACGTCCTGATAAACGAATGAGGGATGCGCAGAAGTCGGCCCAAAGCCTACCGCTGCGCTTGGGCATCCCGTCATTATGAATGATGCTACTTGTCAAACCCCATTGTGTCATATCGTCGGCTGCCGGCAGGGGGGGCTCTAGGAAACTTGATGGCGCCTATCATACCTGACCTAGCGGGGAAATTGCTCCTCTTCCCCTTTTGGCAATTCTCCGCCTCCACATCGTTTCTACCATTAAGACCTCGTTGAGCCATGTTTCTCCGCCTTCTACCCCATCGATTTCTCCGCCTTCTACCCCATTCATCTCCGCCTGATTTCCCACTATAGTATCAGCATAACGAGCTAGGTATATCTCAGATAACATGATTGCCAACCTGCCCCCTGAAAGGGCGGGGCCTTGAAAGTTAATCCTATCGAGTTATAGCTTCCCCATGATCTGTACGTGTCTGATAAGAGTGTATCGATGCTGAAGCAACTCCGCTCTCGAACTTGGCATTCTAGGCCCAGACTTTTGATATGCTCTTCCGGACTGAGTTCAAGAAAGCCAAACCCTCCTATTTGTCTGGAACATCTGCATTTGGTTGCCAGTGAAACATCTGACGCGTATTACGCAGTCCATAGCGGCACATCGGGGCTTAGTTTTGCATCCCCGGTTTGATAACGAGCGAGTGAATGCACTTGAACACGGTCACAGCTCAACCCCAGACTCTTCTTATCTGAGGCCGCAACTCCCGATTGGGCCTCTCCCGTCACTGAAGATAACACTCCAGATAACACACCCCAGATCCGGAACCAACCAAGGCTCAGGGCCAACCTCGCACACCAACATATTGCTTCTTTACCTGCACGGGAGAAGTGTATAAAGTCACAGCAACTTCCAGTGGCATGTATACCTATCTATGGCTAACCGCACATCATCATCTTCGAATTCTATCACTTAACCGCCTGGGCTTGGAAGCTTTTATTGCATGACCATGGCTGGCAAGGACGTCTTTCAGGCCAAGGCCAAAGATACCGTGGCTCACCAGTTGTCATCGGTGCTGCCCTCCGATGGAAAGCCATGGTATAAGCAAAGCCATCTTATTAGGCTCAACTACACAATTCTGTCTCTGGTCCTCCTTTGTGAGTCTCGCAGATACTTGGTCCTAAGAAGCAAAGATTGGCTAACAAGACGGCCAACTCGAAGCCTCCGCCGTCGGCTATGACGGATCCCTGATGAACGGTCTTCAAGCCCTACCGAAGTGGAATCAGTTCATGGGCATGCCTCAAGGTGCTTGGCTCGGATTCATCAATGCAATCTACTGGTTTTGCAACGGTGTCTCCTTCTTCATCGCGGCCTGGACATCGAATACATATGGTCGCAAGTCGGGTATCTACGCCGGTCATGTCTTCCTCATCTCCGGCGTCATCCTCCAGACGGCAGCTTATAATCAAGCATCTTTCATTGCCGCCCGCGCTTTGCTCGGTACTGCTGCCGGCTGGTATGTCAGCGGCGCGCCGATGCTCATCAACGAAATTGCGTTCCCGACCCATCGAGCCATCGCCGCTTCTTGCTTCCAGTGCGGTTTCTATCTAGGCAGCTTAGTCGCTGCCTGGGTCACCTTCGCGACCAGAAACTATGGCACCTCCTGGGATTGGCGACTTCCATCCCTTTTGCAGATCTTGCTCCCGGCAATCGCCATCCCAGGTACCTTGATGGCACCCGAGTCACCTCGGTGGCTCGCCTCCATGGACCGCGTCGAAGAGACGAGGCAATTTGTCATCAAGTACCACGCAGGCGGAGACGAAAACTTGCCCCTCGTGAATTTCGAAACCGAGGAGATCGCCAACACCATTAAGGCAGAGCAGGAAGCCCATGCCAGCTCCAGCTATGCGGACATGTTCAAGACGAAGGGCCTGAGGTGGCGACTTGGAGTCTCCATCTCCCTGGGTATCTTCAGCCAATGGAGCGGTAACGGAGTCGTCTCGTACTACCTTGCACTGGTTCTACAGACTGTCGGCATTACCAGTGTCACGCTTCAGACGCTTATTTCTGCCCTTCTTCAAGTCTGGAATCTGATCTGGGCTATCGCTGCTGCGATCTCTGTCGAGAAACTGGGACGACGATTGTTGTTCGTCAGCTCTGCGGCAATCATGTTAGTCAGCTACATCGTCATCACTGGCCTTTCAGGTTCCTTTGCCAACACCGGAAACGCCGCCGTTGGTACTGCCGTTATCCCATTCCTCTTCATTTTCTTCATGGGCTACGACATTGCTCTGTAAGTAGTCCATCGAAACAACACCTCTCCGAACCGTGGCTGACAACACGTAGCACCCCTCTCATCATCTCATACCCGATCGAGATTTGGCCATATCGACTCCGGTCTAGGGGCTTCACCGTCACGTATCTCGCCGGTATCTTTGGAGGCCTCTTCAACATGTTTGTCAACCCGGTCGCGCTGCAGAGTATTGGCTGGAAGTACTACTTCGTCTACGTCGTCTTCCTCGTTGCGTTCCTCGTCATTTCCTACTTGTTCTACCCGGAGACCCGTGGCCACACTCTAGAGCAGATCGCTCTTATCTTTGACGGCGAAGAGGCCGAGCTGCTGCCAGAAGAGACCAAAACTGAGGTTCTGGTGGAAGAGAAGAGTATCTGAGCCGATAAAGGATATCCCCTCCGCTTAAACGGTGGAGAGCGTAGGGGATCGGTTTATGTCGATGTTCCATCATGATTGTTTCTCTAAAAAATGATATTCGAAGTTCGCAACATGTGAAAAATTGGACCCTGAGCTGTGTGTCTGTAGATGCAATACAAGAGAATGAGTAGCAGTGCAGATAAAAGAACTCCATGTCTCATCTCAACAACAATGGTGAGCCACGCCCTATGTGCACGATAAATCATCATCGACCCTGCCAGACGAAGTAGTGGTCGTTTTCGTCACCAGATAATGGGCCTGCTGAAGCGGTTGGCTGGTCAGAGGCCCTGTTCCGCGTCGCAATGCGGAGAAAGCTCTTGTCCTCTCAGCGTGAGAACTGAGAGTATGCAAAGACCGGCGATCAAAAACAGGAATGAGGCCAGGGTCTTATTTCAGGTGAACGGTAAAAGGCACTGCTGGCTCATATATTTGTCAACGAATTCGCTCTAGAGCGGTATCTGATGAAAAAGACGGAGGCGGCCATGGCAACAGTGAATTGGTGTAGAAAAAGCGGCCTCGATCAAAACAACACATCGGAGCTCCTTGCGGTTCTGAAGGCAGCAAAGCTGCAATATATATGATGGGAAAGTCTTTACAAGAGTCACTTTACGGTCCCCAAAGCCGCAGGCAAGTGGCGGGATACACTCCGAAAAGCTATATACGACCGAGAGTGCGATTAAGGTTAAACATCTAATACGTTAAATCAAACATCACTTTACCTTTGGCTGGTAGATCCGGCTTAGGTCTATCTAAACGCAGTATCTCGATATGTTTGTAGTTTTGTTTCCGCCGGGATCACGCTTGTTGCCACTGTGCGATCGTCAGATGTATACGGATACCGCCGGGCGTCGGATTTAAGGCTGCGGACGGGCTATCAGCGCCGGGTCTGCCAAAGCCTTTTCCCGGCCACTCCCCGAAACCGCACGGGGATTCAGCGGTTGATAAGTCCGGAAGTCCGATCATTCTGTAGGCACGATCTACCTACGACACAGTACCGTATTTGTAATCCTTTAGGCATTCTTCGCTCCTTTTTATTTATTAATCCTATGTTGTGTTGATACTCAGGCTTCAAAAACCCCTCCCTTACTAACAGTAGGACTCTTGTAAAAGTTGTATAATACTATAAGGTATAGCTAAAGGGCTATAAACCTCTTTAACTTATCAATTATAACCTCCTTTGGCTGTAGTCCTCTCTCAATTGAGCCCTTTCTAAGGAGGTAAAGGTTCACTAACTACGATAAAGTATATGGTGTTGGAACAGTATTCTTATTCAACTTTACAACACTTTAATATACCCTCCTACACCTCCAACGTTTTTTCTGTCTTTATGAGTACTCTAATGATTTTATCCTGGTCATATTAGATATTTCGAAGTAGAGCATCACCTAATGAGGGACTTTTATTCAAACTAACTATGTCTAATGTTGTGGTTGCTTTTATGCTGTGTATCAGCACTAATATGTGACAGGTCAGATTCTCACAACACTAAAGCTAAACCAACTCGGATGCTTGGATCCCGAATTCCGTCATTTCGTTTATACTTCCTTTCACCAGTAGTTCGTGGTATATATTTAAGCCTTGATGCGATGTAGTAAAGCCGAACTCTACCCCACCAGTAGATAGAGAAGTACTGGAACGTGCATGACAATTACCCTCCAAACAACACTGTAGTACCTGACCTGCGTTCCATCGGAGGTAGTCTCTGTAGCAGTGGCTTCCGGTCCGAAAACCAAAGTATTAGTCGCCTCATTCTTCGCGGTAGAAGTGTCTGCCGCAGACTTGATGGGACTTGTGTCCTATGATACAAAAAATTGAAAATCAGTTTCCCGCAACTTAATAATCATGCCACTAGATTAGAAGCACCTTTGGTTTCTGCAAAACGCCCGTAGCGGCAGCGCAGTGTTGAAACTCCCAAACCTTGCTCGTCGTCGCAGTATCCCCCCTGCAAGACTGATGCCCGTCAGGATAGCAGGCGGATGCGAGGGAGACCAGCGACGCTTGGCACCGGCAGCTCGTGAGCTCCGCCGGCTTGGTGTACGCCGACGAGCACGAGGTGGTGGACTGGCTGAGCTGGGCGCAGCTCTCGGCGGCGCCCTTACAGCTGTCCACGTCCAGCGTTCTCGTCGCGGCGGGGGCCACGGGCGTTGTGACGCCTTTCGCCAGGTACGGGCCGCACGCGTCCTGCCATGCGGCGATCTGGTCGTCCGAGTCGCTGTCGAATGTGTTGCCGAGAGCACATTGCCGGAACTGGCCCTTGCAACTGAATGGGAAAGAATAAAACAGTTAGCAGACGGAGATGGAGGTTGTATCTGGAGACGTGATTAGTACCCCACATAGGCATTCAAGAGCTCCTGGGTGCAGAAGCAGGTGATGGTTTCCTTCTTTGAGAGAGGTTGCTGCACTTCTTCGTCAAGAAATCGACTTTCTCGCAGTTTGGGAATTCTGTGATGTCGCCGATGCAGCTTGGTGGTGTGAAGGCTGCACCGTAACACAACCGCAAGAGAGCGGCAAGAGTAACGACGAACGGAACGGAAAGATGCATCTTGTTTCTTGATGGCCGATTCAGTTGAACCCGGCTACTGGCAGATCTTGCGGCTTCTTGATATTAAATATGACCTCCCCGTCCTCAATGCCAGCCAGGGCTGACAATAGTAGTCAAACCACAGCGTCGGGCTTTTGCCCAGCCAGGCATAGTTTAACCCGGGAGGTTGGCATCTGAGCCGTTCCAGGCCCATGTGGCTTGGAGTGCTCGGCAAGCCATGATAATCTAGAACCTCAAATCAGAGCAACCTTAAAAGAACGCGGTGTCAAGCTAAGTCCACTGCGGCTTGTGTCAAGTTTTCAGCTGAGGCTGTGATTCTGATTTCTCCCGATTGTCTTGCCTGCGTGCCACCGGAGTAAGCCTTGGGAGCTGAAGCTAGAGCCAGCTCCCAGACGGATCACGACAAGTCCAATTCGTTAGTCTGGGGCTGCCAGAAACGTTTTTAGGGGTTCAAACGATTCCAGCCAGGATGGTTTCAAAGGACGTTGCCATCACTTATTATGACTTCTTCTCTTCCTAGTTTCGATGATTCACTGACAATGGCATATTTTCTCTCAATCCAACATGTCAGGCAAAAGCAAAGGGTCTCCATCCCGCCCCTACAGCTGGCTGGCCACTAATAGTCTACAATGGCCATCCCTCCTAGGCTTCGTCGTCCTTGACTTCGCCTTCGCCATCACTACCGTCGCCCTGACCATCGCGTCCTCTCAGAAGAACGGTTTCGTCACGGTCTCAACCCTTAACATAACCGTGACGGATCGGGAAGCGACCACTTTCAACATCTCTTCGGACCTTGGCCTCCTCTGGACCTCACTCCCGAGCTTGATCTTTTCTCTTTTCGGTGCATACTGGACGTGGATCGCCGGCGCGATCGCCGAGCGACAACCGTACGTCGAGTTGCGCAAGGATGGCGGTTCTGAAGCCAGGATGTCTGTCATCGTGGACTATCGTTTCATCAATTCGCTTTGGCGTTGGTGGAAGGCCTTTCGAAAGTCGCATTTCACCGTCGGCTCGACAGGCCTGCTCTCTGTGTTCCTGACCTACCTTGTCGCCCCCCTTGCTGCACATTTGTTCGTGGCACAAACGATGGCAGTGTCAGTGCCAACACCGATCATTTATGCCAAGGACTATAACGCCGATAACATAAACGCTGCCCTGGACTGGCGGCCTGTTCTGGACACCGTTTCGGCGACACTCCTTTACGGGGGCAACAACATCCCCTGGACAGATACCGAGCGTGCTTTCCGCCCGTTCGCCGTTAACTCTAGTTCGTGTGTCAAATCAGACATGGCAGCAAACACAACATCATACTCGGCTTATCTCAGCTGCGAGCTGGTCAACGACTACACAATCGCATCTAGTGGGGACATAGTCACAGTATCCGGTAACGACAGGGGTTGCGATTTCCAGCAGAGCTTTCCTGTTGTCAATACGCAGGAGATATACCTGAAGACAACTGTTGACTTTGACTCTTCTGCCGAGGCGCATTACAGTCGCCTGGTTTTCACAGCAGCCAGATACTCCGAATCGGCGAGCGACAACATCGACAACATCGACAACATCAGCGTCATCTCTTGCGCAACTGGGTACCGCCAAGCATCAGGGACTTGCAGAGTCACGCAATCAAAGGGCTCTTCGGCCGTGGTCTCTTTCGCCGAAGTAGGTCAGCCTGATATCAGCCGCCCGAAGCTGTGGATGGTGTTCGAACAGGGCACTCTCGGACCAGTATTAACGTTCAACCTGCAGGCGAAGTGGACTACGTCAGACATGAGCAACTTGGTGCTGTACTATGCGCAGCGAGCGCAGGGTTCGAACTCGCTTGCACCAGAGGCGCTGTTGGAGGCAAGTCCTAAAGTTTTCACGGCCATCTACATGAACGCGGTCGTGATTCATGGCTTCGACTCGCCCCAAAACGTCGAGATGGCCGCCGGGACGGTCTTCATCCCCACGACGCGCCTATTCGTAGTTTGTTGGGTTGCCTACATAATCATCGCCTTCTTGGCTGTCGCGCTGTGCACCGTCATCTTTTTATTTTTCCGTCTTCGAGACGCCCCGTCGATCCTGACCGAGGAGCCTCGGGGGCTGTTGTCGATGGCCGCAATCCTCGGTGGGAGCCAGCTTCTCGTCATCGCCTCGGATACAAGGCAAGAGACGGGGTTCGACGGTGAGATAAGGAAAAGGGGCAAAGCAAGGTCGGATGTAAAGGATAGGAAATGGAGAGCGGCGATGAATCCCGAAACAGGGCACTGGGTTGTAAGAACTGTCCGAAACGACGAGGGTGAGCTCACGGAGCATCTTCTAGAATGATATCAGGTAATGGCAAGAGCGGATTCGTCATTGTCATTGCGCGATTGCGTCTTTGATCACGACATAACATTGAATACTGCTGAATTCGCGCCGGCAGGCGTCAGTAAATTGATGCACTAATTAAGGTTCGGAAACATTACATCCACTTACTAATAAGTTGATCTGGGCCCCGATCGGCAAAACCGATATCATTTGACACTTAGGATAAGGTCCGATATCACGGACCAAGTACCAAAAAACTCAAATCGTGCCGCACTAGGCCAAAAACAGGAGGGTACATCATGATTTTAGTTCTACGTTGCAGAACTTAATTTATATCGGCATAGGCCACGTACTACCCTAGGAAGTGACTTTTTTTCTGTTAATTCTGCTAAATCCCCTGCTTTTCCTATACAAATTATTATCAGGCTCCAGACTTAGGTTGAGTGTCAGAAATAGACTGATAAGGCAGGTACTACTGTTACCTACTGCTGCCAGCGCGCCTGCCTACTACTGCCAGCACCTAGCTGCCAGCGCTTACCCACTGTTACTAGCGCCTACCTACTGTTACCTACTATTACTAGCGACAGTATAGATAGGTAATAGTAAAAAGGCGCTAGCAGCCGGGCGCTAGTTAGAGAGACACAGCTGGCGACAGCTGTCGCAGGGGTCCTGGCAGTACATTTGTTAAATAAACCTTTGACCTTGCATTGAACTCTCGTTAACCCTAACCCTATGTACTTTTATATCGGAGTACGGGCGATATCGCCCTGATATCGGTTTTGCCGATCAGGCCCCTGGTTGACGTCAACGTCGGGTTAAAGCTTTTCGAAGACCTACTATTGAGGAACACCTTGTCCATCTTGTTTCCCGATGGCTGAATGCTACTGCAAGTCACTACTTACACATTGCTCATGAGCCGATGGGTGTTGTCCCTCCACTGATGCTCCTGCCACATACCAAGTATGACAGTGAGATCGAGAGACAAAAGAACCACAAAGGTGCATGTAAAATGCCAGTCTTAAGGTAGTGTAGATATCCATACATAATAAAATCATAATACAGTCAAGAGGGAACAGCATAAGTGTCACACTAAGGCAAGCACGAAGGTCACTATATGTAGCTGCCTACTATAATACTCGGCAGCACATCAACCTTATATCATACAACTCAACCCGTAGAAATAGACATCGTGCCCGTTACTCAGCACAACATAAGGTCTCTAAAAGTAAAACAACACCACAGAGGTATCTAGACATAACTACCCTGGTTACTTATTGGATTCGCTAGGCAAAGTATGACCACAAGCCGAACGGACTCTAGCGTCTGGCGGGCAAGGGGAGGGAACACTGGCCGGGATATGCGATGAAATAAAACACCGTTCAAACCACTATGTCCCTTCGGAAGGGAAAAGAACCATAACACCTGGTCTCCTCTCGCGCGGGCCGTAACTGCGGGACATCTGAGGGTTCCAAAATATTAGACTCTTCTTTTGTGGGCTGTTCCGCCGCCCACGCTTGTGGGGACACCGGCACGACCGAGACACCCTAGCCCCGCAACAAATCGATGACCTATTTCGACTGTGTCAAAACTAGTTCTAGACTTGAGACTATATTAGGTAATTCTAAGCCAAATGTCTGTTTTTCCCTCATGTAAAAAAAGCCTACCGTGAGCAGTCCCGCTTAAACATTTCAGCGAAGGAGAAACTCTGTCAGTTAGACCTATCAAAACTTCAACACGTGGGGATTGGGCTACGTAACAGCACGCCCCCCCAAAAGTCAATTTAATTACATCGTCTAAGTCTTAGAGGAGCGCTTAGTCGTGTCCTATACCCTCAGCAAGCATTAAGAAAAATACTACCTTGGGCTTAGAGGTTGCCACGACGAATGACTAAGTCCGGTATCGGGCTCATAGAATAACGCTAAGGGGAGTTGGTTCATCCAAGAAATGGAGCAGACCACAGGTTTGGGCCCAGACTAGACGTCTTGGGTAAGGCCTCGAGCATCAACTCATACTTAGCTCGTATACCCCAGGTGCGTGCTTTCTCCGACGGGCCCGGTTAGGTCGCCAAGTATCAAGATCTGTTTGCATAGTGCCCGTTGATAGACCTGGAGGTCTAGGTTTCTCTTTGACGGCGTAAAATGACCCACTGGTGGTTTGCAGCTCGGGTGGCTTTTGAGGGGGAAATGAGATCGTGGCCTCGGGCCCAAAGGGTTGAGGCTTTTCCTAGCATGTTCGGCATTTTCTTTCTTATTTCCTCCTCATACAAGTATTCGACTTGCGAGCCCATATTCCTCGCATGCCAGAAGGGACTTCATCCCACGCCCAATACCAGAGACTACCCTGCGGCAGAGCCTTTTCGAAATGGCTGTTGTTGCTATTTCGGAAGTCCAAGGTCCTCGGCAAAACGCCATAGAGTTGAAGACTGGTTCCATGTCGTGTGATGAACTGTCTTGGGCAACAGACTGTCGTGGCCATCCGCGAAGCTGGGGACGGGCGAGAAAGACCTATGATACGTGCTGGGTCATCTTTCTCGAGTTTTACACGTATGAAGAAACACCTGCACTTGTGCCTTGCGCGCTGATGCTGACTCTCATAGGACTACAATAAGCACCGCTGGGGTAAGTCCTCCAACCACAAGTCCTCAGCGAAGACTATACTGACTCTCAAGAAGACACCCGTTGCTGCGCATGTATACCGCGACCTCGGCGTCAGCCCAGTTCTGGCGACTTTCCTGTTTGTTTCGACGTACGATGAGCCGGTACTCCTCCCCAATGGTGCGCCCGTCTTCTAACGTGGAGGACCAGTTATCTCGTGGGCCAAGCAATCGGCGGAGTTTTCCTGCCTCCGTGGTCGGAATCCTTCGGCCGCAAGAAGCCCTACATCGTCAGCACTGCGCTCTACAGCATCTCATGCGTCCTGGTCGCCGCGTGTCCCACCATCCCCGGAATAGTCGTCGGACGCGTTGTGGGCGGGTTCCTCTCCGCCATTCCGGCCATCGTAGCCGCCGGGAGTATTGAGGACTTGTGGGATACCCATGACCGGGTCTGGTGGGTCTTTTGGTGGGCAATGGTGGGCAATATCGGACTGCTGGCTGGAGGTGTCGTAAGCGACTTGATCATCTCCTGTGCCCACTGGTACAGTTGCCTCTATTTCTCCAGACGGTTATCGCGACTTGACTAACAAACCCCTTCAGGACATGGGTTTTCTACACACCAGCAATCGTCAACGCCTGCATGGCCGCGCTTCTTTTCACAATCAAGGAGTCGCGGCCCTCGGTTGTGTTGGCTCGGACTCTTTCGGACAATGAGCGGACAGGCAGCAGTCAGGTCTCCGGAACCAAGCCAGGGAACACCCCATCTCGCGAAAAACTCGATATCGTCCGGCCACTGCGATTCCTTTTCACCGAACCGATCGTCTTCCTCGTGTCAGTTATCAGTGCCATCGCATTTGGTCTGATCTATCTCTTCACGGAAGTACTGCCCATCATTTATGTCTCCATGGGCCTTGACAACGGTTGGAAGAACACGCCCTTCCTCGCTCTGGGCTTAGGGATTATAGCGAGCGGACTCACGCGAATTTACGACTCCCGCACACTTGCCGCCCGATCCGCCAAGGGGTTGCCCATCACCCCAGAGTCAAAGCTCGCCGGGGTTATTATCGGGGCACCCCTTCTGGCCAGCGGCCTTTGGTGCTTTGCTTGGACAATACCGCCGGATGTGCTGCTTCACTGGGCCGTACCAACAGCGGCCCTCGTACCCATCGGGTATGCTGTGAACGAATACGACTACGTGCTGGCTGGGTATCTTACGGATTGTTATGAGACATATGCTGCGAGTGCTTTTGCGGCACTGGGGCTCACACGCGCGCTGCTGTGCGCAACCTTTCCGCTGCTTGGTAGCGTTTTGTTTCACTCTGTCAATCCTAACAAGGCATCATCCATCTTTGCTGTCCTGGCGACAGTGCTTTGCATAGTTCCCCCTCTATTGTTGCGTTACGGACGTCGGCTGAGAAATAGAAGTCCGTTTATAGGCCTTTAAAAGTTATCGATCATCGTCGCTCTGGGCCCTCATAAGCGGTCCGGTGCAGTTCGCTCGGTACATGAATATCACGATACGCAAAGCCCGATACACAGCACCACTGACCTGTACTACATCTCAATTCTTATATAGTATGTGGAGTATCGGGCCCAAATTGGTGTCGTCCTAGTGGTTATGGATGTTTAGCGGAGAAGAGTTATTCTTGTCCTATCATCTCGCTCGACGGAGTCTGAAGACAAATGTGCATAAAGAAAAAAACACCTTTTATGACGCGAAGAGCATTTTGGAAGCATTCGAATAACCCAAGAACGGATATAGCGAGATCTACAATGACTCCATAGTCCTGAGCGCGGCCGAGAAGTTGGAAACGATGATGTGAGCAGCCTTGGCCACCGTCTTCCTATCGTTGACCTCAGCCCTGAACTCCGGCCCTAACATGGTCGTAATGCTATCCCGCTTCGTCACTCGCTTCCTTTCATTCGACTGAGCAGAGGCGGTCTTGGTCTCTGCCTCGGAAGGCAGCCGCCAGTTGGCAGCTTCGTCTCTCAGTAACCTCTCTAGATTCCCCTCGTTGAAAGAGTTCTTAGAATCCGCGATACCGTCAAGGTATCTGAACACCCACTTGGTCTTCCTCTCTTCGTTGGTCAGTACCCCGAATAACAAACACAGGGCCCCGTCTTTCTGGCTCAGGGAGTTGCAGTGCAGGCGCACGAGGGCGCCGTGCGCCTCCGTCGCTCGAAAGGTGGCTGACGACGACGATGAGGAGGCATCGTCCGCCAAGGTCCGCGGGAGTTTGAACTTCTTCATCGCGATGAACCCGGCCATCGAGTCCATGTACCTCGGGATCGCCTCAACACGGTTGAAAACGTCTCCTGCCGATCCCTTGCTGTTGATGATGAGCAGCATGATGGCATACTCTCCGAGATGGAAGTTCGAGTCGTACGGATTGACCTGGACGACATCGAGGTCTCTCCCGGAGGCCTTAGAAGGGACGAATATGTCGTGCACTTCGACCTTGAGGTTCTCCGCCCGCAAGGCGCGATTGTTGGTCCACTGCAGCGCGATGGGGCGCGGGAACTCGCGGACAACGCGATATGTGTCCGTCACCCCGGTCTCCTCTAGCGGGACTCCGATGAGATGGCCATCTTTTGTGGCCGAAGCCAGCACGCCGATGTACTGCGGCGGGCGGAAACCAAAGTTCGAGATACGGATGTCGGCCGGGCGGATCAGCGTGAGCTGTATCGACAGCCCGAAGTTGGTCATGGAGTACGGCACCGGCCTGATCGTGGCATCGTTGGCGGGCTGGTACGCTTGGCCGTTCTTGAAGTTCCGCGGCGAGGGAGCCAGCATGCTGACCCAGGAGCCCGGATCGCTCTCGGTCCACGACCAGGCGAAGAGGGACTGGTCTGTCGAGGTCTTGAGTATCTCCTCCTGCAGCCTCGTGAAGGCCTTTGGGCCTTCGCCGTAGAGGAGCGGCATGTTGATGTCGAAGATGCCGAGCACGCAGTAAGCTAGGTCCTCAACCCGCGTGGTCCGCCGGCAGGATAGCCAGGACATGCGCTCAGCGACGCTCGCGGCGAGGAGGAGCTTCCTGTTCCTTCTGTGCAGGTACTGGCAGTCGATGTTTGTGACGCTCTGTATGGCGTCCGCGAGCGACCTGCGGTTTCCCAAGAGATTCCACTCTGCGGAAAAGAAAAGGACTTCTCGCGGCGCCAGGAGTTCCTGGAGCGTCCAGCCGCGAGCGAACCACCGACTCCGAGACAGGGTCTGATGTTGCTCGCTTTGGTCGCAGTCACTCAGCAACCCTTCAGGGTGTTCAGTATCTGCGAGGTAGGCGTAGCACTTGACAGAGCACTCGTACCAAGCGAACATGGAGTTGATGGCCTCCGAGAGCTCAGCGGAGCTGTCCTTATTGATACAGCATGTGTCAATCCACAGGTAATCCAGCCCGTCGCGGAGCGCTTGCGCCCTGGCGAGCTCGATCTTCTTAAATCCCTGCTTCTCTCTCGCTAACGCAAGATCGTTCCAATCTTGGAAGGTGACTTCCCCGGCGCTCCATGTGTGTGATACAATGGCGTACCGAGGCACGTCGTCACCGTAAAATTCGTCCAAAAATAGCGTGTTGTTGTTGATGAGGCGCATAGTGAACGCCGTGCTGGCATCTTATTCTACGATGAATTGATTACGCCTGAAGTCTATCCGAGGTCGCCCTCTAATCAGACGATCTAGGTGTTGTACGAGCGGGGGCAGCTGAAGAAGAGAGGATCATGTGTTGGCTCCGTTGTCACCCTTTCAGCACCGATCTCTAGCTCTATGGGTTGTGGCAGACCACCGGCTGGCGCCAGCTGCGAGACCCTCGGGGAGCTTGTTACCTCGACGCTGGGGGGATCAACGTCTTTTTATCCATTCCATGCACCGCCTCTATGCAGTCTTGCTTTAATGAAGGCGATTCGAGGGACAGTCAAGGCTTTTCGGAGCTGCCTCGTCTGTGAGTTGGTGTCTCACTCGTAGTCATGAATCCCACTACCCCATCGATCTAGTGGCAACATACCAGTGCAAGGCAGCCTTGAACGGGGCAACCCACTTCCTGAGTCGTAAGTCGTATTAACCGCCTCGCAGATCCATGGTTGCGTATCCAGGGCTTTTCTCTCAGCCCAAAATCTCCATAATTCCACGCAACATACCCGTTGTTGGAGATTGCAACCAAGAAATCATCGTCCACTGCAATACCTCGCCAACCACCCGTCATCAAATATGAGAGATCCTCCTCCTCGGTAAACCAAGGAGAATCTTCGTTGATGACCTGTGTTGATGACTTGTCGGCGACGCAAAGTGATCTGACACCCGATATTCCAACTCCAGTCTTCCAAAACCAGGGCGTACCGGTTGCCTCCTCCATGGTGGTATGGTTTTGTATGTAGTATATGACATCGTTCCAAACGACACCACCCTCACGTTCAGGTAATGAGCAAGACGAGAAGTCCCAAAGTGGCCGGCGCATGCCTTTGAGCTCCTGTGCAGTGCATGAGAATGTCTCGTTGATGGTGTTGAAGTTGATTCGACTAAAAATCATGTTTCGTGGTGTTTCTGCAGACTCCGCACAAGGGGCCTCAGAGTCGACGATGCCGTAGGGTGGGTCTTCGTAATATACGCTAAGGCTGCAAAGTCCATAAGCATTCACCGGCTGACAATAAACTGGGACACAAAAGTCCGATCGGGTGGTCAGACTAGTTTCGTAGCTGAATGTCTGTACGTGCTTTGTATCATTGAATTTTTGAACGATGATTACGAAGCTTTGAGGTTCAGCACGCTCGTAGGCTTCTATATCCGTCTGGGAAGCTTTTCATATCAGATACATGTTAGCCCAAAATCTCACAAAGAAAGTCAATATGTTAAGAAGGCTTACTCTTCACAAGAAAGCCATCCATGAGGTAGAAAATGCTGCTTTTGGTCGGATGGCAAGCAAAGAGCACATTGCTGGAAAAGTTCAGCATTGCAGGGTCCCAGGCGGCGTATAGTGAGGTTTTGAGCATATCGGGCATCTTGAGTTCGATAAGACCGCGTTCCCAACGCCAGAAATGGTATTTTGCTTCGTCTCTGGAAATGACCAACATACACTCTTTGTGGAGGTGGATCCCCTCCTTGACCCCGTACAAGCGGGATGGAAGCACAACCCGCCGGTACTGATTCTTCTCGAGGTGGTAAACAATGCTAACTTGGTTAGCATTGAGGACTAGAATGACACGGCAATGCAAGGGCAGACGAGATCAACTGAGAAAATAAAGCAGAAACATGCAAGTTGGAATGACTTACAGTGATCTTTCTGTTCTATCGTTAGCAAGAGCCAGGAGCTTGTTCGTCAGCGCTGACACGACGAAGTCTTTTTCGCCCCTGACGACTAGATCTGGGGGTGACACCAAAGTCCTGGTCATGCTGCGGATGTCGTCAATGAAGAAGCTGTAAGGGTCCCATTGCCATGCAATCTTCCCATCGCAGTAAGCGTAGCTATAAGGAGCAACCGGCCCTGCTGGAGCGGCTTTGTTCTTGGCGTGTTCAAGAGCGCGATCGTCAAGTTTTAGTGCAGTGCATTCGAGCAGGGAAGAGCCTGACGTGGCGATATGGAGAGACGATATGTATTTTCCTTGTCTACGAGCAGCGGCCTTTGCGGCGAGAGGCCGGAGCAGTGACCAGGGCGATACGTCGGGATGCGACTCGACGAGACCGGCAAAGTGGGCTCGTGCAACGTCGCTGGCAACTATATCGGTCGTCCACGCCCTGCGCCATCCTTTGGAGACGTTTGTGCAGTTGAGGACATCTTGATAATCAAGGCTGGCGGATATTGTGGCAACTATCTCTTCGGGAAGGTCGGGCAGATCTGCAAACTTGGGGGTCGTCTTCCGAACCAGGGATCTCAGGTATAGCAGTTCCCATGGTGAAATGGATTGGACAAGATTTCGCAGGTTAGCTTGTCGCAGGGTAATGTCAGGTGATGCATCGTCGTTGGTTAGCTGTGAGTAACACTCGGCGATGAAGTTCTCGTCTAGATCTGGGCTGCTGTGTCTTCTTTCCTTGGTTAGATGGCCCCCGTCGGACGACGTCATCGTGTAAGCGGAACCGGGGGCAGTGAATGGCTGGAGACACGATGAGGAAACGAGATGATGAAGACTGGATATCAGGAAGTCGCGAAGTCGCGTCGGGCCTACATCTGCATATCTGTACACGTGACAAACGGTTATGCAATTGGGAAGGAAGCTGATGTGAAGTGGCTTATGTCTTATGTCATCAATGATTTAGGTGAAGAAACGTGACTCGACTCTTTGACTGGCCTCCGATCTCGCTTATTTTCGCTTGGTTGTTCCCAGTGAAACGGCGCTGCCAACCTCCCTAAGCTCTCTCGGCAACACCCACCGCTCAGCGTCATGTTCGCTATTAGCTCTGTGCCTGGCGCGCCGTGTCAGTCCTAACCACCAGCCGGACAGCGCAGTCGAGCAGACTTTCAAACAGCCTAGGTGGTGGGTCCCCACCTTCCTTGGCCGTTGCTAGCAAGCACGACATCATCATTCGGTGACAGAGGCGACCAGCTGACGTGCGAAATCGTGACTTGACTCTTGCTACCTACCTACTGTCTCGTCTCCCGGCCCTCCCCTCCTAATTAGTCTCCACCGCCCTCCACCCAGCTCTTCCTCTCTGGCTTCCGTCCACGACATGTCCGGTCTCGCCCTTTTCTACCCTTTTGAGCTTTCCCATGATTCTTTGCTTTAATCCTGCGGCGAGAATGACCTGCGACCGTCTTGTTTCTTCCATCTAATTCGCTTCTCTTGCCTCACTATCTCACTCACTCACCACCGGCCCACGGCGCAATCTCCGAATCGCCAATCGCGTTCCATTCATCCCACCCACACACACAGCTTCCGTGTTGAAGCCATCACCATGGCGCGTGCCTCGAGCCCGCCTACTCTGTCCAGCGACCGGACTGGCGTTGCGACACCTCACGACGATGACGATGCATCCTCCACCATCAGCCGTTTCAGCTCACGATCCTCCCTCGATTCCGAAAGACCCTTGAGGCGAACGCGCCAAAGCCGCCGTGCCGCCAACACCCTACGAGCCATCTCCTTCGTCGCCGCCCTGGTCTCCGCCCTCTGCGCCGGCTCAATCACTGTCTTTTCCATGTACGGCCACATCTTCCAGGAACGCCTGCACTATACCCAGTTCCAAGTCAACGGGCTGGCCATCAGCAGCTCCATCGCCCTCTACCTACCCGTCTCCCTCCTCGGTTACATCTGCGACCGCGTCGGCACCCCGCCCCTCTCCCTTCTGGCCGCTATACTGTTTAGCGGTGGCTACGCCGTGGCTGCAGGGACATATCGGAAGCTTGAGGCGGAGAACCTGGGCGGCCTGCGTGATTATGCTGGAAAGCGTATTGCTGGCGGCGCCGACTGGACCTACCCCCTGATGATCTTCGCCTTTGTCTGTGTTGGCGTCGGGACCTGCTCCATGTACCTTGCCGCCGTTGCGACGTGCGCAAAGAACTTCGGCAAGGGAAAACATCGCGGATTGGCCCTCGCTGTGCCCATTGCTGCCTTCGGGTTGAGCGGCATGTGGCTGAGCCAGCTTGGTAGCCATGTCTTCTACGAGCGTCTACCCGACGGTTCCGTCGGGGACCTCGATGTCTTCCGCTTCTTCATCTTCCTCTCCATTCTTCTGCTAGTTGTCGGTGTCATCGGCACTTTCACGCTAAAGGTCGTCGACGAAGAGGACATCATTGAGGAGGCCGCTGAGGAGCTCGAGCGGAGCGGCCTTCTTGAACGCAGCACCTCCTTCCTCAGCGCTCGCGACCTCGAGCGTAGTAGGACATACGGCTCCATCTCACGCGTTGCCGATCAAGAAGGCAGCGGGCTGCTTGGGCCGGCCGAAGACGACGCCAAACTGATGAAAAAGATGGTGCTCAACGCCGAGACGAGGAGCTTCCTTACCGACAAGACCATGTGGTGCTTCGCATTTGGTTTCCTGTTGATGATTGGGCCCGGAGAGGCCTTCATCAACAACCTCGGCACGGTAATTGGGACCCTGTATCCCCCCACCATGCGCTACGCCGGACATCCGACGTCGCCCGCGACCCACGTTTCCATTGTCGGGATAGCGAGCACCGTCGCTCGTCTGGCCACGGGGACTTTGACGGACCTTCTCGCGCCCTCGCCGCAGACGCAGCACCTGCAGGTTTCCTCGACGCCACCCTTCCTTCGCGGCAGGCCTGCCGTCTCCCGTGTTGCCTTTCTCCTCTTCTTCGCTCTTCTCCTGTCCCTGGGCCTGGTCGCCTTGGCCTCCGGCTTCATCCAGGAACACGGCGAACGTTTCTGGATCGTTTCGGGCTTGATCGGCACGGGCTACGGTGCCGTCTTCAGCCTGACGCCGATCATCATCACTGTCATCTGGGGCGTCGAGAACTTTGCGACCAACTGGGGGATCGTCGCCATGTTCCCCGCCCTGGGGTCGACCTTTTGGGGCCTGGTCTACTCAGCCGTGTACCAGTCGGGCGCGGAAAACTCGCCTCAGCGCGAAGGCGCCGGAGACGCCTTCTGCTACGGCAAGCAGTGCTACGCACCGACGTTCTGGGCCATGGCCATCACTGTGTGGGTAGCATGCGGCATGATCCTCTTCGCCTGGAAGGGCAAGGGGGGGTGGGCACAGCGCGGCATCGTCATTTAAGGCATACAGGGCATCACCTACCAATACACTAACTGCATCATACACATCGGCGTTCGGTCAAGGTCACTGGGTTGGGCTGGGCGTAACATATCTATCAGCATGCATTTATTGGGTATATATCGCATACATAACGTCATGAAACATTCCGGGCCGGTTCTGTCTTTCCTCTCGTGACCTAAAACAAGAAACACGCACGCACGCACGCAAGCAACAAAAACGCTGCTCCGCCTCGCACTGTTTGCCTCAATCACAGCAGCAGAATAGCCAGCACGGTCGCCAATCCCATGACCAAGCCAGCAATCACGGGGGTGGCCGTCATCGTACCCGAGTTCCTCGCGTCGAACTCGCTCATCGTCTTCATGCAGATCCACTGCGAGTAGAGCAGCTTGTCGAACAGCACGCTCATGACGGGGGTATAGCCGTTGAGCCCGCCCGTCGGCCTGGTCGTGCTCCCCTCGCTATCGAGGATAAGCTCGACATCGGTGAGCTTGAGCAAATTGTAGGAAGAGGGCAGGGTCGGGTGGCAGCGATTGTCGTTATCGTCGTCGTCGTTGTCGTCGTCGCCGTCGTCGCCGCTGCCGCCGTCGCCTGGGGCCTGCGCCACCAGCTCGGTGGGGGCGTCGGGCCCGATAATCTCGGCGCCGGTGATGTTGACGGCGCCGGCGATGAGGTTGCAGCGGAAGTTCCTGTCGCGGCGGGTGCGGTCCTCGAGGTACATGGCCATCTCCTGACAGCGTGGCAGGGTCTCGTTCCCGGCGTGGTCGGCGCGGAAGTCGTCGACGTAGCCGGTGATCTCATCCATGCACGACTGCTGCAGCCAAGGGCTGCAGTCGGTGGTGTCGGGGTCGGGGACCTCGTGGGCGATGGGCAGGGTCTGGAAGAGGTGCTGGAAGATGAGGGCGCAGCCCTTGGGGTAGCGGTCCGAGGCGAGGTCGAGGCCGGCGGGGGCGCCAAGGTAGTAGGACTGGGTGTAGATCTGCTTCTTCATCCAGCCGCCCCTGGAGGAGGAGGAACCGCCGCCGCCGCCCTGGACGCTGCCGGCGCCAGCGCCGGCTTGGGCGACTGTGGCGACGGTGAGGGATAGCTTACGAATGTCGGCCATGTCGCTGTCATCGAGGGGGATGTCGATGACCTCAGGGGCGATGCCGACGCGGCGGAGCACGGAGCTGCCGAGGGTGCAGTTGGACTCGCCGACGAGTTCATCGACGGCACCGGCCGGGCAGGAGATGTCGGCGCAGCCCCTCAGTGAGACCTCGGTGAGTATGGGGACCGTCGCCAGGGCGGGGCCCGTGAGGAGGGAGGACCCCATGAGACTCAGAGAGACGAGCCTCATGGCCCTTCTTTTAGTATCGAGCTTGGGGGTCTTGGTTTTTCCCTTCCTCGGAGAGAGGGGAACCAGAGAGGGCCAAGGGACCAAGAAACCCAGAACCACAGCCACGCCCGACCGGGGAACTGTTCACGGCGTCCCCGGTGCACGCGAGTTGCGTATCCGGTGCCGGATTCCCGGGCTCTGGAAGGTGGACGGGGGGGAGAGGGTTGGCACACGGAAGTACGGCAACGTCGGGTAAGGCTCTCTGGGCTAGGCGCCGTGCCGGTTGGTGTGTGTTCGCGGGCGGGGTGTGGGTTTTATTGTTTGAGCGGGAAGAGCGCTCACTGGAGGAGGCTTGGGGGCCAGGGGTGATCTCTTGGGTCCATGGGACGAGAATATGCTTGGGTATGGAGCTTTGAAGGCGAGGTATATGTGCTAGGGAGTTTTAGATATCGCCAACCCGCCTGTCGCCGGCATCTTTCTTGTTCTTGAATTTTTCCAGGTTGGGACGAGCGATTTCGATTTTCTTTGGGGGATGAGAAAATTTTGGGGGAGCGGGGGTGTACATACACGCTCTCATACACACGCATACACACACATACACACACACACACAGAGGGAGAGAGAGAGGGAGAGACAGAGAGACAGAGAGAGAGAGAGAGCGAGAGACAAGGCACTGGGCAGAAGAAAGATGGGCGGTGTCTGGCCCCAGGAGAGGGTCGCGTGGTGCAAACTGATAGGTGCTACAACGGGGTTTTGTCCTTGGCATTGGCCTTGGCACCCTCACCGATTTGTGGCGCCGAGCTCGTCGAATACACGTCACTAAATGTGGTTTCCGGTTCCGCCAGGTTCCGCCCAAGGACTCTCTGAAGGAGGAAGCTTTCATAGTAGAGTGAGGTTTACGGAGGACCGTGTCGAAACGATCTGAGGGAATAGTCGCATGGGACAACGTCAAATCTGAGCTTATGCCATTCGCGGCAAATACGATCACGGAGGAAATAAACATGAATATTATAAAGTTCGGCTGACGGAAGTGTGTACTGAGTAATAACGGGAGCTTGAGTAATTACAGTATGTCATTGGATGACTAGGTAGGTAAAGGGGGCGGGGGCTTACACCCGAATGCTAAAGCCGAACAAGCTTACTCGTGCCCCTGTGCATAGTCAGATCTGCAACGCAACGTCAAGCATTCATTGAATTAAACTCTACTCTGCAGAGCCCAAAATCGCCATCCCACCGAGTTGTGTACAGGTCCCCTGGGAAACGAGGACTGTCTCGGCTCTTCATTTCTTCGCTCCGATTTATCCATATCTACTGTTTGGCCGCTACGTCCAGACCTTTGCTTTGGTCGAGTGGCTGCACATATGGTTCACTGAAGACAGAGTGGAAGAGTACACTCTTCTGAGGGTGTGCCTATAGGGATTGCATTCGCGTGACTGCGGAGTAAATGGCTATGTATAGAATGTTAAGTTATCACCAAACCAAAAGATAAGTCTGAAAAAGTCGTCCCCTTCCCCCTTCCTCTTGCTTCCCTGCATGTGCAGGTATGACACTACTACTATCCTCGGGCTGCCACTTCTTCCAGTTGCGCATTACCGGCGAACCGAGAGTCAAAGTTGTAACGTCGTCCAGGTGATCGCCTATTGTCAGAACCTGGAACAAAGCGTATGAAGCCCTGTCCAAGATGACCTAGTTGCATCGGTACGAGCTCGCTAATGAGAAAAAGCCGTGGCAGTTAGTCTCAAGGCCGAAACTTCAAGGCTTGATGCTTTCCCAATCAAGTCTACAGTGAATTTCAAGGATCAAATGTACGTACCCTTGTCGTTGAAGTTCCAGTTGGAGTCGGCCAGGTTGAAAATACCGGGACTGACAATCCCGCCGATGGAGGCGCCGGTGCAACCGTTGTTCCTGTTTGTGAACGATATGTCAGCTTCTTCGCATGCGGGTGCGCATCTTTGCAAGGTAGACCTACTCCCAGATGGTGCAAGACGTTCCCTGGTCGGGGCCAAGCGAGGTGACAATGTCGTTCCAGCCGTTCTGGAGGTTGTCTGCGATGCAAAATCCCAGGTTAGCATTTAATACTGCCCATTGATCCTTGTGAACCGGCGGATCATCATCGCAGAATCACAGCCCGGGGCAAAATCCCAGAAGGTGTCAGATTTTGGAAGAAGACTTACAGCACTGGCCAGTGTTCGACTCCAAGTTCTCACAACGGCCAGAAAAGTTGGCATCGGCGCAGATGAAAAGATGCGTGATGGCCTGAATCGAGACCTCTGGGGCGTTGCCGACGGGAACGTTGGAGGGCTCGTCCCGGGAGATGACACCAGCAAAGGCGGCGCCAGCCAGAGTGAGGATCGGGAGAAGGAACTGCATTGTGGATTTTCTGGTCTGTAGGACGAGATTGTAGTGATTGATCAGTGGCAATGGTGCTTTTAAAGACTTGGCTGGAGAGCTGGAAGGTTGAGGCTGCTGGTGAGAAGAGAATTGGAAATGGGCACGTTTTGAGAGGGTTTATATATCTCGAGACTCGGTTTTTAATAGCCTATCTCAGATAATATCCATTTCATTAATATTCACAAGATGTACAATCATCAAAGCAGTTGTCCGGCTTCCTCTTCGGCTTTCAGTATACCTGCAAACCGGTCTGATGGTGCTGACATTGCATTGTGAACCCCAACCAAATTACACATCCACTTTCGAGAAAGATTGCAACATCATCAGATGCTGATCTGCATGTAATAGGCTAACAACACATAGAATACGACTTTGTTGATAGTGTTGCGTTAGGTTCCGGCAATACTAACCGCATACGAAAGCATTGACTTACTTCGCTTGGCTGTGGTCAGCACGCTTGCATGAAGTATAGCAGTAGCAATAGCCTATGTAGGTGTCAGGCGCCCGGGGGGGGGGGGGAGCCCCGGGGGCGGACCGGAAGTGGGGCCACGGGCTGCTACACTGTCACCCGGAGGACACGTAAAAGGGGAGTTTGTACGGATAGGAATTCTAGGATGGAAGAAAGGCAGATAGGAATAATCGTCATAATTGACCCCTAGCTACGTTATTAATTGGCTCCTTTACTCGGTGCGATCCCAGCCTCTGACAGTAGGTTCCGGCGTCGATCACACCCATCCCATCCAACGGAATCCTTCTGTCGCCTTAATTAAGTCTTGCCAAATAGAATTCCGATATTAAAGTCTGTTCATATTCAGCCTTTCTCAGCATCTTGAACCCAAAAGAGCCACCGCAACGTTTGCAATGGCACGACTTTTAATGTGAGGATGCGTGCTGGAGACTTGCTGACACTATTCAAGCTAGCCATCATGGTTCGTCTGATGCCACGGTGAATGCAGCTCGAGCTGAACAGCCTAGGTGCTCGGCGTAAGATGCAGGAAGCGCCACATTGTAACGTGGCCGACATCAACAAACGCATCTATAAAACTGGGGCAAAGTGAGACAATAATAATAGCTACGTCTATCGTATTTCATTCTTATTGGAGGAAAATCTGGATTTTTCTTTTCTTCTGAACAACGGCGATTCAAGCGACGTGACACATATGGCTTTTCAAGGTATTACTTATCACCTAGTAACTTGAATGGCTTCAGCCTAATTCGAGTCAGCTCGCCCCTTTCGTCCCCCACAGGGTACACGAGACCAGTAAGCACTTCAGTCAGTCCTCAATTAGGGTCACGATGATTCCGAGATTGCTACTCAATCCGGACAACGATCTCGCCGAGCATATCCTGTCTGGTCTCAACCACCGCGCTGGCGGCATCTTCCAGTTCATCGCCCACATGCTACAATAACGCCAAGTTGCGACATCACTTCAGAGCCCCATGTCAGCGACGACTATGGCGGGAACCTCCTCCCCAAGAAAAATAAGGACGACAAGCGCCGTTGGGTCGACAACAAAGGTGGCAAATGTGCATGCCATCCCGTCAAGGACGACGGCTGCTATGCATTGTAATTACGACCCGTGCTTACACTCCTGCTTCCTCAATCTAGACGGGAGCCTAGTAATTCGCAAAGTTCTCTTGCATCGTCTGAATCGAGCTGAAGCAAGTCATGGCCTATATGGGCTGGCTGGCGCCCTAGTAAAGCTATACGATACGATCGTGACTTGATATCTCGCCAATGCTAGATCATACTACTATAAGCAAACCACTGATAAGTTGACGCGTTTTTATTTCCAATGCCTAGTAGTAACTGAAAGTGGTGAAAAGTAAAATGGACATGAGTCCGCTTGCATTATTTTGGCAAACCACAATGTTCATCACAGCATCCGTACTTCGTGTCAATCAGAAATACAGAGATACCGGCACCAAACATCATCGGCATATGTGCGCCAGTGTTATGTGGATTGACTACAGCCTTTGATCGCAAAACGTACATCTCTACACTTAGCCATCTATGATGAGCTCAACTATTCAACGTACTTGGAGTATGATTGCCTAAATGGCACATGTTGACCAAATCAATAATTTGCGTCACTATACACGATGGAAAATCAATGATTTCAGTTGAGATGCAACACCCAGTGCTCGCTATTTCATAATCATATTTCCCCGCGTTTAGGCGGCAGCGTAGTAAAGAGACAAATGCAACCTGGGATACATAGTCGAAGCTTGCACGTTGTTCCGGGGTGGCCCGTAGCTCGATGCCGATAGCAAACGACACCCCGCCATCGATATTACCAGGCGAAGCCGAGAAAATCGTGTGCGAGCCAAGCGGTATGAATGGTGTTTTCGGGCGCAAAAACTTATAAATCTAAGCATTCCCATCGTTGTTCGTATTGGTTATTTGCTTTAAAGTTGACATTGAATGCATAGTCAATACATCTGTCTGGGGATAGGCAGTCTACCCCACATGCACAAAGGGTGAGGGGTACTTACGGCCAAAACACTGGACTAGTCGGAATTCCGTGGGGGATCGCACTCATCTTTGCATCAACCAAGGGTCTCGTAGATTCCTTACCTGATATTCTCCCAAGGCAAACATCTTTCCTTGATATCACTCTTCATGCTGGGCTGGACGACAAACTTGCCATCCACACGACATAAGAAGTTCCATCTTCCTTCTCTTTGATAGCTTCGCAGCCCTCCACAGCTATGTCCGAACGCCCGACAGAACAGGTGGCTCTCATCGGCCTGGGAGCCATCGGCATCTCATTCGCGGCCCTCTACCTTCGTTACACGGAGTACAGTGTCAGCGTATATGATACTCGGCCTGACCTAGAGGCGCATATCTCAACCGTACTGCCTGGTTACGTCGACTCTGATGACTCCTCGCTAGGAATTTCGCATCTCCGAGAATCCAGACGCCTCAAGATTTGCACCACACTCGAAGAAGCATGTCACAGCGCTACCATTGTTCAGGAGCAAGGGCCCGAGAGCTTGAGTTTCAAGCGTTCCATCTGGCCCAAGATTGAAAGCGCATCGCCTATCAATGCCCATTTCTGGAGCTCAACTTCCGGCATCGCCGCCTCACTACAGAACCAGGACATGATCGACAAGGCTCGTCTGCTTGTCGTTCATCCATTCAACCCGCCACATATACTGCCATTGCTGGAGATCGTTCCTTCTCCGACGACCAGCCCCAAAGAGGTTGATTTTGCCAAGAGATTCTTTGCTGAACTTGGTTCCGGTCATCGCCCAGTGGTGATTCGCAAAGAGCTGCCCGGGTTCGTAGGTAACCGCCTGGCTTTTGCGCTTCTGAGAGAAGCATTTTCCTTGGTTCAGCAAGACGTGGTCAGCGCGCAGGACCTAGACACGATAATGGAAGCGAGTCTAGGACCTCGATGGGCCGTCCAGGGTGTTTTCAAGTCCTATAACCAAGGCGGCGGTGTTGCTGGAATAGAATCGTTTTTGAATAATCTTTCAGGCACCATACAAGATATTTGGGATAGTTCGAAACCTGTAAGGTTTGCCGAAAAAAGCAGAGAGCCATCCCAGAGACACGACGATGGAGATTGGGAGAAGAAGGTTGTGGAACAAACCGTTGAGGCATATGGCATGCCCACTCCTGAACAATTTCAAGAGCGAGATGTAAAACTGAGGAAGGTTTTGGAGGCTCAAAAGAAGTGAACATTGAAGAGTGGTTCCTGTTGTTGTCAGTTCCCAGTTTACCCTGTTTATCATATGCTCTCCAGCGTTGAGTGTTTGGGTTGTTTCGAACTGTAGCAAAATGTCAATCAGAAGGATTTGCTGCACAACTACATGTTAGCATTTTCCGGACTCAAGTCTTTTTCTTGGATATACAGACAAAGCCATTAAGAGGGCATCGGTGGGACACTGCAGCTAATTTACGTACGCGCATGCGTGACTACCGGATAGAAGATTATATTAGGCTGACTTCAATTCATTTAATACGTCTGATGTAAGGCCCGTGAAAATAATTTTTCAGCCTTTTCATCCTAACATATGGTAACGCGTAACTAACATCAAGGCACTCTCGTTGTCTAGCCTGACCACTAATGCCCTTTAGGCAATTTTCTCGTTCTCAGGGTGACAGATTCCCGACCCTGTCCCCCTACGCTCATGATATACCTAGCCTTTCCGGTCTTACCCCTTCCATCCCGTAAAGCCGCAGCTCTTTCAGGAACCAAAGTTACATGGCTACCCTTGCCTTCCTATGTCGTTCCTCATACAGGTCTCTTTCTGACGTCTTGTTGAAGATGATCCTACCTGGATCCGTGGCTAGCAACGTTCTATCAACAGTCCGTCATGTCTAAGCCAATGCAGTTGGCTTCAGACCCGGTTTCAGAGCTATTAGAAGATGAGGGGGACTACCCCGAGCCCAGCACGCCGCTGCTAGAATAAATTGGCTTACCTACGCCAATTGTTTCGACATCTTGTCTGTGGTCAACTCATTGAGAAACTGCGATAGAAGCAAGGTTTTGACGTATGAAAGGGCGACCCTTACATATACACTCAAGTCCGCAGAGCGGATTTAAAATATCAATCAAATCTCAGCTTCGTGGAGGGGTACAAAGCGTGACTCCATCGGGATATTGCGGTACGTAAGTCTGAAGCCCACCCATTCAGCGAAGCATATGCACCATAATGGTTATATACTGAATCAGCCGTGACTGGTTTAAGCTGGCATTTTGGTCACATAGCTTGCAGTAGCTGTTTTATATTCAACAGAAACAACAGGCTGCAAGGCTGCCAGACGCGTTGACCAGTAACATTGTGAACTGGCACAGATAGTCAGTATAGGAAACCATGTACAGGCAGACCTAGTAACGCAGAGCAGTAAGAAGTAAGCAAATGAGGATTAGCAATTAATCACAATCGTCGCATGTTTTCATGTTGATTATACCCGTCAGATGGCCAAACTTATCGCTTCACTTGCCTGAACCCCGACCCAACTGGAAGCACTCGGATAGAACAAGCCGTTCATGCTCCAGCAGTGATCCCGGCGAAGCTCGGAGTTTTGGTCCGGTTATCCCTGCTCACCGGATGACGACCCGCGGCAACACTCCCGACATATCTAGCATCCGTATATTTTGTAGTCAAATGTTACCTGTCGCCTGCAGAGCCAGTTGGGGAGTTCGTTCTTCGGTCCGTTCAATGACACCTTATCTTTAGGCGGGGTAGAAAAGGCTCATTGGAGCCGGCGCCGTTACGCGATTGCAACGTGCCCTGATTCCAGGGAAGGGACTTTTGGGTTCAACACCCACAAGATGATTAAGCATTGCCGCGTCGGGACAAGACATGCTTGTCAGGACGATAAGCGGGCAAGGTTCAACTTCAAGTTCCACCCCCCTTTCCGGGAACAACGGCGCCACCTTACCCCCAAGTTTGGGTCTAGGTAGATAACGCAAACCAACGGACGCATTGCGGAGTAAGTTTCGATAACAGAAGACTGGTGGTACGTTACGGTGGGATATCCCGGTAACCGCATCACGAAAATAGGTGGCTTAGTGTTTTTTCTTGGGATAACTTCTGAAATTGAGTTCAGCTATTTGCCTGATATATAAAGCTTGCCTTTCCGCTGTCCCTGACCAGCCGGCTGCCAGCACCTCGTGATTCGAGAAATCCTGTCGTCACTGCACCGATGAGATGTACTTACTTCGATAAGTGACTGGAAGATTACAGCCGAGGTACAGTCACAAACTTGTCAGTATGGCGGACGATAGCAAGCATGGCACAAACGTCTCTCAGGCGCCGACAGATCGAGGGAACTTCCAAAAAGATCACCAATGGAGCCCCGACCTCTCCCAAGAAAAAGGCGATATGACCGAGAAGCCCCGTCAAAACGGAGACGCAGATGAGGTAGTTGTCGGCGGTTTTGCTCTGGACGAGGACTCGCCTTACGAGGAGGTGCGCGCTGCCGTCCGCAACACCGATGGCGAGGAGGTCGCGAACACGGTTCGGGCATGGATCCTGGGCATGGTCTTCGTGACAATCGGTAGTGGTCTCAATATGTTTCTCAGTATGAGGTACGATGGAACAATGAGCTCAACAATGTAGACCATCTTTTGTTAATCGTGTACCTACAGGAGTCCTGCCATCAACTTTCCATCCATCGTCGTCCAGTTACTGGTGTACCCAATTGGCTGCCTATGGGCCAAGGTCATGCCAACCAAGGTGTTTAACACCTTTGGCGTCCAATGGACCTTTAATCCCGGGCCTTTCACGATTAAAGAGCACGTCGTCATTACCCTCATGTCCAACGTCTCCATTGGCTACGCGTACAGCACCGACGCCCTCCTCGCGCTACAGGGAAAGCCTTTCTACGACATCAACCTGGGATGGGGCTTCCAGCTTCTCTTCACTTTGAGCTCCCAGCTCATCGGGATTGGCCTTGCCGGCCTGTGTCGACGGTTCCTTGTGTGGCCATCAGCTATGATCTGGCCGAACCAATTCGCCAACACATCTCTGTTTTATGCTCTTCACGACAAGAGCAAGAGCGAGGGCACCCACAGCAATGGCTGGATCATCAGCCGCTACCGATACTTCTTTTACGTTCTTGGCGCAATGTTTTGCTACTACTGGATTCCCGGCGTGCTCTGGCAGGGCCTATCCGTTTTTGCCTTCGTCACGTGGATCAAGCCTAATAACATCGTAGTAAACCAGCTATTCGGGGGGTTCACAGGTCTTTCTCTGATCCCAATCACTTTTGACTGGACGTATGTATCTGCGTATCTAGGAGACCCTCTGCTTTCGCCGACGCATACGCACATCAACGTGCTGATTGGACTCTTCACCTTTATCATCATTCCAACAATTGGCATTGCATACTCAGGCGCACTCTTCGCGGAATACTTGCCCATCAACACATCGCAAACATACGATAATACGCAGGGTCGATACAACGTCAGCAAGATCTTGGGCCCGGGGCACACCTTTGACGTCAACAAGTACAAGGAGTACTCCCCCCTCTTCTTGCCGCCCACCTTCGCCCTCAACTACGGCCTATCATTTGCGGCCCTCACCGCGGCGATCGTTCATTGCGTGTTCTTCCATGGCAAGGAGATCTGGTATCGGTTAAAGGCCGCCCGCAATCAGGAAGCAGACATTCACCTGAAGTTGATGCGGAAGTACCGCGACGCGCCGGAGTGGTGGTACGCCGCCCTGCTCGTCATAGCGATTGGGCTTGGACTTGCCACCGCTGAGGGCTACGACTCCCAACTCCCATGGTGGGCGTTTTTCGTTGCCAACTTGCTGGCCATGATTTTCGTCCTCCCGACTTGTACCATTCTGGCCATCTCCAACCTAGGTCTCGCCCTGAATGTCTTATCACCCTTCTTGGCAGGCTTCATGATTCCGGGGAAGCCGATTGGCGTCATGATCTTCAAGGTGTACAGTACCATCACTCTTGGTCAGGCGCAGACGTACACCGGCGACCTGAAGATGGCCCATTATATGAAGATTCCACCCCGTATCACCTTCTGGTGCCAAGTAGTAGCCACAATATGGGCCGTCTTCGTGCAGATTGCGGTAATGAATTGGACGCTGGGTAACATTGAGGACTGCTGCGCACTGTAAGTTGCCATATATTGGTCTCAGTGATAAGTTGAGCCCCTCCCCATCCTAACTTGTTAATAGGTCGCAGCATGCTCACTTTACCTGCCCAAACGGGAGAGCATTCTTCTCTTCTTCGATCGTCTGGGGTGTGATCGGCCCGCAAAGAATGTTCGGTGCCGGCTCCATCTACCAATATTTCAACATATTCTGGCTCATCGGAGCATGCTTGCCCATTGTATTCTATGTGCTGGCCAAGGTTCTCAATCTCAAATTCGCCAAGACACTCCATGCACCAGTCATGCTTGGCGCCATGGGATGGCTGCCACCAGCAACGCCCTTGAGCTTCTCGAGCTGGGCCATTGTCGGCCTCATATTCAACCATGGCATCCGTAAGAGGTTCCGCGGTTGGTGGCAGACGTACAATTACATCACCGCGGCTGCGCTGGACGCGGGTCTCATTATCAGTACGATCGTTATCTTCTTTGCGATCACGTTCCCCAACGTCACGATACCGCAGTGGTGGGGAAATGTCGATGTTTACAACACCTTGGTAAGTTCCGATAGGCGCATCGCCGTGCTGACCCCATGATTGTGAAGCTTTGCTGTCAATCCCCTTCATGGAGAGCTCATTTTGGACTGACCGTGCCTCGCATGCAGGACTCCACCTACGGCGCCATTCTGAAGACGGTAGGGGAGAATCAGACTTTTGGCCCGGCCAGCTGGTGAAGGATCGTGAATCACACTCTGCATGACGATGCGGGCCGCTGCGGTTAGCGCATTCGATGGGAAGCATCGATTGCTGCCCAAGATGCGACCCAAGCAGCCGCAACGAGGAGAGCGATCAGAAATGAATTCCCTCGAACCGTCACCCTCCGCTCGGTATCAATAAAACAAGTTGGAGATAATGAGAGAGAGAAAAGAAAAAAAGTCGAACTTTGCGGTTTGATCATTTCATTTCTGTACATTTATTTTTTGGTTGTCGTCTATTGCCAATACTGATAAATCAAAGCAGTTAAAACAAAATATAATCGTACTCCGTGAATGCTAGTGGATTCTCGTTTCGTTGTTTGTTGTTGATGTAGTTGCGGCGATGAAAAGGCATTCGATGCATGGAATCATGATAGGTGTCATAACAGAATATAAAAAATAAAAAAAAAACCACATTGGAGCGAGCAGCCCTTTCAGGCACCCGAGACCGACCCTGGACCAACGCTGCTTAGCCTCCCGGAAAATAAGCCCGATTTAAAGATGCGTTTCTTCCCTCCCTTGTCGGACTTCAGTCCATTTTGGCCGTAGCGACGTCGTACATGGACCCCGTCTCGTGCTCGGAATGGCGATGACTGCGTGATCGCGGGAGGTCGATGCGTTGCCGGTACGGCCGGGAAGCCCCATCGACGTGCTGGTCGGACATTTTCCTCGGGAGATCTTCGCCTCTCAGCGGAGGGACTTCCCTGCGTGAATGTCTCCTCTCTCTCGAGGCGTAGGAGCGGATCGACGACGCATCGTCCCGCGGGGGCGAAGGCTGCTGGATCGGCATCGGGGAATCCATCGGAGGTAGTGGTGGAGCAGGAGGGGGCGGGGGAGGCATCTCTGCGCTGATGAGGGATTCTGGCTGTCGCTTTTCGATGACGGAGGCGGTCTCGTCAGGCATTAGGAAGACGTCGGGATGGTCGGGGTCGCTCTCACCCTCGGGTTCGTCGTCGTCCTGACTGCCGCCGTTCACAACGCTGGCCTCGAGCATCGCGCCCTTCTTATCGACGAGCTTGCCTTCGCGGTACTGCTCCAACGCCTTCTTGAGGACGTGTCGCATGACGGCCTTGTTCACGTTCCTCCGAACACGGTCGAAGTACCTGGTAACGTCGCCTATGACCATGACCTGGGCATCGTGGTCGATCTCGAGCACGTCGGCGTAGTTCGCGCGGGAGTTCTCCTTGACGCGGAACTTGCCTGGGCGCAACTGCATGCCGACCGGCGAGAAGGGGAGTCGGTCAAAGGGCGGCGTGCGGTCATTTTCATCAAAGACGTAGCCCTGCTGGCTCGAGTCGATTCCGGGCTTCTGAAAATCGTTCTTGGTGGGGGTGGAGATTGGCCTGGGTTGGTTCACAGTCGGAGATTAGCGACATTTGCCGAGGAGGGGGAGGGCGTGCGCGATGAGGGGTAGAAAGGGCGTAGAGGCCAACATCGTCAACCCATTAGGGACCGCGAGAGCGAACGGAAGCTGGAGAACTTACACACACACGCAGTGATGCGGAAAGGTGTCGCTATGTCGTAGGACGATGAAGCGAGTGTAGCCAAGGCATTTCCACTCCCACTCAAACTCGTGCGAGTCGGCCCAGAGGAACTCGAAGACGTCTCCCACCTCGCACCTCGAAGCCGGGCCGATGTCGTAGCCTTTGCGAGCTATGTCATTGTCTCAGTTGTTAGCGAAACAAAAACGCCAGTCGCATGACGATGGCAAAACCAGCAGATAGATCGCCGGCCATCCCGCGGGCTTATGTGGGTGGTTTGGACTCACCCAGAGGGTGCTCATACGAGCTGTCGTGCGTGCCTATGGATGCATCGTCCCCGTTCCCCGAGTCACTCTTGGTGCTCTTGGTACTCTTACTCCTGAAAGTCGAAAAATCTCGGTTCCCGATCACCATCTCTTGCCACACATCCCAGAAACAAGAAAAGAGGAAGGAAGGTCAAAGGGAGAGGGATCAAAAGGTGTTGCTTAAGGGTTCAACAGTAGTCTGGCGGGGGAGAGTTCAGGAGAGACGATGGGTCATTGCAGCATGACAGGACTGGGGGAGGGCCAGATGAGCGGTGGGATGATGCAGTACACTAGTTGTGTTAACCCAACCCCGTGAGAGCTACGAACAGACGAAAACAAAGCTGGGGCTGCTGACTGGACTGCGTCTTCCTGGGGCCACCTTGGACAGCGTGAAGATAGTCAAGGCAGGGCGAGCAGAAAGGAGGGAGCGAGGCGAGGGTCGTGAAGAGCGGTCGGTCTCGTCTCACCTCGTCTCGTCTCGTCAAACGGGTGACCCGTTGGCAAGACCAGCACCGCAACCCAGTTGCTCCCTCTTTTCCCGCCACGTCGCTAAAATGGATCATGCGTGGTGTATGATGCCCAACCTCCACCGCCATGCGTCGTCTGCGATATCAATGGCTGCGGTGAGGGCTTCTGTCCCCACCCGCCGCCATTCCAACCAGACATGAGTTGTTCCAGAGCCCCCCAAGGGCATGCTTGGGAATCCGCAGCGCGGGTCGGGGGGGGACGGGACCCGTCACCGCCATTTCGGGACGGAACATTCGCCGGCATTCCGGGTGCTGATCAATCATTCTTTATTGCCTTATCGTTGTAAGGCAGAGACAGAGCAAAATATGTGACCCCTTTAAAGCCCTCGTGCGCGCGGGGGGGACTCAACGCTTGGCATGCGTTTCCAATAGCTGTTTCTTGATAAGGCGTGGTAAAGCCAAACCACGATGTCCCTTTGCCTTGAACCAGCATAGTTGAGGGGGTGCGGGTGCAGCCGCCGTGCTAATTATCGGCTGAAGAGGGGTTGGTGCGCCTATTAATAGGACTAACCTGATGGTCCCTTGCGTAGGAAAGTTCCGATCGAAGGAAAATCAAGATCTTGGGCGAGCGTGCAATATACGAGACAGCCGAGCCATCCCAGTGCCCGAGGAATGCCTGTTGCAGTCAAAAGTTCACGATGAATAGCTTCTCTCCTTCCATTTCACATGAGAAGTTGCTACCTGACTTGCCTAGCAATGTCGTGTGATCCGATCTGTATCGGTGCCTGAATGCTTGCCCAACTCTGTCGCACAACGCTCTGCAGTGACCAGGGTCTCACCTAACCGAGATAGATGTGTTGAACAACGCAACTGGGCTGTCAAGTGTGTTGTTGATTGTGTCATCCGCAAAATCCCAAATTGAGAGCATTTGTACGATATACATACTAACCAAGCCAAGACCAGGAGGTGATGGAGAGAGACCCCCCTCCATTCCAATCCGGCTCGTCTCTCCCGGCCTGACTGGTTTATCTTCCTCTCACGTCCCTCACGTCTCCGATTTTGATGATTCCTAGCACAAGACGACCTGATCGCCGCTACCGGACGGACATTGGGCATTATGTCGTTGAATAATGACTATTCCTCATGGCCGAGATGATCAAGGACCGTGAGCCGTGAGATATATCAGCTCTGCTGATTCCACCTTGCATCCTCCAATCTTGGCAGATAGGCAAAGATTCTCCTTTGGAAGTCCCGGCAGTGGCATCATTCCCAGAGACCTCAAGCGAGATTCGAGGTGATAACATTTTGTCATGACCAGGGAAATCGAGGGAAAATAGCCCACATCGATTGTGAAATAAACATCTCCCGCAAACAGTTTTTCAGCTTGATGGCTGCGGGTGCCAATCTTTGCAAACACTGTTTTATAAGCCTCTAGATGCTTGGAATAATCATAATCATCGCCTCCGAAGGCTGTATTAAGCCAAATCCGACAGGACTCGTAACGTAATGACAGAAAGAAATTCAATATGTCAATTGCTTTTTTAACCTGCTGACTGGGTTCGTCCACCGGCGAGGAAGGGCGAGTTCGGTAGTCGTCATATAGAGATTTCCATATGTCCAGTGATACTTCGAGGCGGGCCTGTTCAGCTAACAGTTTTGGAGGCACCAGCGTGCGTTTTTCTGGCCGTCGGCGGTAAATGTCACCATTACGCACAAGCCGTAATGTACGAATGAGAATATCATCAATCATGACTTGAGCATCGCACATCGTCATAAAGCTGGTAGGCATGGGATGTTCCAGTCCTTGTAGGTCCGGGAAGGCTTCTGGGTTGTCTCCGTGTACAAACGCGACAACACTTACTCGTTTGAACAGGGGCAGGAGATGCTCCCGGGTCCACGCGTAGTTGGTGACGGTGTGCTTCATAAGCTGGAAGCCGTGTTTGCAATGTGTCATGGCGGCGTCCCGGTTTCTCTGGATAAGCTCGACGGTGATGAAAAGAAGACAAACAAGCAGAACCACCGGCTGGCGTTGTTGTAATGTGTCCAATTTCATGCTCCTCAGGTCGTGAATTGCAGCGTTGTAGTGCTGTAGAGCAAAATCCGCATCCTGGATGCGTAACTGTTCGCCTTCCCTGGTGCGATGCTGTAGCCATTCGGCGATAGAGCTGATAGAGATTACAGCGTGACGTGCGGCAGGTTCGATACTGGCGAATTGCATGACCAACTTAGGCCAGAACTGGGGGCCGATAGCCCCCGACATGAACGGGGCCGCTTCTTGACAGAAGTACTGCAGGGCTCGGCCTTCTCCGGGCTTGCTTGCGCCAGGGAAGACTCGATACGGACGACAATGTTGGGGCTCGGAGCTACTAGCTGGAATGTAGCCGTCGCAGCGGCGACCGGCGGCCGTGCAGCGGTTACACGACGGCTTCGCTTCGTCGCACTTGACCCTGCGGATTCTAAGGGCAATGGATTAGGCCGTTGTTCCATTTAGAGACTTTCCACGCCCAAGTAAGTCTTCGAAGTGTACTCCGTAGAACCTTACTAAAACCACACGGCTTGATTAAACTCACTTGCAAGTGATGCACCCTGTTCTAGCCTTTCGGTTGCCCTTTCTGGCCATTGCTGATCTTTTCACAGGCTGCAGACCCCACAAGCCGGCGCTATCCCGTAAGCCAAACTGTCACAGTAACTGCGGCGGCTACGCTGTCTTGAGGGCGTGAACGAAGTATCGCTTGAACATTGAACGGCGAGAAGAGTTCGATCAAAGGCCAAGAAATATGTGCATGGAAAATAGCCATATCTGAGGGTCTTCGGCTTGTTATGGCTCCCATGGTTCTGCATGACATCGAGGGCTAGCCCCAGGGTGTGTGGGATGGCCGAAGGAGTCGACCATCTCTTTTCATTCCTTGCTGCCTAGGCCAAGTGGACCAGCGGTTCCCGGTACCAGTGTCAATTAGCATCAGAGATCGATTTCTCGAAATATCGAGATCGGGTCAGCGAAATCCTGATATCGAGACAAAAATCAAGCCAGAGACGGAGAGATAAAACCAAGAAACTCGTCGCCGTACTGGGGCTTGGCGGAAATATGATGGGGTTTTGGCTCGGTTGTCTTGACTAAAGCTTTGGTACCAATTTTGACATGGTACCTTGGTTATCTATGGTTTCTGTTGGTTTCACCAGGATAGTGATACGGTTAACCGTACGTATCAATAGGCAGTGACGAATAATAGGGGTAAATACTGGTTCTGAATTATGCGTAAAGAAGGAAAACTATTATGGGATTACGCAGCGAATTCACTGCGTAATATCCCTGTGGATCTAGTAGATCTATAGCGAATTAGCTGTAGTTATTCCGACTGATTAGCGTTAATCTATATTACTAATATCTAGGCAATAGTTAATATTATAACACTAGTAACCTTCTAAAGTGCTATAAATTATCCCTATTTTCTAGTTATTTATAAAGGGCCTAAAAACATAATAAAAATAAAAGGCTAAAAAGTATTTAATACTTTTTATATATATAATTTATTATATATATAAAACCTATTTATTTATTTATATCTCTAATTAACTACTATTAATTAACTGCTTTAGCGCTTTATTAGGTAATACCTTTATAAATCTATTTACTAGGTTATCCTCTCCTTATATTTATTAGATCTTATAGATTTTATATTACTTATATAACTAATAAAGCACTATAATATTAATTATAAGTTACTTCTCCTTAGTAGTACTAAGCTTTATAAAGTACTTATAGAGGGAGTATAAGTTAGTATAAAGAATTATTAGGATTTATAGTAACTTAAAGTAGTTAGTAATTATTATAAGTATAGTGCTAATTATATAAGTAATATTAGTACTAGTAACTATACTATAGACTTTAGAGGCTAGTATACTATATATAACTCTTTTATACTTTATTAAGCTAAAGTAAATAATATTACTAGTAAGTATAAATTTCTTATTATTAGTAGTAGGTTATATAACGTTACTTTTATTAGTAAGTATAATAATAAAGCTAAGTTATAAGGTAAAATTATAGTTATTTATAAATAAGCTGTTAATAAAGATAAAAAGCTTTATAGTTATAAGGTTAATTAGCTAAAAAAGTAGGCTGTAGTTAAAGTAACTTATTTACTACTTAATCTAGTAGTTAAGAGCCTTAATCTCCTCCTTTATAGGCTTTTAGTGTTATATAGTAACTAAATAGTTAAAGTAAGCCTTAGGTTAGTATATTAACGTAATATACGCCTTATAGGCCTTTTACTAAATAAAGTCTTACTTAATAGTAAGTAAATTTATATTAATAGGCTAGAGCTTCTTACCTTAATCTTTTTAGTAAAAATTTATTTTACTATTATAGCTAAGGGAAAGCATACTACTATTAAAGGTAATAAAATTATTAATAGTTAATAGTTACTTAGGCTTTATAGTAAAAGTTACCTTCTTAAGCTTCTTCTCCTTATAGGTAGAGAATTTATTATCTATAAGGCTAATTATATTATCTATTTATATACTAATAAGGCTAAAATCCTTATTATTAGCTAATAAAATAAGTAGGTAGAGGTTAAAAGTTAATAAATTTATTTAGAGATTCTCTTTATAGTAGTAGTTATATATAGCCTACTAGTAGGTGCCTGCCTTAGTAATACTATAAAGTAGCTTTATTACCTTTATAATAAAGTTACTAAGGTAAAAGTAGTAAATTTATATAAGAAGTCTTATAAAAATAACGTAGTTAAGTAGTATTATAGATTAGGTATACGCCTAGGTAATATTACGTAACTAGAGGTAAAATTATTAGAAGTAAGAATATCTCTAAGTATTCTTATACTTCTTTATCTTATATTTCCTCTATTATAGAGGTTATATATATATAAGATATATATATTAATAATCTACTTACTTAGTAGATTAATATATATATTAATTACATAAGCATGTCTAATTATGTAATTAACTAAAGATTAGAGAAGGTACTAGAATGTCTAAGATCTCTCTAGATTATACCTTCTACCTCTGTTATTCCTATAAGGTTATTGTTTTAAGTTAGGGTTATTTACTTAAGGTTATTATGTTACGTAACTAAGGGTTAATTTATAAGCAGCTTACGTAAGTATAAAATATTCTAGTAAGCTGTATAGGTCTATATAAGGGCTAGAATTCTTCCTGTTTCTAGTTTCCTTTTCTTCTCTCTCTAAGCAAGTAAATAGTTAATAATCTAACTACTATACTCTCTTTTAACTATATATCCTTATATCCTCTATTTATCTACCCTAGGTATAAGCATTTATATCTCCCTTTTATCTTATATTCTTACTTCTATAGGATATATCTTTATATAAGAGATATACTCTCTTATATTCTCCTAAGCTAGAATTCTCTATCTAAGAGACTAGCTTACCTATTATACTAACAGGTTATAAGCCTAGGTAATATACCTAGGGTATCTTTATTACTATAAGAGTTATATATACTCTTAAGTAGCCTATTTATTTATCTATTTATAAAGTAGATCCCTTATACTATCTTTTCTTTATAAGAATATTAAGGTAGAAAAAGTAAGCCCTTAGTATCTCTTATAACTAAGAGAAGTATTAAATATCTACTATAGATAAAGGCAGTATAAGTCCTACTATAGGCAGCATAAGGTCCTTTATCTAAGAGGTAGCATAAGTCTTAATAGCAGCTATAAAATCCTCTAGCCGCCTATATATCTTATATATATAAAGATATATATTTATAAAGAGGCAGAAAAAGTAAGACCTCTATAGGTTATAAGAATATCTATTTAAATCTAGTAAAATACTAGAAAAAATAGCAGATATTATTAAGGCTACTACAGGCTGTTTATTACCTCTAGAACAACGTCTCTAGGGTATAAAGAATTAGAATTCCTAGATTACTTCTATTTATCTCTTTTTTAAGCTATTAAAGCTTAATACTTATTTTAAAGAAAAGATAAGATATAAGGATATCTCTAAAGAATAAAAAACATAAGCCTTATTAATTATAAAGTAGAATCTTGAAAAAGATCCCTTATCTTTAGTATTTAATTTAAAGGATCCTAAGGATACTTTAAATATACTAAAATTATCCTATAAGGGAACAGGCCCTGTTCTAAGGTAACAATTATACTTAGAATTTTACGCTATTAAATTAGAGAATTATAATACTTTAAATAAGTTTATTAGCTTTTTTAAAGGTTATATCTCTAAATTAAATAACGTAGGGGCTAAAATAGAAGATATAGACTAAAAAACGGTCTTTATAGCTACTTTAAGTAGCTATTTTCCTGTTTAGGCAGAAAGATAAAGAAGTGCTTTAAGAACTAAAGAGCCTCCTTCTCTAGAAGCCCTTATTAACAATATATTAAACAAAAACTAGCATAAAAATAATACGCCTATATCTAATAATTATAGTAAAAATAATAACTTTTCTAATAAAGGTAATTCTACTAAAGAATATAAGAATCCCTTTAATAAGGATAAAAAACCTTATAAGTAGGGAAATAAAGGGTATAAAAGACCTAAAGAAAAGGTTAATAACCTAGATTTAAACCTACAGCCTTTTAAAGGCAAAGAAAGGGCAACTTTTATTATAAACTAACAAGCTAACTAGCCTCTAGAAGAGGATATTTAAGAAGGTAAATATTACACTTATAAGGCCTATTATAACTATTTAAACTAAAGGAACAAATAGTTATATGATATAGGTTTAACAGTCTATATATTAAATAATAAGGACTATTTCCTAGACCTATTAACTAAAGAAGATATTCCTTTAGTTAATATAGAAGCAGGACCTATTAAACCTAAAGGAATAGGAACTATTTTACTTCCTATTTACTTTAAGGGGGAAATTAATTATATAAGGTTAAAAAATACCTTATATATACTAGAATTTCCTATATCTATATTTTTAGGCCTTTTACACTATAAAGGAGGTAGATTCCTTATTAATTAGAATCTCTATAATAGTAATAAAGAACCTTTTGTAAATATTAATATTATAAAAAGAGGTTTCTACTTAAATATTACTTATACTCCTAAAAATAATCTTCTATATAATATAGAAGATAATAGCCCTTCTTTATCTCTAGAAAATACTAGAGAAAATATATCTTTTAATATAGAAGATAATACCTCTATAAATTAAGAAAAAGAAGAGGTATTTACTATAACAGAAGAATAGCATTAAAATTAGGTTATCCTTCTTATCCTTACTTAGTTAAAACAGCTAAGTTAACTAAGGGAATTCCTTTATAAAAATTAAAAGAAGAGGACCTATACTGTCCTAACTATATAAGCTCTAAGTTAACTAGGCAACAGCCTAAAATTAACTATAATAGAGCTACTTTTCCCTTAGAAAAAGTATATATAGATACTCTTAAAATTACCCCTATATTTATTAATAGAAATAACTACGCTATTCTATTTACAGATAATTATTCTAGCCTTAGAGATATTAAATTCTCTAAGAATAAAGAAGATATAATTAATATCTTAAAAAATAAGCTAGAATATTATAAAAATTAGGGGTATAATTATCCTAAGCGTCTACGCTTAGATAACAGAACTAAATTTAATATAGGAGAATTATCTACCTATATTA